CACGGCTATAGAGTTAGCTAGTCTAATCCTTTTAACTTACTAATCGATTATAACTAGCTAGAGCTCTCGATCCCCGCTTACTATATAGGGGCTATCCCTAATATAGACTAGTGGTCTTAGCTTCTATATATTTCAGGAAAGAACCCCCGGGGTCAATATACTCATATTTAGGGTTTTAAGCCAGTTCAGCCTGCAGTCTTCCGTAGCATGGGCCTGGCATGCCAGCGCATGAGTACCTAGCCTTGCGCGTGAAGCCCTCCTTGCAGCAGCATAGCCCCCCGTGCCTTGTCATTGTGAATGAGTCGCCGAAGTAAAAGTGACGTATCGAGGCACAAGAAAGCATTAGGCCGTGAATTGTCGGACGCAGCGTGTGTCAAGAATACCTTAGACAATAGTGAGCGGGCAGGAAGCTGAAATGAAACGCCGCCCGACTCCGCGAACAGAGTGTCTGTGTGTATTTGGATGGGGGGGGTTCCCCTTCGGTAAACTCAAGGTTGAGCTTCGGTATTCTCGGTGTAGCCATCGCTGTCGGTAGCTCAGCGTCCGCATGACAAAGCCTTTTCTTTGCCTTCCCCTCTTGATTACGCCTTCTTCCCTTTGTCTCTCTTGACGAGTGGCCCCGTACTCCCAATCAGACGTTTCTTCAGCACTATCCCACCAATACTGATTTCCAAGCAACACTTCACTTGTCGCAACACCAGTTCAGCGAGGATGAACGTTTCGCTCTCGTGCCTCAATTGACCTGAAACTCGCAATCCGGTCCTCAGTGCGGCCTGCTGCACATCGCCAAGATGCTCAAAAAATTTGCGACGAACATCTCTCAGGCGTCTCATACCATGACTTCGAGAGCACGCAGCTCGCAAGGCTGCTGGACGTGCCGTCTGCGTCGCAAAAAATGTGACGAGACACGCCCTATCTGTCAAGGCTGCAGTTCTCTTGAGATCACATGCCACTTTGAAGATGCTAAGCCCGAATGGATGGATGGCGGACCTCGACAAAAGGAGGCTGCCGACCAGCTCAAACGTGAGGTCAAGATCCAGGCCAACCAGAGGCGAGAACGCAAATACCTACAGAGTTTCGAGCTCGCGAAATCGGCCCCCGATGATGATGAAGAGGCCTCGGACAGCGAGCACGTCTCTATCCCATCTTCGATCAACGGCTCGTCGCAGCATGGCACAAACACCAGCCCAGCGACGTCACATGACACGCCACCCGATCTTTCAGCTTTCCAGCTTGATGCCGTAAAGTCGTCCATTGCAGAAATCACCCCTGAGCCGGAGGCCATGGACCAAAGTGAACCGTCCTTTCAAGACTCGTGGAAAACCCCGATGCCCAGGACAGCGTCCACTGTTATGAGAGAGGAAGAAGGCGACCTCAACTTCATCATGATCTATCTGGACCACGTCTTCCCCTTTTTGTTCCCATTTTACCGCCCATCCCTGCCTGAAGGCGGTCGTGGCTGGGTCCTTTCTCTTCTCAAGTCCAACAAGGCCGTATATCACACTGCTCTCAGCCTTGGCTCCTACTACTTTTCCCTAGTCCTCGACAACAGCGGAAGCGGTCACGGTGCGTGCCAGCTGTCCAACCGGCGGCTACTCCAAGCTCAGCAGGAACTCTCGCTCCGGGAGCTGCAAACTGAAATGGCTGCCATAAATGCAAGAGGTGTGTCGGAGTACCCTCGCGAGAGCGTCCGCGTTCTCAACAGCATCATCCAGCTCCTTGTTTTCGACATAGCCGTCTACAACTCTACGAACTGGCTGATGCACGTCGATGCCGCCATCTCGCTCTTCAAGCAGATCATCCCCCTGCCACACCAGTGGGACGAGCGCATCTTACAGATGGGGTTCGCTGGAATGCCTTCGCCGCCTGAAGGAGGCTTGTTCATGCCCTGGACAACTGAGCAGGCAGCCTTGAGAACCTTCGGTGCATATCTATTCCTGACCGATGTGCTCACGGCGACAAGTACTGAGAGGCGCCCACTCTTGCAGGATTATCACAGCTCGGCCCTCGACTTGGGTTATGCGCGCGACGAACACAAATGGAACCGAACGCAGATTCAGTTTGAACAGCTATTCGGTTGTCAAACCTGGGTTATCCACCTCGTCGGCGAGATTGCCTCTCTTGATACCTGGAAGAAAGAAAACAAACGGGCCGGTTCTCTCTCCGTGACACAGCTGGTGAATCGGGCCGTCACCATTGAACACGCTCTTCGCTCCGGTATTGCCTGCCTCGACGGGCAGTGCACTCGAGTAGCAAGCCCCGGCGTGGGCGAGTTCGGCGATTTGCCTCATCCGAAACACCACAAGCCGAGCTGCCGCGTTTATACTGATTTCTCGTGGAGCCAAAAGGTTGACACTCTGCCATTGCACACCATGGTTCCCATCCATACCAAGGTTTGGGCATATGCCGCTCTCACCTATCTTTCTGTTGTCGTGTCCGGATGGCAGCCGTCCTGCCCTGAGACGGCAAGCAGCATCGCTTCTGCCATTGAGCTCATGACGCAGCTTCAGTCCCCGGTGTGTGTTCGCACTGTCATGTGGCCTTTCTGCGTCGTTGGCTGTCTCACCGAGCCTTGTCACCAGCAGCTGCTGCGGGACATGGTCACTAGCATGGGCCCACTCGGAGCTCTTGGGTCACTGCGTACCGCCTTGGCTGTTATGGAAGACGTCTGGGCGCGCCGGGACTCGCTGGGTCAAGACTGGGACATTGCTGCCTGTCTCCAGAGCCTTGGGCATCCCGTCTTGATGATCTGAGCGCATGGCGACCGATGCTCTGTGAAGCAAGACATCTTTTTAGGTTGTTTCTTGAAAACTAACTGACGGTGTATTCTCTTTTTTTATCGTTTTCCAGCAATCACGTCTTGTGCGAGGGAACCAAAGCAACCTGCCGACCCGTTTTGAAATCCAGTCTATCGCTCTCACCATTATTATTCGCAACAAAGACCCCTGATTACAGTCTGAGAAACAAGAAAGGAAACGAAACCAGACCACAAACACATACATCAGTCTCGTTTGCTCGGAGCCGCAGCAAGACCCTTATTCGCCAACATGGTCTGTCTCTTCTGCGCCTCCAGCAACCCAAGATCCCACCAGCCATCGATTAGCTCCTTGATCGTCCGCGTCCGCCGCTGAGACTTGGATCTCTTCCACAGCCCGCCGCCTACCGGCTGATCAGTAGGCTCTGGCGGCATTGGGATCGAAGGTGAAGCTAGGGGCCCGGGCGAGTTCGGCATCGGCGGCATCGTCGCCACAGGAACCGCCCGGCTGTCTTCACCAAAACCATGCATGCCGTCATCCACAACCATAACCGATTTCATTCTTAATTTCGCCGTGGCTTCCAGGACCGGCGCTACCTGCGGTTGCAACGACGGAGGGGCATACCGGGGCACTCGCGTCTGGGCAGCGAAGACCATCGGAGCGGTGGCCCCTGCACGCTCATCGTCAGATGAGTCGCTAGTATCCCATGTCTTCTCCCGCAATGCCAGCATCGCAGACGTGCCGAGGCTCTTTTGCCGCAGTCCCACATGTTTGAGTATGGGACGCGGAGGCGACGGCGGTCGAGGGTACCTACTGTCGTCGATTGGATCGTCAAACGAAAGAGCCCGTGTCGCCGCCTCTGCCGCCCCGCCACGGCCGCACCTTCAGGCGCTCTCGATGTCCTTGCCGACAGGACCCTGGTTGAGCTTGGTGCGGCGCCAGAGGCAGATGGTAGTGACGGATGAGAAGGCAAACAGGACGCATAGAGCAATGGAGAGGCCCCAGACGGCCTTGATGGCGTAGCACGTCTTCTGCGCGGCGCCGACCCACACGAAGTAATTGACCTTGCCGCTGTCGTCGGTGGCATTGAGGATGTTCTCGCCGACCGAGGCGATGAAGGAGGCAGTGCTGCCCTTGACCGTGGGCAGGTCTTTGCAGGCGAGATACGAAAGGGGCTTGCCGAGGGTCACGGCCACGACGATGACGGCGATAAGCAGCGCGCTGTCAGCCGCGGTGGCGATGAGAAGAGGCAGCATGGAGTCCCAGTAGAGAATGTACGAAATGGCGATGTAAAGAGTTGCAACGCAGGCCTGGTGATCTCGTTAGCTCTGGGAGGGACAATTTGACACTGCCTAGGAACAACTGACAACCACGAGAGTACCGATCAGCACCGCCGGGGGCTTTGCATTCGCCGAGACCATCTCGCTGATAAAGTCTGCGGTCATGCCGATGATGGCAATGAGCGAAACGAACTGCATGGCGCGCATGGCGGTGAAGGTGTGCCCAAGGGCACCGAGACGAGGCATGCCGGCCATGGTGCTGGTAAGCTCTTCGTCGTCTTCTTCCAAGAGGAGAAGCTCCTTCTCGAGAGCTTCGGGGCTGGTAATGAGCGTGAGCTTCGGACGGGGTCTCTCGTAGTGCAGAGCCGTCCGCGATGGGAAGCGAGAAGGCGGATAAGGGATCCGGGGGGCTGCGTTGGGGGCGTGAATCTTGAAGGATGGGAGGTTCTCTCAACGCAGAGGTGAGAGAAGCCGTAGTCGGTGGGTGAAATGAATCTGGCTCGTCAAGAGAGATTCGATATACCAAATTGAAAAAAAAAAATGCAAGTCTCTCCTGAATACTGAAGAATCGGTGTACGAAAACTGATGGAAGATACGTGGAGCGACGAGAAGTGGACCGAGGGAATAAGCCAAATGAAAGACCTAAGGAAAGAGAAAGGAAAGAGAGATAGGAAAAGAGAAATTGAAAAGTAACCGTAGATTGCCTGTATGTAGAAGTTGATGTCTACCGAACGAGAAGGAGAAATGTTAGACGTTGGTGGGCTAATGGCTTATATAAAAAAGATGTATTTTATGACATGGCCAACCAGGCCACACTGCCTAACGCTGCCTGGTCCGCGTAGGAGTAGGTTCACCAACGGTCAAGGGTGGGAAGCCTCATACCAGCCTATCTGTAATCATGCAGCCAAATACAGCAACAAACATCACTCCCTTCTCTGATTCACCATCGGCCCTCTTGGCCGTACCAGCCCGCATCCACACAGCTCAACGCTCGAGATTGCCATACCCCAGCAACAGCCTACCAGTTCAGTCCCACTGGCATCATTTGAATCGACCACAAGCCCACCACGGACTGCTCTGCACGAACTGAGGCAGACTAGCCCATTGCGCGAGCCGCCCATCCATGGTTCCCCGGGACCAATCAACGCACAAAACCGGCATGTCCCCCCGTGGTGGATTCTTCCGACCTTTTGAAACGCGGCGCTTAGCAGGACAAGCGAGCCGGCCCCACTGTCCGCTCATGATTATATCCCCGGTAGGTACTCAGTATATTCACGAGCTAGTTCACGTGTCTGGCGGGCCTTGAGGACCTCGAGAAGGACCGCGTCTGCAAGCCGCCGTCAGTTGTATCATCGGCGGTCGTAGCCGAGATTCGAGTCCCGACATGGATGGTGATTGGATGAATCTGGCGCGCTGTCCTCACGGCACCCGTCATGCCTAGTCGTGACGATACAGGGATAGGTACGGGATCATCGACAGACTGGTCTCGGGATTCAGCCGTTCAACGCGCAGCCGCAGGCAGCTTTGCGATCGTGGTGCCTGCTCACCCTTGCTTTCGAAGATTCAGGCGTCTTCGCGGCCGGGTGAGTTGTAACAGGCCAAACTTTCTTTGCATACGCTTCGGAGGATTTGCTACCTAAGCAGGGTCCAGACCAACGTGTTGCTGATGCTGGCCTGGATACGGGCCCCTCCTCCATCACTTTGCACAGTCTTAAATTGCGCACAAGGCTGACGAGCAACTTTACGAGAAGTGATGTGAAGCAACCATCGAGGTGGGTTACACCAGACTTTTCTGTTCGCGCCGAAACACTTGTCTACTTTAGGCTGATCACTGTAGATTACTCCCTCTCCTGCTGCTCCTACGTGAAACTATCTCTCAACGACGGAAGTCAGCCGAGTGTACCGCGGACTCGTGTTCTCTGTTATCATTGTACAGAGTCTGATCAACGCTCCTCAGCCCAGTAGGTCGTCCAGTCCGTTGCTGCTACTGGTAGGCTTGGCCGCCGTCGTAGATCCGCCGGCTTGTGCACCCCAGATCCCGGCACTACTCTTCTCCTTGGCCAGTTGTCCCATGGCCGGTCCCTGTCCGGTGGAGGTGTTCGTTTTCTTGATGCCAGAGCTAGCTTGTGACCACAGAGCTCCAAATGCATCCCCCCCAGCCGCAGCGGGCTTGGCAGCTGCTGACTGAGCCGGTTTGGTCGCGCCCATGCTTGAACCCATAGACACAGCGCTGCCAGTCTGCTGGGGAGCGGCTGACTGGACCGACCCAAAGTAGTTGGGCCCGGCGGGTTGGTACCCGCCCATCTTGGGCGCCTGCGTTGCTGGCGAGGCCATCGCGGGAGTAGCGAATGACGAATAGTTGGGCCCGGATGCCGTCGATGGCGCCGGAGATGCCAAGTTGACAATGTTGCTGAGATCAGCTTGCTGCTGTGGCTGCAGGGGCTTCGGCGCGGCAAACGTGGCAGTGGATGATGCGGCTGCCGTGACGGGAGCAGCAGAGGGAATGCCAGTCTGAGGAGCAGATACAAAGTCGTCAAACTCGTCATCGTCGTCATTGCTGGCAGCAGCTGGGGCGGACAGGGTGGAAAGCCCGCCAAAGCCAGAGCTCTGAGCCGGCGCAGGCGCAGGCGGCGCAGACGAGGACGAGGCCGGCTCGTCAAAGGAGAACAGATCGACTTCAGGCTCCTTCTTTTTCTTTGGTGGCTCTGCTTTCGGCGCAGCAGCAGTGGCACGCTCGGTTCTCTTGGCGCGAGGAGCTGGTCGATCGCCTTCGTCGTACTCATCGTATGCCTCGAATCTGTCTCCGCCGCGGCTGCTCGAGCCGCCAGCACCCGAACCGCCCTCCCTCCACTCGTCCGACTGGCCGCCGAAACCACCGCCGTCTCCGTAGACACCGCCGGAATATCCGCCAAAGTTCGCAGCGGATGTGCCGCCCGACTCGCTGCCGAAACCGCCATATCGACCGCCGCCGCTGCTGCCAGAGAAGCCGCCGCCAGCTCCACCCTCGACGCCCGTGTATTTGTTCTTGGTCGCTCGCGCTTTCTTGCGCTCGGATCTGATGCGTTCTACGTCACTCAGAAGCTCGGTAAGCTCCTTGGCGCGGTTGCGGACGTTGACACCCTGGTCCTTGCCGTTCTGGTCGATGAAGTGAAATTGGCGCAACATCTTCAATAGCGTGATGTGGCCGCGGGCGTCGTCAATGACTCGTTCAGAACCGTGCTTGATGAGAAACTCCAAGAGCTGAAGGGCTTTGTAGATCTGGCGCCACTCCTCAGCGGCCTTTTCGGTGAAGCGACGATAGATCATGGGCATAATTTCGTTCAGCGTCGAGCTAGGGGCAGGTGTATTAGCTTGAGTCGTCAATGTGGAAATGTTCTGTGTCCCGAGCACAACTCAGCCGTACTAGTTAAAAGTGCCATTGGCAATCTCTTGCATTGTGGTGGATGATGCGCCCCATGGTTCGTTGTTGGTTGCCTCGCGGACCTGGAGGATGTTGCGTTAGGTTCGGGATCATTGGATGAATATGCAGGATGATACAAGCGCCCTTCCAGGCAAGTGGCAACGAACTTTGGCTTCCATTTCGGTGTAATTCATAACAGCTGGTGAGGAGCGCAGTCAGCGACGGCCGCACGGGGTGGTCTTACTGTCGAGCTTACCATTTTGAACCTTCCTGACACCGGCCTTGACGTCGTAGAGGCTCATACCCGCGACGGTGTCCTTGAGGTTGTTCCAATCCATGGTGGGCAGTTGATATTGCGCTCACTTTGACGATGGCGGTGATTGATGAAGAAGGAAGGGATGGAAGAGCGGCGCTCCAGCCTATTTGCACTCGCCGTTTACAGTGGTGGATGGTGTTTCAGTGGAGGCCTACTTGTTCAGTCGGAGATAGGTAGGCTCAAGGTCAGCGTCAGTGTGGCAGGTGGCCATGACGGTCAAGGTGCCGCCTGTGCCTGCGGTGGCTAACCTTGCACCTTGTCAGCGTCGGGCAGCCGCGCTTATGGGGCCTTGGAGCCGCTTGCTGGGTGATTGACGAACCAGAGTGGATATCATGCACATCACGTGATCAACGTAGAAGATGGTGTTGGGCCAGAGGAGGAATATGGAGGACAGGCTGCAGCGGCGTGATTGAGTTCTCATGATTGTTAAAGTGACCGTAAGACAAGATGATGCGTGCCGTAGAGACCTGCAAGACCGAGTACTGATGAGCGCTGCTGGTGTTCTTATGGCCTCTCAACCAGACCTAGGTAGGGTACCTTAGCATAAGATGCCTGAGGACCTGAGTGGTCCGAGTGTCAGGGGCCAAAGTTGATGACAGCTCCAGCCTCAAGATCTCAAGACTTTTCCCCCTTCCCTTGAAGAGCACCATCAATCGTCCATCAGATCTGGTCATCACACGTCAGTCCTCTGTGTAACACTATTCGTATCATCCTTCTCTTCTCATCAACTGTATTACCCCATTTTAGCAAGGTACGTTTGGCAAGCTTCTTTTGTCCCTTCTGAGCTGCACCCCATGTATCCCGTCCCTCGTCACCCACCCATTGGCCTCGAGGGAACAGAAACCTGTCACTCGGCTCGCTCCGGGTAGGGTCCTCTCACCCGAGCGTGAGATGAGGGATCTTGAACATCTGGCGCGTGGGCTGCTTCGCCGAAGCTCTGTTCTTGAGATACAGACGTCACGCACTGCTGTACAGTCCTGGCTCGGTACCTTGTTGCATGTCCGCAATTGACCCGAGCCTCGCCCCTTTCGAGCAAACCGGTTTATCCTCGAGCTCCCACACTCAATTGTCCGGCAACGTGACGGGTGGGGGGAGCTTGACTGGCGAGGGACCATTGCTGCAGGAAGCTTCCGGGTCTCTTCTCAGGTCGCTTTCGCCGTCGGCCCCCTCTCTGTTTCCCCCGGATTTGAGCCAATCGGACTATCGGCAGCCTTCTTTGCTCTCAATCATGTTTGTACGTAGGTACATGCGCGCCAGAATGGCGGTTGTTGAGCTGGCTTTGCTGGCCACAGGCCAAGGGGTCGATGGCCTCTGTCGGTCGACCAACCGAGAACGAGGGCACTTTTGAGCTCAGAACGCGAGAGCTCCAGGCCCCGGCCCCACTGGAAGCTCACTGGAGCTGGCGTACCCAACCTCACCGCCGAGGATGGCGAAGTCATCGGTGGATGCAACGGGCATCAGACCAAAAAGCCACTCCAAGGAAGCTCGCGCTCTGCCCTTCTCTGCGCTGCGCTGCAGAGCGCAGCACGTCGATTGACTTCGAGCTCTGGGGGTCGTCTTGTTCACAGCGTCGATCCCGTCGGCTTCTTGGTGGCCAGGGTGGTCAGTCACGTCACTGCAGCAACTCGCTGGAGCAACGCAATCGTGGGGCTAAGCTGGAACCAGGAACCCCCTCAGTTCCATGATTCCGTCACTGCGCTGACTTCACGTGACTGGCCATCGGGCCACCAGAAACCCCCTACCACCCCTCGCCTCGCACCTGTCTCTGCCAACTATTCGTTGCTTGGCCCCTTGTGGTGGGGAGCTCATGCGCTAACTGTGAACCCCCCTCCTGCAGCAGCTACCTCTCCGACTCCTCAGGCGAAAAAATGAGACCTGCCGCCGTGCTTCGACCCCTCCTACCCCGCCAACATAACCTCTTCTCCTGCTCTTCCGCACCCTCTCCCTTTTCTCGACCTTCCACCTCCAGCTTTATCAAGCCAATTCGCTCAACCCTTCAATCCAACAAGCTTCCCGTCAGATACTTTTCTGCATCCACCATCATGCCTGGTCCTCAGGTGTAAGTCATTGCTTGCTTTGTATTTTGTCTCGTCGGCGTGCCTGCCTTGCAAGAGATGATTGCATCATTGCCAATGGGATCATCGAAGCTAACCTGCGTCACCTACTAGTTACTTCGACATCGAGTGGGAGGGTCCCAAGGTCGACAGCAACGGCCGTGCCTCTGGTGCTGCTGAGCGTAAGCTTCCTTTTTTCCTTCATGGGCTCTGAGGCCCTGTTTATCACAAGCGACATCTCTGTAGCTGCGGGATTGCTCCTCCTTTCCTGCATCACTATGACCGCTCCCCCCCCCCCCCCCCCCCCTCCCCCCGAGGTCGGAAGCCCCAAGGGTGCCGATGCTGATTAGTCTACCTCTTGCAGAGCAGAGCGGCCGCATCACCTTCAACCTCTTCTACGACGTTGTCCCTAAGACTGCCGAGAACTTCCGTGCTCTCTGCACTGGCGAGAAGGGTTTCGGCTACCAGGGCTCTTCCTTCCACCGCATCATCCCCGAGTTCATGCTCCAGGGTGGTGACTTTACTCGTGGCAACGGCACTGGCGGCAAGTCCATCTACGGCGAGAAGTTCGCCGACGAGAACTTCCAGCTGAAGCACGACAAGCCCGGTCTGCTGTCCATGGCCAACGCCGGTCCCAACACGTAAGTACCCCACGAGAGACTCCCTCTTGCTTTGTGCACGCGTTGATCTGACATGATTTCCAGCAACGGCTCCCAGTTCTTCGTCACCACCGTTGTCACCTCGTGGCTCAACGGCCGTCACGTCGTCTTCGGCGAGGTTGCTGACGCTTCCTCCCTGAACATCGTCAAGGCTCTTGAGGCTACTGGCTCCCAGAGCGGTACCGTCAAGTACCCTAAGCGCGCCACCATCGTCAAGTCCGGCCAGCTGTAAAGGGTGTCCCTCGACGAAACATTGTACTCGAATCTTCCCTTTTCTCTCTCAGTGTGAGTGGCAGGAAAGTAGGTAGGCGGGCAGTATGCTGAAGTAGTTGCGGAATGTGCGGTGCTTCGGCAGATGACGTCGATAAGCCAGCTAGGTAGCTAGGTCAAGACGTAAAAGTTACAGCACCATCACCCACCACCAATCTTTCTCCCGCTGTGTAAATCTCGTCGATTTAACGCGAGAGTAAAAAACGTGTCGTAGTGATATTTTGAATTGGTTCAATCCATCTTCCTATTGACCCGGCCCTAATTGCCTATCAAGTCCATGATACTTCTCAGGTTCCCACACGCATCCCAAGCATTCATTGACCTGTATTTGATCATTCAATTTTGCCGCCCAACGCCGTTGCCATGCTGTTATAAAAAAAAGAGACATGGAGCCGAAATCCCCAGTTGCGATAAGCAGCATCATTCCAGTCCCAACCACCGCTGGTAGTACACGCAATTACTAGCACTGACCGGCCCTCCCTCTTCGCAGAGGTCAAACACTGGACACCTTCCACAAGGCGCCTCGGTATAGCCGTTGGCATACGGCTCGGGGGCACCGCGCTCGATGCCACTCTCGTCGGCGCCCTGGCCGGCCCAGTTCCCCAGGCTCTGCTTGGCGGCGCGGCGTACGCGGAGACCGTGCTTGCCGCCGACGCGAATGGCCTCGACAAGGCCGTCGAATACAAGGACATCTACGAGCTTCTGGATGTCGTCTACGCCAAGAGTCGTCTCCGTCGTGATGCCCGCCTGGGAGATGAAGCGCGCAATGTCCCGGACCGTGGGGTACTCCTTGTAGCCCGCCGGCAGGGGCAGATACGTCGTCTTGTCCACCTGTGTCGCTCCAACAGCGTGAGCCTCGCCACCATTGGCGTCGTCGCTGATCTGCTCGGCGCCCCTCTTGCGGCCCCCCGCTGGCGGCCCGCCCTTGACGATGCCTTTTTTCGGTACTGCCGCGCGCGCCTCGCCCCCCTTGTGGAAATAGCTGCTCTGTCTCTTGATGTAGTCGTAGATGACGCGCTGCAGCTCCTCAATGAAGGCCTCGTCGAGCGTCTGGTCTGTGAACCACGGTCCGCCCGTGGCGCGCTCCGAGGGCTGCATCGAAGCCTTGATGTACATCTTCTTATTAGGGTGCTCGACATTCTTGAACGGCACAATGAGACCCTTGATGTGGAGCTGCTTGATAGCAGCCTTCATGACGGTGTCGTTCATGCTCAGGCGGTTAATGATCGTCTTGCTCCAGATTCCGTCGCCACCAGCATCGTCAATCATGCCGTACACCATGCGCTGCTCGTCCGTCGTACATAGCTTGTACCTGTGAGAGTGCAGCAAGTCAGCCTTCGTCCGCCCGCCGTCAATCAATCAATCGTCCCTATTCTCTCCCATTCCATTCGAGCGTCGCGAGGGAGAAACTCACTTGGCAGCCTCGGCCTTTGGCCGCCATCGCCACGCGAGGCCGCTCTGCGTCGCCACAGCATTGAGCAGCTTTTCGTTGGATAGGCTCTGGAGCGCCTTGAGGAGCAGCGACGCATCGCGGTTGGGAATGACGTCGAGTTCGAGGAGATCGTCCTGCGTGTAGAGTTGGTCCTCGCCGCCGTTGTTCTGGCACGCCTCGTAGATGGCCTGCTTGATGACCTCGAGCTTGGTGGGATCGGTCGCCGAGCTTGCCGGTGTCGCCGTCGAAGGCGTAGTTGCTTCGGGAGCCATTGTTTGCCTTCGCTTTCTTTTGTTTGTCGCGGTCGTAGAAGAAACGGGAAGCGAGGAGGAGGAGGAGGAGTGTGTTGGCGGGGTTGAGTCAGAGGCGAAGAAGCTTCGGCACTTGAGACGAAGTAGTGCGCGCCCCCGGGCAAAGTCTAGTCGCAGTGAACAGCTGCTACATCTGCGAATGCACTGGTTAGACTTTGGTCACCGTGAGCCGCGCATTGGACTGTCGAGAGGAAGAATTGGCTTTGAAAATGGGTCGGCGACGAGGCGAGGGTTTCGCTCTTTGAGGGAAGCTTCGAAAAATAATCGCTGCCCCGCCCACAAAGGTCTAGCCTTGCATCTTGCGCCGGCTAATCCCTGGCCCGTGGTCAGCGCTGGTCATCGTCAGTCGGAACAAGCATATTCTCCGATTGCTTTATCGCGACGACGACGACGATTATTTGCTCGATCTTATTATCTTCGCACATCCAGTACTAAGTTTCTCTATCGTACAATGATCAAGGGATCTACGAAGCCGCACGTTAACTATATGGCGCCAGCCCAGGCTTCTATCATTATAGCCATAAACCATGAAATCAACAGTCATCCAGAATTGCAGTTGTCTGCTTTGCAGAAGAACTCTATTGAGATAAATCAAATATGCATCGGACGCTTGCCCTACGCGAAGCCTCCGACCAGTGCCATGAGTGCCGCACCGCCCACCACGGCCGCGTAAGCCCTCCATCTCTTCTTTCCCGTGAGGGTGTGGTAGCTCTTCTCTGTGAGGAAGTCCTCTGACAGCAGCTGTACGAGACCGGCGAACAGCAGTAGGCCAGCCGATATGGAGTTCATGAAGCCAACCATCAGGAGGCCGGTCTGACTCATAGGATCATACATCTTGTGTATCACCAAGCCAATCAGTTGTCCAAAGGGTGTCGTGGCGCCGAATGCAAGCACCATCAGCCAAGGTCTCGCCGATTGACGCGGAAGCTGAATGGCGGCAATACGGCTGCCGAGAGCAAGTCCCTCGAAAGTCTGATGGAAACTAATGGCAATGAGGAAAACGATGAACGTTGAACCTGTTGCCACTGAGATTGCCATGCCGATGAATACGCTGTGGAATAAAATGCCACCCTCCAGCATCACACATTGGCGGAGTAGCCGGGCTTGTTCTTCGGGGGTCACGACGTGTGGCGTATTAGGCGCAGTGGGTGTTTGCGGCTTGCGTCTGGAGCGCAGTCCATTCATCGGCACGGCATCAAGCTCGTGCATATCCAGGTCAATATCCGAGTCTTCTTCGTCTTCTTCTGGCCTGTCGAGCTTGAAGCTGGGCCCCGATGCTGGCGGCTGCACTGGGCCGCCGGTTTGCAGAGGAGACGCGCCGGCCATGAGCCCGTCTGTGGCCTCCGTGTCGTGAAACGCCATGTCTGAAGGGCGATGACTTCCCTCTCGCCTGGCAGCAAGGCCATCCGTATTTCCGTTCGCTGGGAAACCATCCTTGTGTACAATAGGCGTCGTGTCGTCATCTTCGTCCCAAAACTGGCCATAGTGGTGTGAATGTGAGTGGCCGGCCCCACGGGTTGCGAGGTAGGATTCGAGAGCGACGACGGTCAGGGCAGCGACCATGGCAACGAAGCCGGCCATGGGTGGGAAGCCCTCGTTGAAAAAGGAGGGAAGACATGGGTCGGTCAACGAGAGGAATGCCGTTGGCAATAGATGCACAAAGGCGGTGGCCAGCAGGACGCCCGTGCCAAAGTGCTGGCAGTAGAAAAGGATACGCTTCTGAAGTCGACCCCCAGAGTTTCGTCGGGGTAAAAGGGGAATACCACATGCTGTGTGCGGTTGCGATATCAGCAGCGTTCTCGTGACGAGAGTGAAGTACAAGAGGGACGAGTCTAGCTTACAGATGGTGCTAAGAGACAGGATCAGGACGAGGGCGCCAATGTGTAGGGCGAGATCATAAGAACCACGCTTGCCGGAACCGCATTGGGGTTTCGTCTTGTCGCCATCGTCTTTGCGTCTGGTCAGTTCGGCCAGGAGAAGGTCGGTTGGGATCGTGGCCCACGAGACATCTGTAGCCGAGGGCAGGAGCAATTGTCAGCAACGGCAGGACGACGCAGTCAGGACGACGCAGCCAGGACGAGATCACATGGAATGCAATGCAAGCGCACCTCTGGTCTGTGGATCCATGATTGGAAATTCGTTTCAGCCTTTCGGGCTGGTGAAGTTATGCTGGTCGTCACCGGATGAATGAAGTTAAGTTCGATGTCATGGCGGCTGCGCGAAGCGGAAGCAAAGATGCCATCAAGGTTTCGTGTCACTTGGCAAGTTTTGGGGCCAGATGGGCAGGAGGCTGCAAACTGGAACACGAACATGCTCCTTGGAAAGGGACACACCCGGATCCAGCGTCAGGCACGGCACGCATGGGATAAGACCTTGAGACATGGGAAGGGGGAACCGAATTGTTCGCTTGGCGCTGCCATCGATCGCTGGCCTGCAGCAGGAGCTGCCGGTGGACGCGGAGAAGGACCCACCCAGGCGACCCAGGCGACCCAAAAATGGACGAAACCTACGCACAGGGATGGGTCCTTCTTTTGGTGGACAAGCCTCGCTATGTGAATACTCGTGTCGACCTCCGGGTTTCGGCGACAAAGCCACCGTCAGCCGCAAGAAGAAGCGTCACTGGCTCCTTGGCCGTCAAGTTGAACCGAGAACCAATGCAGCATTTGCGCAAGTGAGATTATTGTATTGCGTGTGTGTGTTGCGTCCGTGTCTTTCTACTAGGCAGGTCTGTAACGAATATTGCATTGCTTCCCCCTGGACTTGCTCGAGGTTGCCTTCCCAATCCTGCTTCCAACGTCATTATTATCATTACGCAAGCCTCTTGTTGACAATACACCTCGATTACGGCCGATAAAGACAACCACTAGCCGGCGACACCTCACATGGGTACCCTTTTGTCGATGAAATCTGTTCTCCAAGGCTCTATTTGCTCCAATCAATGGAGGCAACGTCGTCGTAGCAGCCCACTTCATTGGTGAACTCGTGGCTCGCAATGGCGCCCGCAGGCAAATCCGCAAGCTTTGCACATTGAGGTACGAGTCTGATAGCGACACAGTCCTCGGGGATGTTCGACTCGGACTCGCCTTCTTCGTTGATCTCCGTCTCGGCATGCTTCAAGAGGAGAAACTTGCGTCCCTGGTAGTACGGTACACTCTCATTGCAGACGATGTAGCTGCCGATGACGGGAGCCGTCAGATAGGCGTACGGCTCAGAACCGCTGGTGAGCTGCACACCCTTTGTGCCGTCTCCGGCATCAACGCGCACGGCTGAAACAGAGTCTTCGGCTTCCGCGATATCGATGCCGTTGGGGAAAGGCGGGGTGCCGCCGTCGGTCACAACGGTGCCCTTACTCTCGCTAATCTCTTGTTGAGTGCCGTTGACATACCACACGCGGGTGGACTCGCTTGAGATGGCGGCAAGTGCCTGGCCCGCACCGACGTGGATTGAGGAGAGCGTGTAGTGGTTGATGGACTCGCAAAAGTCGGCCGCCGGATTCGTCACATTAACAACGAGGGTAAAGCCTGACGAGGTTGATTTCTGGGGGTAGCTTGTTTGACGGACAGCCAGTGGTGATGCCGACGTCAAGCTGGCGAGGCCCATGAGGAAGGCGATGTTGCGCATGTTGGTGAGGGTTTGACGTGCCTAAGCAATGGAGGTGATAATATACAAACGCAGCGAAGGCTCTCTAAAGTTGATATCAAGGATGTTGTGATGGTGTTTGCTCTCGTGGGTTTCGTGGTGACTCGGGATCAATTGTGGAATGTGGGCGGCGGAATGTTAAATACAACAAATTGAACCCCAGCGCCAGAAGGAACCTTGGGGTCTAGATGTACGCTCTTGTCGTTCCACCATTCAAGCGGCACGACGTCAGAATCAGGAGCCGATAGCGCAGTGGCTTCCCGCCGGCCTTCCCGTTCGATGTCGCAGTGTCGAACGATGGCAGGTGAACTACGTTCGCCCCTTGCCAAAGGAAGTATGGGGGGCTGGTACGAAGTTGCAGCCGATCTCTTCCATGCAGATCTTTGGCTTATCACAGCTTGCAGTAGCACTACTAGGTCGTGCACTTGTCGGATTGCGGCGAGGCTGGGCACGCTCGCCTGAAGAGCGCTGGACACCTACTGGACATGACGTTGCAAGGGCAAACTGGGGCCGGTAAACTCTGAGAGCAAGCGCCAACGCCGTTGCCAGGCCATCTGGAGGGCGCGAGAGGTCCGGAGCCCAGTGGACAAAGGCCAGCAGTGATGGCTTGCCAGATCTGGGGAAGGCGACAGCGTCATGCCGAGCCAAGAAGCCGGCAAGCGCGAACCGAACGCCCCGTAGCCGGCCCGTCTTGTTACCCAACATCCGCGCAGCTCATTTTCTGGCGTGTCTCGGGTGACTGCTTTTTCCAGGGTGTTCAGGTGAAAACTCGGCTCGCAAAGGTAGAATTCACTCATGGCACATGGTACGTTTTATAACAGAGTTAGACCAGCACGGACTCCTACATCCTAGGTTTGTGGGTAGTGAGAAGGTTGAGGTGATGTCCTCCATACCATATACGGATGGCTGGCCAAAGGGCGGGGTTGATTAGGTCGCCTGTGCTGAAGGCAAAAAGCGTCTGACGTGTTGTGGAAGCATGTGTTTTTTTTAACACTCATTGGGATTTCTCAATTCCTGTCAAGAGAGGCCGAAAAGCAAACCATCCAGCAGCTGCTAAGCCGACGGACATCTGCGGTGATGCAATCTCACTGAGACGAAAAAGCCTTGCCATTGATGCAGGCATCCGAGACCAAGATCGTGCTAAGCCTCATACCTCATTCAGGACGTTCCGAAAGTGTATTTGTGAGCAAGAATATCCAGCAACATTACAAGTCCTCAGCAACGACGTGAGACCGACGATGCACTGCCTACCTTAGGTAGCAAGGTTGTCGAGAGAGATCACCCATCCTGTCGATTTGTCACGCAGCCTTGAAAGGCGCCCTGGGAACCACCTGCCCAACTGCGACCACAGCTTGCCTGCAAAATTCCCGACGTTTTGCTCAATGGATCGGAATAGGCGGGGATTTACCAATGAAATCCCGGCAAGTGATTTGTCAGATACCCACCCTATCGATGGCGCAATCCAAGCATCATGACTTCTCGACCATCCCCGTTTGAGGACTGGACGAATATGTTGAAATGCATTGTGTCCCTATACACATGAAGAGAATATAGTATCTAAAGCAACGCCAACTTGTGGACTCATCTTACCAGCCCTTTCACCAAACGAAAACCTTCCCTCCATACTGTTTGTCTGCCAAGCAGCTCGAAACATTACGGAACCAGCTCCAGGCCATTTCTGCAAGCCCCACCACAGCTTCGCCCTCCAAGTGAGAGTGTAGAGTCGACGCAAGTTGCCACACAGAGGGGCCTCGTCTCACAGTCACCCAGATCCTCATTTTCACTTCTAACAACCTCATCACCGCTACCCTCACAATGCCTTTTACACTCCCCCCCTTCATCGCTCGCCTCGCGCGGCCCTTGACCACTTCCACAACCCTCCATCTCGCCTCCCCCTCCAACTCTGAGTTCCCCGCCGGCTCGGCAACCGCCACCATCGCCGCGGGCTGCTTCTGGGGCGTTGAGCACATCTACCGCAAGCACTTTGGCGCCTCCGGGCTCCTCGACGCTCGGGTAGGGTACATCGGCGGTGACGCTGAGCACCCCACGTACCGCGCCGTCTGCACTGGCCGCACTGGGCACACCGAGGCTCTGCAGGTCGTGTACGACCCGTCCAAGGTGTCATACGCTCAGCTCCTCGAGTTTTTCTACCGCATGCACGACCCTACGACTGCCAACCGCCAGGGCCCCGACACGGGCACCCAGTACCGCAGCGGCATCTACTTTCACGGCGAGGAGCAGGAGCGCATCGCCAAGGAGATTACCCGCAAGGCCAACGAGCAGTGGTACGAGGGCAAGATTGTCACTGAGATTCTGCCCGCCGGCCAGTGGTGGAACGCCGAGGACTACCACCAGAAGTATCTGCACAAGAACCCCTCTGGTTATGAATGCCCTAGTCACTTCTTGAGGACATTCAAGCCCCTCGAGTGACCTGGAGGAATTTTAGCCGTTGACAAATGGCAGTGGAGGATTAGGAGGTTGTGGAACGTATGGGAAGGCTGGTTCATTGGAACACCGCAGAGATAACGAAGCGTTGACTTTTCCACACTTTAGACCAAAGTCAGGGTAGATTGATATGTAAAACGAATCTCTCTGCAAATGCATTGCCTCACGTGATTGTTGCGTCTTGATTGCGTGCTGTTGAATTTTACAGTCATTGTTCTACATGATTAACTCCTAAATGAAAATCCAAGGCCGTATCCTTGGCCAGAGAGGGGATTGTCTCTCTTTGTACACTGTATCCCTGCGCTGCTGGAGCACTCTCAAAGGCACCAAAAGCCTTTTTGCCTGATTACTGAACGCTTCATAACCTGCTGCCCGAGAATGCCTCACTTACGGCGATTCTGCTGCATCATGAGAATCTGGACCATGCGGATGAAGATGTTGAGGAAGTCAAGCTCGAGTGAGATGCTCTCGTTGACGGGGTCCTTCTTGATGGCACCAGCCTCGGCAAGACGGGCGTGGTACAGAACCTTCTGAACATCGTACAGAGTGAAGCCCCCGAAGACAGCCAGGCCACCGTACAGCCAGAGGTTCTCGGTGAAAGCCAAGGTCCTCACGGCAGTGGCGGGAATGACGAGAGGGGCGAGTCCGGAAGCTGCGACGATGGCAGCACCAGCCAGGAGAGGTCCGCCAATGTAGAGGTATTTCTCCTGCTTGGCGGTGGCGCCGACGATAGAGATGCTGCCCATCATGGCAACAGTGTAGAGACCGGCGCGGGCAATGAGCGCACCAGGGACGAAAGCCAGGAGGGGCGCGACGAAGGCAGCCTGAGTGGCGTTGAATGCGGTCCAGAGGGCGTACTTGGGAATGTAGCTAGACATTGTCAGACAAGTTCCATCAGGTCAGTTTTGAGGATTGCTTACTTGTCAGGCGAAATAGACCGAGTTCCGATCATGGTCGCGAAGCTAAGGGCGAGACCGCCGATGCCAACTACCCAGGGGTTGGTCACCATGAGGCGGTAGACGAAGCCGGTATTGATCATTTGGCGGGCAGTGAGAGCGATGATGCCGACGCCGAGACCAGTGTGAAGGAAGGTGCTGTTGAGGTATTCGCGCTCGAAAGGCGGCATGCCGCCGTCTTCCCTCATCTCGCGGTTGAAGACGGCGTTGATAGCCACGAGTGTGCCACCGAAGATGGCACCGCCGACGACCAGTTTGCGCACATTGCTGCCGCCTTGCTGGCTTTGGGTGTAGGTCTGCTGGGTGAAGCTTCTCGCACCACTGCGGAAGGTGCTGCGCGCAACAATCGAGGATGTTGTCAATCCCGTTGTCGCAGTGGTGCGGGCACTGAAGAAGGCGGAGGAAAGCTTCTGTTTCGGCGAGGCCTGGTGGAAAGCCCGGGAGGCGGTCGTCCGGAAGGCAGCGGATTTTGACAATTCGGGGAGACGCTGCACCAGGCGCGCAGGCCCTTGGCGCAACGTGATATTGAAGGACATCATGAGAGGCCCTTCTGTATGTTGAATAATCGATCGGTGGAGTTCAGATGTCGAGGACAAAAGAAATCTGTTCGATGGAGGGGAAGGTCGACGACTTGCTCAAGTACCTCAGGCACGGGCGGGAAGAGGAGAAGAGGTGCGCGTGGAGGCAAGGATTTGATGACGTTCCCGGGTGAAGCTTGGGCCAGATTTGCTGACCTAACAAGACTTTTCTGGTCAGCAGCACAAGCCCAGAATTCAGTGGAAGCTTCCGGGGCACACTGAGGGCGGACGAACCGGACTTTTGCCGTAAGTCCGCTGCAGTATCACCAGCCAGCTCGGCTGTGCTTGATGAAGGAGGGAATGGTAAAGTAGCAACCTGATGTTGTCAAAGATTCCGCAGTGGATGTGCCCAAACAATTTGATAGATGTTCAAGAGTTTCCCAATTGGCAAACCAATTTTAATGACATTTCTGGACTTTTCATCCCAGTATCCAATTGGGTTCAAAACCTAACTCCTCTGCCGGGCAGTCATCGTCTGGCACCATCAATGTTAAAGTGCATCCAATCGATGTACCGGCGTCGAATCGGGCTCTTGGCTTGGACAGCAACATGCAACATTTCAATTGTCTTCACACGCACGGATGTGCAATTGGGCTGAATACTGGAAGGTTGCGACGGCAAGACCACTCCTCGCAGGCCACATAACATGGCAATCTGCCACCTGGAGACCAGTACAGCATCAAATGAACCTTTTTATGCAAGTATTTGCGCTTGCGAGTCCACGGAGGAGGATGTAGCGAAACGTTGCGTGCATTGACACTTTGCGGAAAGGTTATACTTGGCCATCATGTGCCCTGGAGTCACTTCAATGTCCATTACGTCCGATTTTGGTCAATTGATTGGCCACACAATAACCATACGCGTGCCGGTTGCGGCTGTTGAGCCTGTAATCTGTCTCAGTAGCATGATGGGCGGGCAATCGAGGCGCCTATCAAGGCATGGATGATCTCTATTATCACTTACAGGTGAATAAGTTGGTGTAGTGTCGCTGGATGTACAAAGGAAACAGGAACTGCCCCCCTCGCTGTGGCCTCATTCCTTGTGCTGGCCAGTGAATCTCTCCTTGGACTTCCCCCTTTCGCCTCTGTCATCGTGACAACCAGTGTCTTCTTTTCCTCAACGTCTGCATCGCTGTGATAGTCTTGGGACGATTTCCTTCTTGCACCACACAAGATTCGGTAAACATGCGATTATCGCCATCTCTCATGGCACTCGCCTACCAGGTGGCCGCTGTTGCTTCCGTACCGCTACATCAAGTTCAAGCGCCTCTCGTTTCACCAGCAGAGCCTCAGACTGAGACTGTACTATCACAGGACACGAAAAAAGCAATTGCCAGGCCGACAAGCACTGGCGAGGGATGGTACATAAATACTGATCGCTGGCTGGCCAAGACCGACGGCGAGAATCCGACGAACAAAGCAACGACTTCGGTAGCCTACTGCTTCTGCTCAGAAGGCAACGTGTGCTGCAACTCGCCCCATGGCGTGCAATGCGATTACGGCATCTGCGGCATCTAGACGGTTACGTCGCCAAGCCGCAAAGAGATCTCTTGGCCGGGTCTCCCGCTTCACGGCACCTCGATCTCGGCCGGCAATCGTTATCGCTATCGATGAAGCGAACCACGAGGTGACATTGGATCGCGCCAGTGGATGCGTCTTGACACTTGACAGTCGAACTCGCCATACCCAAACAAGTATTGCTGGCGCCTCGCCTGCTCACATTGCCGAGTCTCCGCTGTACTAGGTCGTGTGCAGGCCCCAGCCGCTCTTCGGCGAGCGACTTCTAATCTAAGATGATTTGTGAAGGTTTTCGGCCAGGGGCATCAAGGGTGGCGCCGGCGTCTCGGACGCACAAGGATTTCCCTGGAGACGATAAATGCAGATTCAACCAGCACCTTGTGCAGCGACGTACGAAGGCAGAGATAGAGGGGCTGAAGCAAAAAAAGAACCCACTTTGCCACCAGTTTCATACGTTGCAAGCTGACAGAAGGATCGTGGTGAGCAGTCGGTCTGCGCCGCAGGTGTGCGCCGCCTGTCAAATTAGGCTTGAAGTGTGATGAGACTCGAAATCCCCACAGTCCGTTCATCTCATGTTGCTCGCTAGGTAGTCTGCGAAACCACGATGCATCTCGATTCAATACTACCTCAAGACAGAGTTCTTGTCACTTTCAATGTTGCAATATTTGTTGCTTGATACTTGTGCGCGATAGATAGTCTTCCAGTGCCGTCGGCCCCTGGTCCCATTCTGACCTGACTATCCCTGGCAGCACCAGCTGGCTAAGCCGTAAATCGTCTCAAACTCCCGCATCAATCTCCCAACTGCGCCTATTTTCAACTCCTCCCAAGGTCCAGCCAGTCGTGGATTGCGGGGGTCCAACGGCTATCCGTCGCCGGGCTCGTGCCTGCGTCACTCCACACGCTCTTTTACATGGTGCGCGTGGACTGAAGCCATGTCCCACGCGTCAGGTCCCTGGCTGCAGTGAGCCCAGAATGTCCATCGGCCAAATGAAAACTACCAGGGGTTAAACCAGCGCAGCCCGGCTCATTCGAGAACCCGACTCATCCGCGATAGGTATAAGGCAAGGCTGGCTGGCTGTTGCTGTCCCTGAGTCTTGGGACTGAACTTCATCCTTTTTTGCCTCCTGTTCATATCGGGCCTTTCTACCCTTCAGTCACTCTTTTTTTGTGTTCGAGCCTTGGTGCTTTGATTCGCCTATACACTCATTTCATCTGACATTCTTTTCGAACGCGCAACGATGCACACCCAGTCATACCTGAGCCTTGCTCTGGCCCTTGCGGCCCCAGCCGTCGTCAACGCCGTCTCTGGTAGCGGCCACTCGACGAGGTACTGGGACTGCTGCAAGCCCTCCTGCGCTTGGGGTGGCAAGGTGAGAAGCCCGGCATGGCTCAAGAGATCATTGACTCACTTCGTTTTCCTCTAGGCTTCCGTCTCGGCCCCTGTCCTAACCTGCGACAAGAACGACAACCCGCTGACCGACCCCAACGCTAAGAGTGGTTGCGACGGTGGTGGTGCTTTCTCTTGCACGAACAACTCGCCCTTTGCCATCAATGATGACGTCGCCTTCGGTTTCGCCGCCACGGCCATCAACGGTGGTTCCGAGGCCAGCTGGTGCTGTGCCTGCTACGCGTGGGTTTCCCTTCTGTGGCATGGAGTGAGCGCGAGCCGTGCTAACCGATCGATGATAGCCTTACATTCACGACCGGCCCCGTCGCCGGTAAGAAGATGGTCGTCCAGTCTACCAACACTGGTGGCGACCTGGGCAACAACCACTTCGATATCATGATGCCCGGCGGTGGTACGTTACAGCTCAACCCTGCCGGTTAGGAACCGACACACTAACGTGAAATTGAAGGTCTCGGTATCTTTGACGGCTGCTCCCCACAGTTTGGCGGTATCCCTGGCGCGCGCTACGGCGGCGTCGGCTCGCGTTCCGAGTGCGATGGCATGCCGGGCCTCCTCAAGGACGGCTGCCAGTGGCGCTTCGACTGGTTCAAGAACGCCGACAACCCCGACTTCACATTCGAGCAGGTGCAGTGCCCGAGTGAGCTGGTCGCCATCTCGGGATGCCGCCGTGCCGATGACAAGAACTTCCCCGCGTTCAACATGATCGGAAACTCGGCGCCCAAGCCCGCGACGACCAGCAAGCCCGCGACGACCAGCAAGCCCGCGACGACCAGCAAGGCCGTGACGACTAGTAAGCCTGCCACTACTAGCAAGCCTGTCACGACCAGCAAGCCTGTCACGACCAGCAAGCCTGTCACGACCAGCAAGGCCGTGACGACCAGCAAGGCCGTGACGACCAGCAAGGCCGCGACGACCAGCAAGGCTGCGACGACCAGCAAGCCCGCAGGCGGCTCTCCATCTGAGCCCCTTGTGGCTGCTTACGGCCAGTGCAACTCGGAGAAGAGCTGGGCCGCGGCCAAGCCGTGCGCAAAGGGACTCCGTTGCGTCAAGCAGAACGACTGGTACTCTCAGTGCCTGCCTTAGACCGACGAGGGATAGCTGTGGCAGCGAGTGGGGGTTGAATGGGCTTCAGTCTTCCTTGAGCCACCTCGACAGCGACCCTGGATATCTGACCATCGGTATCTGGGGAGCATGGCTCCTATATTCAGGGCTACTTGACGCCCTTCTCTTGTTTTGTTCTTCTTCTCTTCTCTTCATGTTTTTTGAGCTAGTATCTGTTAGTTGTTAGCTAGACAAGCCTAGGAACAGAAATGAGATTAGTGTACTCGTTATAACATGATCGCTCGATCCGAAGCCAATGAGCCAACAGGACTGTGCTGCTCCCATGGAATCGCACGAGTTCATTCTCTTGCAACAGTATGATCGACTTCACTGGAAGAGACGGAGGCGGCACGTTGAGTTGTAGGTGACCTTACTCAGGTTGGCAGGTGACAGTCCAACGTGAAATGCAAGGGAAAGGAGTTCGAGACCGCAAGATTGGTGCCCCGCTTTCCAAATGCACCAGCAGCAAGGCACGTGCCACTCATCAGTGTCAGCGTGACGAGCGGGAGATGTGATGCCAGGAAGGGAGCTCGGGCCAGCGCTAGAAGTGGTCTCAGGGCTTCTCGAAGAGTACCCTGTGAGACGCTAAAGAACCTAAAGGAGGTGGTCAAGGCGCATGACCAGTGTATGGTTACCTCCTTTGGCGACAGTGGGGGGTTTAGATGCTGTGACAAGGAACTGCACGGAGAGAGAGAGAGGGGCAAGCAAGATTAGAGGCATCCAGCGCAGCCCTGAATGGAGGTACGTTTCAAGTGTCTGCCAATTTCCACATGCACCGAGCACACCAACTCGTAGTTTGTGTCTTATTTCTTCATCTCGAAGACCCAAGAACGGAAGGCGATGACGGTGATGATGTAAAAAGAGGCAGATGGCCGACACGTGGCGCAGCGCCATGACGATGGGTTGGACTTACGGCATGCGACAAGAGATGCACAAGCAAACGGTCTGCCCGAAAGAAGCAATTCCAATCCGTCGCTGCGGAAATTCTTGTAGCGCGCCGCAGGCACTGGCACCCCCCCTTCACAGCAGGTGCCAGCAGGATGGCTGAAGGTGAAAGTGAGTGACCAGCGCCCTGCGGCTGGCCTGGGACGCTCGAGCACGGTTCCGTCACACCAAAACCTTGCGATCCGCCTTCCTGCATCCCCGGCGAATGAGAGGCCGGCACGCTCGCCTCTTCGCACGTTATCTCTGGCTGCAGCGAGCCGGCGCCCACGGAAGGCAAGCTAGTAAAGAAAGCGTCCCCCTAAGCAGAACGCAGCAACAGCAGAGCAGGAGGGTGGGCATTGCATTTTTGCCAGCCTGGCTTGCAGGGTAGGATAGCGCGGGACATGGTGTAGGGAAGAGGGCGCTTCGGAAGAGCTAGGACCAGGCGGGAAAGCGGGAGGGGTCGAGGTGTGGACAAAGTCTCTCTTCTAGCAGCAGCCCCAGGCCTTGTGGTCGCCATCGCCAAGCCTGCCATTGGGTGACCGAGTATTTCCGCTGGCTGGATGAAGAAGCGGTGACAAGCTGGCGACTGAGGAAGGACTCGCAGTTGGAGGCTCTTGGCAGCGTTGATCTCTTGAAGAATCACGAGCCGTAGATCCCAAGGGAGATGAGGGAAAAGGAACACAGGGGACCGTAGCGTGTGGCAGGGTAATTGTGTGGGCGTTCGGGTGTTTCTTTGGGTGGGCTTCTCCCGGGCTTCCAATGGCCTTCCATCTGCTTTCCACCCGGTTTCCATGCGTTCATCCATGCAATGCAGCTTGCAGTCAGGGCAGAAGGAAGATGCTGTCGTGCTACCCACCAGCCGGCATGTGAAGGGTGGCACAACCGTTCTGACTGACGTCGCTTCGGTCCCGTTGTTTTCTCCATCGTTCTCCATCGCCAGAAGGACAGAAATGTCGAGACGGGGGCCTCCCTCATCAACAGGGCACGTTCGCCATGCCATGTGAGACGTTCGGTCGTGAGCGGAGGGGCATCGGTATGGATGGTGCCGAGGCCAGAGTCCGAGCCAAGCGAGCGGAAACGGACGGACGTTGTTTCGACCGTGATGCTGCCATAACCGAACCCCTGTGATCGGGAACGTCTTGCCTTTTCCGCTGTCTGCCACCTGCACGGCGTCAGACCAGGTATCCTAGCCTCGGGTCTTCATTTACTATGCTTTCGCCAGCGGCCATCACGAGTCGTGAGGTGCGTCAGAGAGCAAGAAAGGAGAGTAATGTAAGGCCTCGGTCCTGTTAACAGGCGCAAAAAGTCACGACCCTCTTCGATACAGATCTTGGCGATAGGCGATAGACAGAGTCTACCATCTGCCAGGTACCTGCCTAGAAAACCTCAGGTACCTTAGGTACCTACGGTACCTCGGTGAGGGAGGTGGTAGGGACTTGGTCCTTGGGGCAGCTTCAAGCAACAAGAGGAGCAGTGCCACCCCCTGGCAGGAAGCAGCACCCAAGCACATGATTCACAGCCAGAGCTCGACGACAGGGCAGGCAGGAAGAAGTCCCGGCGCAGAGGGCAGCAGAGAGGCAGGTGCCGCGTGCCCCACCTGTGCGCGTCATCCCAGAGTGTGGCCCGTGGCCCGTGGCCCGACGACCCCTACATTCTTCCTCCTCCGTGCCATGTCTCGCTCATGCCGCACCCCTGGCGCCCCTCTGGCCCTCCTGACCGCTGCCCTGTGCTCCAGCGGTCCAGCACCCAGAGGTACAGCACTGAGCCGCCGACGCTGGTCATTTTGGGCATCGTAATCCCAAAATTCCCCACGTTTCCGAATCCCTCCCACCTGAGAGATACCTAACCTTCTTCCATCCTCAAGCCCCTCATCATACCTACCTACCTCCTTCCTCCTTACCGCACCTTACCCTTCCTACAATACCTACGTCAACAACCAGGGAGCCGGAGTACAATACCAATTTTGCAAGGCGCCCATCTGAGCACATCTAAATCATTTCAAGAGTGGTCTTATATTCCTCCATTTCGGCAACACGTCTTTGTCTCCTTGCTTCCACTGCCGATTGCCGCCACCTTTCATTGCGTTTTTGCTTGTTCTCGCAACGTGCTGCGACCACACTCCGTTTGCGGCTCGACCGTGATCTTGCTTAAGCCAGGAAACTTCTCAGCTGGCCACCTCGGCACAACTGCCCGCCAACATTCCCAGAATCTGTATTTGCCGTCTATCCCATCACTGCTGGCCAGCTCAAGCTAATCCTGGCGAGCTTTCGCCCCTCCTTCGGTCCAGCCTCTCGCAACCAGACCCCGATCATCGCTCGAATCCTTCTCCCGATCGTCGCTCCCCCGCACTTTTGCCTCTTGGAGGACGTTCTCTGCCAGGCCACCCGATCCGCTGCCTGTAGCACGAGGCGCCTTCTCAACATCCACCCTCACAGTCCGAGCTCCATTGCGTTTTCGGAGCTTGGCTAATCTACCATCGGCCCTTCGTGCCCATTGCAAGACACCAAGCACCACCGCCACTACTCATATTCAGCTATAAGAACACGAGAACACGAGAAGCGACCGTGAAGACGGCTCGATATTGGATCAACCGATCAACAGTACCACAACACCCGCGTCATCCAGCAGCCGCTCTCTCGTGGGGCGGACTCTTCCAACCCTTGGTAGAGGTGCGTGAGCATGCATCACCCCCGCTCGGCTTTTCTCCCGATCACCGGTACCAGCAACCTGGATACCCAAGAGCCGAGTCACCCCGACGAAGCAGCATCGTAAGCTTATAACGTCTAAACGAAAGACGATCGTGACAGAGCAGCATCGCAGGCCGACGCAGTCTGTTCCCGACCCCAAACAATTCAGTCCGTCCGAGCCCTGGCCCTTCGCCCTACCGAGGGTGAGGACCAATCCGACGGCATATCACATCCTTGAATCTGGCCTCGCCACGGCCGCGACCGCGAAATCCTCTCCGCAACATGAGGAGACATCGTTCGGGGTCTTCTCCTTCGCCGTACCGGGCGCTTTCAAACCAGAATGGCGGCGGTCACGGCGCAGGGGGGATTCCTGACTCCATGTCATTAATCAGATCTTTCAATGTCGAAGCCACACCGACCAGACCGGTGCGCCCCTCGCCGTTGACGGCTTCAACTATTCGCGACATGCCGCTTGACCTAGTCGATCGGATCAGATCTTTCCCATTGTTCCAGTCTGCCTCGGAAGACTTTCTCGCCGCCATTGGCAACCATCTGAGGCCGCAGGTCCATGCAGCCCAAGATACCATCCTTCACGAAGGTGAAGATGCTAGAGCCATGTACTGGATCGTGCGTGGCGTCGTTGCCGTTACCTCGCGTGATGGCGAAGCTGTCTTTGCCGAACTCAAGGCAGGTTCCTTCTTTGGCGAGATTGGCGTACTCATGGACGTCCCTCGTACTGCGTCAATAGTCGCGCGGACAAAGTGTCTGCTCGTCGTTCTAAAGAAGGAGGATCTACAGACTGAGCTGCCACGTTTCCCTGAAATGGAGCAGGCTATTCGCCAGGAGGCTCAAGAGAGGCTCAACATCCTTAAGAAGAAACGAAAGGAAAGTAGTCACTCCGACAAGTCTCCTCCCATAGGTACAAGTATTTCGAGAGAGCCTGTACCTGGCGAGGTGTCCACGGGCGAGGTGGGCATGATCAAAGAAGGATCTGTTCACAACTCCAAAAAACGGAAGTCGCCGAGCCCAGGCGCCATCGAGGACCCTGCTGCCGGCAGTGCCCTTGGAAGCGGCTTCGTTAATGTGCGCAAGACGCTCAAAGAATTTCCTCTTTTCTCGACCCTACCCTCCGACATTTTGCACTTTCTCGGACTGAGCGCCCAACCCAAAACATATTCACCTTTTACCGACATAGTACGTCAGGGCGCTCCCGGCAACGACATCTTCTTCATTGTTCGCGGTGAAGCTGAAGTGGTGCGTGAGCCTGCCAAATCAGAGGACCCGTTCAGGAAGATGCCTAGAGGATCGTACATTACCCCGCGGTTAAAGGCAGGACAGTACTTTGGAGAAGTGGCCAGTCTGGGCCTCTCCGAGGGTCGAACTGCCTCTGTACGTTCAATCACGACTGTTGAGTGTCTCATGATCGACGGCGATGCTCTGGAAGAGCTCTGGAAGATGTGTCCTCCCGACATCAAGTTGCAGGTTGAGGAGACAGCTCGAAAGCGATACAGAAAGACGGATGAAGATGTGGATATGAATGATGTCAACATGGAACAGCAACGAAGTAAGTCTGATCCTCCGACGCCTACAACTCCGAAAGTCCTTCCTCACGTCACGTTCACCACACCCTCAAAACCTACGTCACCAACAAGAGAAGATGGCGGAGAAACCATGGAACCCAAAGATCCCGACCCTTATCTGAGTGTCAACATGGAGAATTTACGAAACCGGCGGAGAAATTCCCTCGCGCCACCGACGCCGCAACCCGATGCACCATCACCTAACGTATTGAATGGGAGGTATCAACCGCTCGACACGACTCCGATCCGATTTGGCATCCCTCAGTGGCCATCAGACTCTGAAGAAGTGCCGCCGAAACGAGCCAGGATCCTCCCCCACCGACCACTTTCGATGCAAACACCATCTCTGCCAGACAAGATTCTGGTCAGTGCTCTGCAGTTGATGAGCGTGGGCGAGCTGGTCCGACTTCGGGTCGTATCAACGCACTGGCGCAAGGTGATCGAGAAGGACCCGGGAGTGTGCATTAATGCTGATCTCTCCCCGTATAACCGGAGGGTGACGGATCATAACGTCAGGACTGTCATTGGGCCCTTTTTGGGCAACCGACCGGAAATGATTGATATCAGCAATTGCTTCCATCTGACCGACGAAGGGTTCAAATCGCTCTGGGAGCAATGCGGACGCAATGTGAAGCGATGGAGAATGAGATCCGTGTGGGACGTGTCGGCCAATCAGATTCTGGAAATGGCCGAAAACGCCAAAGATCTCGAGGAGGTGGACTGGAGCAACTGCAGGAAAGTTGGTGATAACCTCCTAGCCCGGGTTGTTGGATGGGTGGTGCCTGAACCCCCGCCACCGCCCCCACAAAACAAGCAAGTGGTTATCTCGAGTTCAAACGCCAGAGGTCGGAACCAGAAGCAACAAACCCGTCCTGCTGCCAACATTCCCAAGCCTGGTACGGTCATCGGATGCCCCAAGTTGAAGCATCTTAACCTTTCGTACTGCAAGCATATCACCGACCGCTCCATGGCTCATATGGCTGCACACGCTTCGACCCGCCTGAGGTCACTGTCCCTCACACGTTGCACATCCATCACCGATGCTGGATTTCAGTCCTGGGCACCCTTTCGCTTTCTCGGCCTCAATCGACTGTGCCTTGCCGATTGCACATATCTGTCTGATAACGCAATTGTCGCGCTCGTGGGGGCCGCGAAGAACCTGACCCATCTTGATCTTTCGTTCTGCTGCGCCCTGTCCGACACGTCTACCGAGGTTGTTGCGCTCGGCCTTCCTCTTCTGCAGGAACTGCGGCTCGCATTCTGTGGCAGTGCCGTATCGGACGCCAGCTTGCAATCCGTTGCGCTGCATCTGAACGAGTTGCAGGGCATCTCGGTCCGTGGCTGCGTGCGAGTCACCGGCAATGGCGTCGAGAATCTGCTCGACGGCTGTGGACGGCTGACTTGGGTCGACGTCAGCCAGTGCCGCAACCTCGAGGGGTGGATCCGCACCGGTGGTGTGGCGCGCTGGGGCTTTGACGAGCGAGGCGGTAATGGCCTGCCATCGCCCAGCTCTTCTGACGACGGAGACCGGCCAAAGCTCATGGCGAGGGCTATGTCGATGAGCAAAAGTTCGATGGGACACAACGTGGGAGTTCCAGGCCGTACGATGAGTTTCCGCAGACGAACAAGGAAGCCGGTTCGATTTATCGTCGAAAAGGGAACCGGAGTATTACGTTGATGGTGACGAGACCATGTGGGATCAACAGTACTACTTCACGTCTCGAGTCGAACCGGACAGTGCAGGTTTTGACATAGTTTACGAACAAGGCATGGATCTAGCCAGTGGGTGGTGTTTGTGTAAGGTGAGAGAAAAGCTTGGGCCACAGTGGGTTGTACCTGAGCCGTGTACTCTACGTAGTCGTTGGGCACGGTGAATGGTGTTTGGTGGGTGGCCCTGGCAGACAGCAGGCCTCTTGATTGCGTATCATGATGATCACAGTAGATATTAATACCCTGTTTTATGCGTTGAGAGCTTGATGTACACGCGTGTTCACGCCTCACTGACTCTCTGTTTAACTGACCAGGGACGTTTGATGGCGCATGCTGAAGGAGTATCGCGCCGCACCCTGGCGCGCCCATCTCATCGGGTCGCCAGACCTTTTGCACTGGAGCGGAATTTGGCGTTGTAAGGACAGCTAGATGGCGATTATCTAGCGTCAATGAAATTTGTAAACGACTCTCTACGTCCTTCGTCTCCACGCGTCATCATCGCAGGCCCAAGTTCGTCACACATCATTTGAGCACGGTACAGGTTCAAAAGTCAATGGTCTGGCAATGTTCAATTTCCTAGGATCACGCCAGAGGGGGGTTCGCGTTCTTCAGAAGCATCTCAAAGTACGCCTGGAACCAACCGCCGGCTTCGGGCGCAGGCTGGAAGGCCGAGGGGCTGTGGCAGTTCTCATCAAAGCGAACGGCCGTCTCATCGCTGGTGCCGTCGCTCTCACCGCCGGGCTTGATCCAGACGATGGCGTCGGTGATTTCATCGGCAATCTCGGTCGTCGGCCGAGGACCGAAGCCCGTGCCGTTGATGTTGCACCAGTGGGACCAAGCGGAGCGCAAGCCTGGCTGGACCCCGGAGCGGCCCTGGTCGACAATGAAGTGTGCCGGGTACCCGGCTGTCTCGAGGTGGGGAGCGAGGGCGTCGTGGAACTTGGACTCGTCCCACTGCGCATTCGGCTCTGTGTAGGCGGGGGGCGTTGTGAGGTTGTAGCCGTTGAAGTTGGAGACGTTGGTGACGACGCCACGGACGGCCTTGGGGGAGCCAGCGTTCTTGTAGAGCTCGGCGTAGAGCTCGGCCGTAGGCTGGAGGTTGCCATCCCAGCCCAGCCAGCCGGCGTGGCCAGCATCAACGTATATGGCGACATTGGCGAAGTTGAGTGTGGCGAGGCCGTACTCGGTTGCCTCACGGTAGGCGGAAGCGGCATTGGCGCACTTCTCAACAGCCATGTTGGTGACAAGGTTGGCGAGACCATCGGGCTCGTAAGCGATGACAGTACGGATGTCGGAGAACTTCTTGATGAGGGCCGCGATAGGATCAATGTATTCCGTCTTGTAACGGTTGAGACCGTCCTCGGCGAGGATAAGCTCACCAGCCGACGCCTTGGCCGAGCAGTCCCTGTCGGGGAAGTTGTACACAACAATAGTGGCGGCGTAGGGAGGGCTTGCGCCAGCGTCGTTGGCCGCGCGAATCTCATGGAGCGTGCTGTTTAGGAGATCGATCTTGGATATTTTGTCACTGGTCCTGTCAGTCTTTTGGCTGCCACAAGCCAACATCCAACAGGCAATTCATCTTACAGCCACTGGAAGGTCGAGATCTTGGTAACCGCCTTGGCGGCTGCCACAAGCTCCTCGTCCTCGATTTGTGGAATGGCGAGAGTCTCAATCTCGTTGACATAGTATGGATCAGGATACAGCTGAACATCGGCAAGCGGGTTGCCTTCATAGGTGGCGACGTCGCGGCATTTGTTCCTGTGGGGAACGGCCAGCGCAACCGTCGTCAAGGCTGCGGCGACTAGGAAGCTCTTCGTAGACATGTCGGCGATGTGTCTGTATCCTTATGCTTCTGAGCAACTGATGACAGCCTCTGACTGGCGGAGAGCGAGAGGGGACCTTGCGCCAGATCCAAGTTGCCAGAACCAAGGCATCTTATACTCCTGCCAAGATGGATGGCTGACCGCAGTGCCGTCGTGACCATTGCAGGCTGAAAGTTGAGGATCTAGTCAAGACGAAAGCCAAGACTTGAATTTCGCAGCAAATGATGGCCCAGGGGCGCAGCACGCTTCAGGTTGACACCTGGGTTCAACAGCCCATGCAAGGTGGAGGTTCACTGAAGCCGGAGATGCCACGAAGTCCCCGAGGCAACATTGAAGGTTTGGACCCCCCTCTCTACCCCAAACGGTAATGTCGATCGCCATCTTCTCCGTGCCAAGGGATTGGGAGTCGGCGGGGTTGAAGGAAGATCAGGGAAACGTGGGCATTGACACGGCTCGTTGCCCTCCTCGTGCCTGACGTGACGAGAGATGCAAGATCACATATCTGGCGCCGAGCCTCTGGGACCTCGAGCCTTGCCCTTTTGTGTTTTTGAATGCACTTGTGAGTGGCCCATGAACGCCAGAGTCTGGCTCGGCTCTGGGCTGGAGGGCGTCTCGGGTTACTTGATTGCGCTGAACGGAGAGTGGTGCTCCGGAAAGACGGAACGTAGTGGAGCACTGCATTGAGCCGGGACGGATGGGAGGGGCCAGCTAGCCGATTGAGATGTCGTGATGGGGAAGTATTTGGCCCATGACGATGACGGTCATAGCGCATACATGGTATTTGGTGCACAGCCGAAATGAACCATCTGGGGGTCGGCATGTGCCGTGATATGGTGTGGAGGCCATGGTCGCGATGGTAAGGAGGTCGGAGAGAAAATCTCAAAGAGGCCAAGAACCAGCCAGGAACCTTTGGAGCGGCAGGCGCACAGGCCAAACCTTGAAATACACTGAGTCATTGGTTCCCCAGAAGAACAAGCAAGAGCTACTACCCCGCACCGAAGCACCCATTCCTGCACCCACTGGAGCGAGGACCGACACTCCGCCAAACCTGCTTGGCATAACCATCATCAGCATGTCGAAGCACCGGCGAGACTCCATATGCTCATGCCTACCTGGGTGTCTGGTCGAAAAGATCAACTAGCTCCCTTACGTCGGGCTCATCCGCTACGCTGGTCGCAACGCCGGCTTGGCAAATCCTTCGCGTTCATTCTCACCTTCTCGAGGCAATGGCTCCCCCTTGTCTTTTTTTCCAGAACCGAAGTACCTCGACACGCCTCTGGCCTCGTCACTCGATGGCATCGGGCAATCCCGAACCTTCATGGTGATACATCTTGAAAAGCGGCTCCCATACAGTCACGGCTCGCTTCGAAACATGGCCATTAAGCGGCTCCATCGTCGGTACGAATAGTCTTTTCTCTGCCGAGCACTCGATCGCCTGGCCACTGAGCGTATCGTCCTCGAGAAACGTACCGTACGCTGCGACAATACTCGAAATGGGCGTCATACTGGGCAGTAACGTCAGCTCACTGCTTGCCACTGGCGCTTGAGTCTTTACCATTCAGGGGAAACGGCAGCTACCATCTCCGGTGGGATGATGCTGGTAGCCACGATGCCGGGCAACACAACGTTGATTCGGATATTCTCCTTCTGTCACACCGCATCAGCCTTTGGCAGACCAACATGACAGCAGTCAATTCCGCAGACGCACAATCTTGAGCACTCGTGATGTTGCTCGAACGAAATTAACGACTGCCGCCTTGGCCCCGTCATACTCTGGATACGTCTCGTGCGGGTATAATGCCGCCACGCTTCCCGTCGCCACGATGATGCCGCCTGGGACCTTGTTCTTGCGCATAAAGTGCGTTGCCAGTTGCGTTCCGTAGACGACACCCTTCCAATCGATATCAGTGCACAGCAGGCTAGGCTTGGGAGGGATGATATCTGAGTCTCGATGGTCAAAGATGTACAAGGACTCCTTGTCAACGATGCCCGCGTTTGCGAGCAAAGCATCGATGCGACCATGTTCATTCCAGACTTCTTGAAATGTCTTTGCTTGGCTATCATAGTCGGCTACGTCTGTCTTGTGAAAGCTGGCGTTTCGTCCGAGCTCTAACGACAGCGTGTCGTTGGTATTAAGGTCGGCCATAGCGACATGCCAGCCCTTGCTCGCAAGGTCTCGCGAGAGGGCCTCTCCCATGCCGGACTAAATCGTGTCAGCACTTCATTTTTTGCTGTCTAGGACCGGCTCGTACAGAAGCGCCTGTTATGATAGCTACTCTTTTGTCTGCCATCATGACGTTGATCGATGCAATGCCAGGTATATCTGGCTCTGAACCTGTTCGTGTTTTCTGACTTCAAAAAGTCGAGGACCCTACACCTGAGACCAGCAACACTTGCTCGAAGACTAAGTCGACAGGAAAGCGCACGAGCACTGCTCATCGAGGGTGCTGTATCCTTGCCTTGCTGCTCCTGAGAGCCAAGCATCGGCGCGACGGGCCTCCGCATCACTCACTTGCATCGGCTCTCGACACCCAGCATTTCGTTTGCAAGACCCCGTTCCGGCATTTCACATGGCAACCACGATACCGACAGCGAACGTTTTGGGTTGGATACCTGGTCACAAGCCACCAGTGCCCCCTCATGCCGGGCTTAGAGCACCCGATCAGGCCTTGTCACGCCAGATCTAGCCCTATCGGGCACGGGAAAGCCTGAAACTGCAGCCCTACCGCCTGGATCGAATGGCGGGTGTCCTTATCCAGCTGGCTGTTACTCGGCTGCCTTGCACAGCAATCCAGTATTGGCGCCAATACTTCTCGTATCAAATCGGGTCGCACTTCCAGTCTTCGTCTTTCTGTTGAAGCTTGTTCAGCCAACGTTGAACGAGATGCCACTCGCCCCTCGCGCCTTGGTCGCAGTGGGTGTTCTGTAATTCGGATTTCATGGTAGGTGCTGCTACAAGTGGCATTCTCTTTCATTGAATCATTCTTCGAACGCCCTTGACAACAAGACCTGTGTCCTCGTCGTCACGAGGAATCTTACAAGAAAGCTCATAACGTATCCGCAGGGCTGTAGGGCTGTTCGGAGTGGGGTCTGGAGATGGTTTTCCGCAATGCGGGCTGCGGGGGAGAAGGCATGTTCAAGTGATCGGACCAACTCCCGGCGCTAACACAACAAGAACCGACTAGAGCACTCTGACACTGCTGAACAGACTCCTAGATTGATCGTGCGCGAGTCGAGTCACTGCTTCAAGAGATGTTGACGTGTTAGGTGGCGCAGAAGCTGCGGACAGGACAAGCTACTGAGTAGTCGAGACTGTCGGAGGGGAAGTTGTCACGCCGGTGAGGGCCAGGCATATAGTCTGTCGCGCCCGATTCCACTTCCCTTCCCTGAAGCGACGATGTATTTCCAAGACCTGCGAGCATCTTGCCTTTCAATCTAAACGAAATACTGCAACACGAAGCCTCGCTCCGTCATGTCCACCTCCGAGACCGCGCATGCAACAGCTGCGACTAGGGACGGCTCATCCATGCGACAACATTCAGAGGTTGATGTGGAGAAGACGAGAGATGCTGTGCACACAGAGAACCAGGACATGGCATTTGTTCCGAATGATGATACAGAATACAATGTCACCTTCAAGACTTGGATAGTTGTTTGGGCGCGTCTCTCAACCTCAAATGCACGTTTCGAACCCGATTGCTGACAATTCTGGACAGATCCTCGCGCTCTCCTATGGCATATCATTCTGGATTGTTCCCGCTCTTAGTGCTGCTCAATCAGTTGTATCGGCTCAGCTTGGCGATCCCACTGCATCCGCATGGTATATCCCAATCTACACCATGACAGTGACGATTGCCTTTATGATTTGTGGTGCCAACTCAGACCTCTTCGGCCGTCGTTGGTTCATCGTGGGCGGCAACGTACTGCTCTTCATAGGTTTTATTGTTGGAGGTACCGCAAAGAACACGACGTCTCTCATCGTATCATGTGCTCTGATAGGGTTTGGTGCAGGCAATGCCCAGCTTGCCGCTTTTGCGCTGCCAGAGTTGTTACCGAACAAATGGCGTCACTCCGCCATTGTTTTGGCCGATATTGGAGTCTACTTCGCAGTTGTTGTTGGTCCCGTCGCTGGACGCTTCGCCATCGAGGAAGGCGAGGCTTGGAGATGGCTATTTTATGCACCCGCCATTGCGGTCGTCTTCTCCTTCGCTGGACTCTACTTCTACTACTTCCCGCCACGACATCCACGCGGCTTGCCCTTCTCTCAGGCTCTTCGCGAGCTTGACTACGTCGGTGCTTTCCTCTTCATCGTTGCAACCACGCTCATCTTGACGGGAATTGTTTACACAACAACGCTGCCCTCAAACAATCCCCGTGTCATTGGTACGCTTGTCTCTGGATTTGTTCTGATGACACTGTTCGGGCTTTGGGAAACCTTTGCCCCCCTAAAGCAGCCCCTGACACCAACCCGCATCTTTACCCGTGACAAGGGCCGCCGACTAACTGCCCCTTTCGTCGCTGGCTTTGTCGTCACAATGTTCTACTACGCCCTCAACGTCATCTGGCCGACCATGATCGCCGTATTCTTCACAAACGAGACGACCGATTTCCGCTACGCCATCGTTCTCACCCTGCCCCAGAATCTCGGTCTCACTTTTGGCGCCGTACTTCTAACCCTCCTTGGTTCTAAGATAGGCCAATGGCGCTGGACATTGACTGGCAGCGTGACTGTCATGGTCGTCTTCGGCGCCCTTCTCGCTCTCGGCACTCCGGACCGCAAAGGCCTCATGATCGCCATGATCTTCCTCTCCGAGGTCGGCTTTGGCTGGGCTCAGTATCTAAGCATTGCCTTCATTCAGTTCGGCACAGACCAAGTAGAGCTCGGTATATCAGGTGGCCTCGCCGGCGTGGCCCGTTTCGCGGGCGGCTCTGTTGCTATCTCGGTGTATACGACCATATTGACCAACGTCCAGAGCACAGAGGCCGCGCGCATTGTGCCTGCAGCTGCTACAGCGGCGGGCCTGCCAGAGTCGTCAGTCGCTGCTCTCATGGCGGCTTTGCCGCTCGGGTCTGCAGCTCTGGCACAGGTGCCAGGGATCTCGCCTGATATCATGGTAGCGGCAGGCGCGGCGTTTCAGCAAAGCTACGTTGTTGGTCTGCGGACGACAGCTTTATCTTCTCTTTCTTTCGGCGTTATCGGAATCATCGGTGAGTTCAGTCTTGTTTTCTGATCGCGAGAGGCGGTATGCTGATACTAGGGCGTAGCTTGTCTCTGCTGCCAGGACATCGGCCCAAGGATGAACGATAAGATCGAGATTTTCCTCGAGAATGACGAAAATGCCGACAAAAATAAGTATCACTAGTTGTGTCTGGGTATTCTTCGCCGGTTTACAGTTTTAAATACTATTGATCGGACGGCGTTTGTGCGTTGTCCTGCGATGGCCTAGAATATCTTGTGAGAGAGACTCGACGATGGTTCTAGCGCGTATCATGGTTGCTTCTATAACTTAATTACGATTTCCAATTAACTCTTGTGTATTGTTTGCCAAGTAAATGCTATATATTACACTCCTCAAGCAGAAGAAAAGCTGGGGGCCCTCATTCGGATCGAGCAGCATCTCTACATCAAGCCAGGCAGTGTGCTGGGTGTCCTGGCGGACACTTAGAGGCCGAGGTCAAACCTCGAATACAGCGAGAAAGAAACACTATGGAATGTTACATGGCTTCCTCAGCTCCAAACTTACGATGTCCCTTACTTGGTAGTGTGGTTTAGTTGGAGACAAAACTTGGGAGGACGTTTTCCGACCTTGTACCATGCGAGAACAGTACTTTTCAAAAGACCGCAAAAGGCGAGATCTGCAGTGTCTTGATATCCTTCACAGCATGTACCCAGCCGGCTCGCCACGTAACATCTCCCAGACCCGATCGGATCTGGCATTCGACAGGGTTCATATTTGGCCCAACGTGCCGGGTAACACCTCCCGAGCGACTTGTTAGATCCTCTTGGCAGTCGTGAGAAACGGGGCTTCGATCGAATCTGCTGTCGCCAAAAAGATGTGCAAGCGGAACTACATTAGAGCCAAGCGGCTCACGACAGCCATTGAGGGCTTGAGAATTGGCTTTGGACACCGCGAGAAAGGAATTGCCTAAGAGATGGGAGGTGAGAGGTATCTAGCGCTGGCATTGGGCCACTCGGTGACCGAACAGTCACGCCGTGCCGCTCTGAGTATGATATAAGCCGACATGCTGCTATTGAGATGATCGAGAATCGCCAATGTGTCGGTGCCCCGCCAACATCATTATTCGTGCCAACCTGGTATATTTTTCTAAATAGCCCATCAGCATGCCCAGTGTGCCACAGATTCATGACAAGTTGATCCTGTTCGGCAACGTCAATATCATCCCCGATCACTACAATGATGTAATGGCCGTCCTGGCATGAACAGCCCATCTTTTTCTAACATTTCCCAGTGGCAAACAGCGTATGACAAGCTGGCGGCTCACGTTTCCCAAAATGAGCCCGACACCTACTCGTACTACTTCGGCATTCCACTCGAGTACGCTGCCGAGCCCTCTCGTACGGACCACATGTTCGCCTTCGAGATGTACGGCACGCGCGACGATCTCTACGAGACGCATCTGAAGTCAGAACCCATGACGCAAGCCTTCCTACCATCAGCCCTTCCGCTCATGACGACCGGACTGGACCTCGTCCATTACGGCGTCGTGGGTGGGTTCCTGGACATTTTCGGTGACAAGGCAGAATGCGGCATCATGCGGGACATTCAGATTCGATGCATAGACGAGGCCGCGCGGCAGAGGCTACTGGATGTGTTGAACATGGTCTGCCGAAGCGTTGAGGTGGCGCAACGGCAGGACGGGATGGGCGAAATCCTGACCTTCCTGGGCCTCAAGAGCCTAGACAATGATGTCGGCGCCCGCATCTACGCACGCTACAAAGACCGATCGGCCATGGAGGCGTGGCAGAGAAGCGACATCGTTCAAGAGTTCTGGAGGGTGGTCAAAGGAAACGTAGCCGACATGACATCTCGTGCGTATGTGCCGAATGGCAAGGGATGGCTGTGGAAGTGAGAGAACGACGCCAACGCCGCTGAGGCACAGCTGTAGGCGGTACTTGGCCACCTAGGTCGTTCAGACAAATAATGAAGTCCAGTCCGATGGAAACGGTTGTCGCCCGCAGGTGAGCAAGGATGTGGTGGGCACCTTGCCTGAGCTTAGGGGTAGTAGCGCAGCCAAAAGTGCCCACCCAACTAACAAGCGAAAGGAGGCTGGCCAGATTCGCTAGCATGACTCCATGACTCCACGCTACCTTAGCCGGTTTAGGGCAATCTGGACATCACATGGTGTCGCCAGCTTCAGCTCAACCAACAAGTAGGACAGTTGCGCTGCACTGCAACGGCGCAGCTGCTGGGCTGCACGCCGCTCCGCCATCAGTACCTGGCGAGCCATTAACCGCGGTTGCAGGCACTGCCCCTTTCGTTGGGATCCCATTCGCTGTCGAGAACGTGCCTCCAAAGACAAGGCCTGATAAGGAAAGGCTTGACTCGGTGACATGCCACACCATGGTCTTCGGCCTCAAGACCTTCTCGAATGACCTTCTCCCCCCCGCCTCTGTCTGCATGGAGACCCTAGATCCCGGAGAAGGGGCCGTACGGGACAAGCCCTTGGCTTCTTCACCAGAACAAATCACATTGTTTGTCCTCGGAGGTGTTTGCCACGCGGCCTCGACACCATCTACAGGGCCGAGTACGTGTCCTGACTACGCGTTCTTGGCAGCACAGGGCCTCATTATCAACACAGCCGTCAGCCACCCCGTTCAGCCTTGGAAGGCTTATTCTATCGCGATCGTTTGGCACCTGATCCTTGTTAGCGGTCCCCAGATCGTTGCCAAATACCCCAGGCGAACCCCTCGGTGCTACTGCTCGCATTCGCCGCAATACCCATTAACCTCTCTGACGCATATCTCATACCCTTCACCACAACATCAACGTCACTTTCTATCGTGACTTGACGTAGAATCTCGTCTGGACGCTAATTAATCATGCCATCCTTCTTCAAGCGCTTCAAGGATAAGGAGAAGGAAGCCCAGGCGGAGAAGGCCGCCGTCGAACGACCTGCGACGCCACCACCAGCCTATGGCGATGCCAGCCAGGATCTTTCTGCGGTCCCTGACCTCGACGACGCACCGCCGCCGTTCAGCGTCAGCGGGACGAGAGATATCACGGCTGCATTTGCTTCCCTCAAGCTATCGACCCAGAACAACCCTGATGTCGACTCGTGCCTGGCCCATCTGAAGCTGCTGCACGCTATTCAGACCCTCAAGGAGGAAATTGGCTACACAGATGGCCTGTGGGACATTTGGGACCACCGTGCGGGACCCAAACTGGACGACGCTGCTGGGTCGAGTGCCGTGTCAGATCAGCTACACATTCTGTCCATCATCCGCGAGAAGCGATGGGCGTTGTACCTTGCGCGGGCTGTGGACCGTTACGAGGCTTGGTGGACCTCGCTTCCAAACGATTCCCTGACCGAAAAGGATATGGAGACCAAGGGCAGCCTCAAATATGAGAGGTTCCCAGAGGGGTCAGTTGACTTTCCGTGGACGCAAGACAATCTTCCCCCGATTGGTATGTACCATCCAGCTTCCGTCTTTTGACCGGGTATCCATTGACATTTCGCAGACGTTCTCATGATCTGGCACACCCACATGCTCAATCCAAGAGTCTTCCTTGAGGATGCCATGAGACGTGGACTCAAGGCATTCTGGACAACAGGCATGCCATGGGCCCAGGTCAACATCGCCATTGACAACAGTTTCAACTACACTGTCACGGATGAATGCAAGGCCAAGTGGGAGCGTACAACGGGGAGGGCATGGCTGAACCAAGACGACCCCAAATTCAAGTCCCTGGAGTGTCCGGCTTGCCACAGCATAATTGAGCTGCCGTGGACGACATGCGGCCTCCCAGAGCTGTACAAGGGAGTGGCGTGAGTCAAGAGAGCGCCGTGATTCACATGAGGTCATCATGAACTAACGTTCGATGTAGACGACCTGGCCTCCACGGCAACGGTTTTGGAGACGGCGAGTTCTCGCAATTTTGCACGGAGGAATGTGGTGTGCCCATTGACAAACATATTTTGCCGGTGGCCAGGTTCATTCGCGACGCCAAACTCAGCGTTGAAAACTCGATACCCATGCCTGGATCTGTTCTAGACCCGAAGTACGGAACGCCCAATTGCACCCAGGCTCCCGAAGGGGGCTACCCGTTGGCGGAGCTGAGCTTCCCCGATCGTCTTGCCAAGGCTATTTATCCTCAACTCCGAGAATTGATCAAGCCAGGGATGACCAAGTCACAACTGCCAACCATGAAAGACGTGGCAAACATTGTGGGAAGCACCATCAAGGATGAAGAGAAGCTGAGGAGTTTTCAAAACCCAAACAACGTCAAGATCGAGGCCAGGCCAGGCAAGCTGATCCCACGCGAAAGTATACAGGATACGGAGCGGTACCAGTGCCGCAAGATGATGGGCCAGTACTGGCAGAACCCTTCCATGTTTGGTCTCGACCTTGCTGCTGGCGCTATTCGTCAGGGGGTGTTCATTGACAAGATGTACAAGGTCCGCAGTAAATTCCCGTACTGCTTCCGCTCGGCGTGAGCTGACAGTGACCAGATTGATTGGCTCCATAGCCCCTCAGCACGATCGACAATGACGCGACTCCTTCAAAAGTACGACCGCTTTTTCATGATCATGCTCACCATGCCTGGCCACATGATAGTGCCGACTCTCGATGTCGACCTTGCGTGGCACACGCATCAGCTGGCCCCACGGGCTTACTACAAGTACTCGACGTCACGTACAGCGGCATCGCAAACGCAGCACGCGAAGTTCATCGACCATAATGACAAGGTGGAAGAGGGCGCGCTCGGCGATGCGTTTGTGTTTACATGCAGGAAGTATATGAACCTGTTCAATGAGGTTTACTCGGAATGTACCTGTTGGTTCTGTGAAGGTATGTGACGTCTGCCAAGCCATGCACCTATGCTTGACCTGTCTGACGATGAGCTAGCGGTTCGCGATTTGCATTCGTCTGCTGGTTTCGCGAAGAGGTCCAAGGCCCAGAAAGGTGAGTCCCCCGCTAATCGAGGCCCTTCGCTGTGTTCTCGCCCTGACAGAACCTTCAGCCATCGATGAGCTGCACAGAGTCACGCCTCCTCTGACGGATAAATCTGCCATGCCGCACATGTCCACCCACAACGCGGTCTCGGCAGTTGAACAGGAAGCAATTCACTGGCGCAACAGGTCTGTCAGGCAACATTCTCGGCACGTATGGAACTTCCGCCTCAATGAAGCCTACACCAGGGCTGCTGCGCGTGCGAAGCGCCGAGGCATCACGCTGCCGCCCAAGGAGGTCTATTACAACCACTGGGGCAAGGACTACTACATGCTCGGCCCTCACGTGGCTCCCACATACCTCAAGCCAGGAATTTACTACGCTGATGACCCAGGGAGGATGCCCATGGGCAAGGAAGCGTGGGCACAGTGTGCGCAGGGGACGTGCGGAAACAATGACATAGCGGCTGGAGGCTGCGGTGGACCTGGAGGCTGCACACAGGCGCCGGTATGTTGCGCATTCTCATGTGACACCGATGGTGGCAAATGACTAACAAGAGGGCTTCGTGTAGGGATACGTGGATGGTAACCTAGGTAAGCAAACGCAGCAATCTTGTTCAGCAGTTTGGTGCCAATCAACTAACATGTTAATGCAGCTGCTAAAGCCGGCAACGACAAGTGGTTGGGCGGCCATGTCTTGGCTGGTGGAGGAGGAGGATGTGGTGGCGGTGGAGGATGTGGCGGAGGATCTTGATGTGACACGGCAGTAAGGCCCTTGCGCAGGTGTTACGATGTACCTGATTATCTGTAGAAAGCAGAGGTTGTAGAAAGATATGTATGCTTGAAAGAAAAATGACTCATCTGTGCCGTTTATCGTCGGCACGCCTGCCGATTCACGAGGACTGTGGCTGGCCTGGTACCCCGGCCATCTTCAGGAAGCCAACCATGTCGTCCATACCTTGTGGCTCATTGAACCAATGGCCGCCATCACCATATTCATGCCACTCTACATCTAGATCACCTCGGGCTCGAAGTGCATCACGAAGCATAACGCCATTGCGCAACGGAACGACATCGTCATCAGCGTTGTGGGCCAAGAACACGGGCGTTTTCCGTGTGCTCCGTATACCAGTCTCGACTTCGGGGCCTTCTACCTCGGCTGCGGAAGGAAACAGTACCGGTGTCCGCTCGGGAGCGAGAGTGATGGCGGCAGGTTGGAGTTTCGGCATCCAGCTGCTCACCCCAATCAGACCGGCCAACCCTTCACCGCCAATGAAGAATGCAGCTACAGCTGTCGCGAAGCCCTGACTGATGCCACCAAGAAACACATTTTCACGTCCCACAATGTCCTCCTCTTCGGTGATAACGTGCATGATGGTCTCGGTGCTCAGCCGAAGCCCGGGCTGCTGGAGTTCGTGCTGGTCATCGAGCTCCTGAACAGACCAGATATCGAACCACTGCGAGATCGGGACGCCGAAACGTGCTGAGGGAAGCATGGGCGCAAAGGGAAACACCCAGCGGACAGTGGGAAGGAGATCGATGAGCGTGCGAGGGCGGTCGGCCGGAACCGAGGCTTCACTTTCGAAGAGCTCTGCGGCAAACTCATCCGCGACACTGTCTCGACCATGGAGAAGAATGATCGTATGCGTGTGCTGATGATGGGGCGCGGGGCCAACAAAGTAAGGTCGCGGGGCCATAATTTGATTGAGGTCGTACGGTTAGGAAGGCGATTCAGTTCTGTAAACATGGGGCGAAAGCTTTTGCGTCTTTTTCCCGCTTTCGTGCCTAATCTGCTGCCTGGTCAGGGTTAGATCATGTAATTGGTTAGCTGGGCGTGGTTGGTTGAGGTCACAACGACTGATGCTGGGCATTTTACTACTTGTCGATAGTGGCCGGAGCGGCAATAGATCGACAAGAATTATATTTCCTTAAGAAATGTGAGACCCGTATCTGTACCATAACGCATACCTGAAGCGTAACGGCTTTTTCTAGGTCTCGGATTCATCTGCGGCATGGAGGCTATCGGGGTAGCCCCAGACTTCTCAACCACGGGATGGTACGAGAAGCTTTTGCTAGCCGGGTGGGAGGTTCGAGCAAAACGAGAAGCGTCACAGTGGGCGAGCATTGGCGACGTTGGCGAATCATTTTAGGGACAATGTGTATTCGTGGAATCATGCGTGATGCCTTTCTCTCAAACGAGAGCCGGACGCCTGGAAGTGGCGGTGCGCAATGCCACCGTTCCTAAATCCATCATGTTGACCGATCGACCGATCGACCCAAAACCGAACGTAACCACCGCTGCCCCTGCCTCTGCCTTGAGTGTCAGCATGGCCATGTCTCTTCCTTTTGTTTCCCAAGAAAATGCCGTGGTCGTACCATCATCGTTCCTTCCTCGGTCAACGTTTATCGCTGGCCGCTCCAGACGCTCTTGAGAAGACCGTCACGCTGAGCAAGGCGGTTCATAGCGTCGTCGCTCTCGCCCATGGCGCGGACGAAGCCGGAGAGGGCGTAGACCTGGTTCTCGCCCTGGACGGCACGGCCGTTCTCGTCAACCTTGGCGATGGAGATCTGAACAGAGGCGTGGTCCTTGGCCTTGATGATGCGGTTGGTCGCCGAGCACTTCCTCGGGACGTAGCTATATTTCGACACATGTTAGCATACCAAACTTTTTGTTGTGTACATTTATGAACTCGCGCCGCGCGAGATGGCTGTCGTCGCAAGTTCGAGAGGGAATATTGCATACAGGTCGACAATTTCTCCGCGGTCGTTCTCCATGGCTGCGATTTGGATGGATTGAGGGGGTTGACGGAAGTGTTGGGTGGTTTGTCTTCGCAGATGTTCGGTCGCAAGAGGCTGTTCGGGAGGGGGGGTTGGAATTTCTTCTCAATTTTGGTGGTAGGCCCGAATTTCGAGCGTCAGTGTGGGGTACGTACTGCTGCCGAGTGCCAGGGCGGGCAATGTCAGGTGACCTACGCGGGTCCACCAGATGGTCCAAGCATCTTATCTAATCAGCATGTGACTTCGCGGTGGTCTCGCGGATGCTGGCGCCCTTCGCCCCTCAGCGCCTCGATGTATTGCATTGTGGACACCCGTTACATCATGACCCATCGCTATCTTAAGACAAGGTACACCGCGTCGCCATTCAGAACCTCGACGCCAGCTCGTTCTCCGAACGAGCAAGCGGCTTCGATTTGCCGTACATTTCTTAGCCAGGGCTAGGTCCCACATCTTGCTCACCCTGCTTCGTCTTGCATCGGGAAGATGCCCTCCGTGTACTCGACGACGGCTCTTCAGTTCTGTCGTTCCCATGGCCAGCTCGACTAGGTCGCGGGGCCACGTCGCTTCGTCGTCTCCTCTGCCCTCTGTCGATGAAATATTTTCCAGGATCACCAAGCCGCCAATGCAGAATGATTACGTCTTGAAGTCAGCAACCGAATTTCCTGAACGCCACTCCGTTGGGGCCACGAGCTTCATCCGACCCGAACGCGTTTCAGTTGATTTGTTGACTCCCAACAAGCCGAATCCAGAGGCCATTGAACCCGACTCGGACGACTCGGTCTGCGTAATCAAGATTCCTGTTCCAGGCACAAGGAAAGCTAGACGCAAGAAGGGCTCAGGCAAACTTCGCGAATTGAAGCCGAAATCGAAGAAGCCGACGACAGAGGAGAGGTCAAAGGAGAAAAAGCCGTGGATGAAGTATAGGGCCAGTGAATCACCAAATGGCAAATCAAAGAGTCATGTCACCCAAGAGTCTGGCAAGAGTACCGAGAAAGTTCGAAGTCACCACTTCCCGACGCCAGTCCAATCGAAGCAGACTGACGATGACGCCGAACCCCGCCTCCTTTCCCAGAAAGAACCTCTACGGGACGAGCCCTTGGATCTGGCACCTGCGTCAAGAAGGAGAGCCAATTGGACGCCGCCGCCGCCGCAACAACTCGGCCCAGAAGGTTCGCGGTCTTCTGATGTTGAAGAGCTTTTGTCCTCCGCTCTTAAGAACTGCAATGCCGCCCCTGCACGAGTCTCGTTTGAGAGTCTTCTAGAAAACTACGTCTGCAAGGAAGACGCGAGCGATGGCAAGCGCTCTGAAACGCCAGAGGGAATACCCGATGCTCTGAAGAAACGAAAACTCGCACAATCCATACCGACCAGTGATTCTGCGACAGTCTCTCGAGACACTTCACCCGTTAAAAAGGTGTCCAAACGAAAGAAGCCACGGACCATCACCGAGCTTGCTACGGCGGCATATGCTGCACCGGAAGAACCAGAAGCTGCGCCGGCAGCATCGCTTCTCGCTTACTTAGAACAACAAACTAGCGGAGCCACTGTTGCCGCAAAGGGCAAGCCCAAAAAGAAGACTGCCAAAAGCAAGCGGCTTCAAAAGGTACCAGAGCCAGCTTCGATTCTTTTATCTCCAGGGACAGCCATCAAGCAGGTCGCCAACCAAGACTTTGTATTTGGAACGTCCAGCCAACTTGCCAGAGAGCACTCGCCGAACTTCCTTCGAGATATCCAGACTGCTGTGCGTGCTTCCAATTCGACCTTAGATGAGCCGGATCCCTTCACCACCCCTTTGAACAGCGATTCTATCGAGCCACCACCTCGCAAGAAGCTGTGGGAAGTTGGCGCCCGCGACGATGACGGCAGGCTTGTTGATCTCGAAATCATTGATTTAGTAGGCACCCCAGCGGTCAGTGTTCCCGAAAACGGGGATTCTTTTGGATATTTGCACGTCGAAAATGCAATCCAGACTAAAATTCAGGATCTCGCCGAAGTCGATGAAGAAGTTGTGCTTCCCAAGCTGAGCCCGGCTTCTGCTGTCTCGGCAGACGCCTCGAGAGAAATTATACCCTGCCTCATCTCGAGCGATATTGGCAATTTGGGCATGGCGAAGATCTCCAATGTTCAGCAACAAACCTGCACGCCGCCTAATTCTATGCATCCAAGCAAAACCCCAGAGGTGCTTGATATCCCCGCGCCCGAGCCAGTTGGTACACCAATTGCTTTGGTCGTCGAACCTGCTCCCGCTGGCCCGAAGAGACCCAGATATGAACTCTACACTGATATACAGCTTACCAAGGAAGTCAGGAAGTTTGGGTTCAAGCCGATCAAACGGCGCACGGCCATGATTGCTTTGCTCGGCCAATGCTGGGAAAGCCAAAACCGGCCCAGAGTGGCTTTGAGCCCGCTACCCTCCAACCAGCCATTATCTACAGCGTCCGGACTGACATCTAGCGCCGTGGCACCGAGGGCAACAGCCCCCGAAACATCGAAGAGACCACGTGGACGACCAAGGAAGGATAGTACCACCGAGATCATACCAGATGAACCACCGCCGTCTGCTCAGCCTCCAGTCCCGTCACCAAAACGGCCCCGTGGTCGACCCCGCAAAGATGCCGGTAGTCCAGCTGCTGCTTCCACAACCAAGTCCAAGCCCAAGGCCAGCCTTCAAGGAACCAAGAAGGCCGCAAAGGCAGAGGATGCAGTGGCGGCGGCAGCGACATCGACAAGCCAACTGAAGGTGTCACAACCACGAGCTGTGGCAGCAGAGGTTATCGAGATACCCGATTCCGCCTCGGACGGGTCGCTGCTTACTTCCTCGCCCGAGATGCGATCCTCGTCGCCACCAGCTGTGGACGTCTGTTTGTCGTTGGACGAAGATGCCGAGATGTCGCTTGCACCGTCTGTCACGAGTACACAGTCAAACCTCATGGACCACATCACCAAGGCAGTGAAGGCGGCACCGCCAACGCAAGATCCCAACGAGCCATCGTGGCATGAAAAGATGTTGATGTACGACCCAGTCATACTCGAAGACCTTGCTGCATGGTTGAACTCGGGACAATTGTCGGAAGCGGGGCATGACGGGGAGGTGTCGGCGTTTGAAGTCAAACAATGGTGCGAGTCAAAGAGTATTTGTTGCCTCTGGCGGGTGAACCTCTCAGGCAAGGAGAGGAAGCGGTATTGATGAAGGCGGCATCAGGATACAGATACCCATGGTCATTCTTGGCTTAAATATTGGTGCACAAGAGCGAGCGAATGAATATGGCTACGCGCGGCGATGAGCTTACAATTGACGATTCCATGGCTTACTACAGGCCTCAGTCTTAGGATGTACTGCTTGGCAATCAGTGACGTTTGGGGCTAGTGGTCTACAGAGAATGAATGGGGAAGGTCATTCCTCATGGCAATCAAGGCTTGCAATGTTGTAAAGGGCGCGCGCTTGGGTGGGCGTGGACCTCGGCACGGCGCCACCTGGAGCTTCCCCCGCCATGATCCCCGTTCAATCGGTCCTGTCACAGACATCAATCCCCAACGCCGAACGACAGGTCCCCTCCACCAAGGCGCACTTGATGTCTCCATCGTCTCCCTGTTCACGCGTGCTAGGCCTTGCGGCATCTCGAATCACGGATTCCCTCCATCAGCCTGCCATAAGCTACCAGACGACAGCACACCACTCATTTTGTACATTTCAGCGACGCTACTTGATATCGCAGACTATACCAATTTCCAATACCATGTCACAAACCCGTGCAGCGTCGTCGAGCTCGAAGGAGAAGAAACCAGCCGTCGCTCCTCGTCCCAGTTCTAGGTAGGTAGGGCCAGGTGGCTGTCCAGTCGAGAGGGCCTTTCTCTCTTCTTCAAGGCTGAGACATTCACAGCATTCTGCTCTTGTCGCCGACCAACCGAGTCCTTCTCTTGCATCGCGTCAAGACGTCAAGCTCCTTCGCGTCCGCACATGTCTTCCCTGGCGGCAACCTAGACGCCTTTCATGACGGCGACATCCCTGCCGAACATGCGAAGGAGAGACATGTGGACGGACCAGCGTACCGCATTGGTGCTATTCGCGAGTGTTTCGAGGAGACAGGCATCTTGCTCGCACGACGCAAAGGGGCAAAAAGTGACGCTGCACTCGTGAGCCTACCTAATGGCGATAGGGAGGCCGCGCGGAAGCAGATCCACGGGAACCATGTCCGATTCAGCGATTGGGCAGAGAGTGTCGGCGGAACACCCGACGTCGAGGGACTGATTCCCTTCACGCGATGGGTAACACCCACCAACGTTCCCAAGCGCTTTACGACCCAGATGTACCTCTATCTTCTCCCCGACACGGCTGCATTTGACCGGGTCGAGGCGGCACAGCAAGAAGAGATTATTGTTCCCACGCCCGACGGCGGCATCGAGCACACAGCAGCCCGGTTCGACGATGCCGCTACATGGCTGGCCAAGTCTGACGCTGGCGAGATTATCTTGTTCCCGCCGCAATACTATCTTCTTCATCATGTGGCTCGGTTCTGTACTCAGCAAGGTTCGGGGACATCGTTTTCGGTTTTTGAATCGCAACGACAGAAGCTCCTGCAATTTCTGCGGAAGACGCCAACGGCCAGTTCGGAAAAAGGGATCGCGCACCCCACATCGTCAATCCCATGGTCTGAGAAGGTCATGAGCCCTCAAAATCTGCTGATTCGGTCTTCGGATAAACGTATTGTGCTCGGTCTCGACAAGCCTGGACCGGAACTAAAGGATTCTGGTCGAGGCGGCGACTGGGAGAGGGTCGTACTCGTGAAATTCTCGAAGGAAGGGCCCCGAAAGGTCGAAATCAGGGACCGGGAGGAGATTTTGGCGGAGGAAAGAGAAGAGAAGTCAGAAGAAGGCTCTGGGGCTCGTCACAAGTTATAAACAGCACGCTCCCCGCTGCAATCGAAGCTAGGCCAGACCCAAACGAACGGTTCGGGTCCCACGTGCTCTTCAACTACTATGCGCCATCATCGTGCAGCATCTTCGGCGTGATGGTTCCTGCGCCCGCGATCGTTTGACGAAAGTAAACAGGGTCGAATGTTGGGACGCCTAACAAACCGGGCGAACAGGAGCGGTGACAAGCCTACAAGCCGACAAGGCTTGCAGGGGAGTCTACCGCGTTCCACGCCCTCAGAGCACCAGGATCCTGGGGAGAGCCCAACTCCCTGAACGCTGAGGCGGCCCGAATGATGAGGCTCTGCGTCTAACCCCGCTCCAGAGTACTATCCTTGTTCTTGCATGAATGCTCTACGGTATCTTTTGGCTTTGCTGTACGGGTATCACCATCAATGCAGCTCTGGCCCAACCTCGATTCCCCATTGGCTCTCAGAAGGCCAACATGCCATGACCTTATTGTTGATAGTCGGCCAGCATGACTCTCCACCCACCCATGAAGTGCTCACAGTACCTAGCCTGCCATTGGGCTGCTTCATCGGATGGCGGATTGGCTTTGCGTCGGCGGTTCCTCCAATCGCAGACATCCCTGCTGTGGCACCTTGCCCTGAGCTTCACGGCCATGACTGATGACAACCAACTACCCACTAGACTCCATGATCCGGTTTCTTCACGGGCAAGGTGCATTTCCCGGCTCCAGGGACCGTCTGTAAGAAAGCACATTCTTTTCTGATGAGGTGCAGGCGTTCCGGAGTCCTCCTTTGGTCCGCGATGACCAGGGTACCGGCGCTTGACACAATATTCTGCTCAAGCTGCCTCTCGTTGATAGGCCTGGCTGTCGAGGCCTACGGGGTTGCCGACGGCTGCATGCAATCATTTTATTGCTGCAATCAAGTGTACCATTTTGTTTTCTGTCTGCCTTTCTTAACACGCCGATTAAGGATCCTTGGTGAGATCTCCACCCTGTAACTGAAATCAGACAATAGGTACTATGCCACGAAGATGGGCGACAAGAGTACCACGAGATGTTGTCCTGCTACGCAAGGAAATGAACACCAGCTCAACCGCCTCGCCTTGGCCTCCGCTTTCCCGATCGAGGATGTGCTCGGCTCCAAGACAGCGAATCCTGGGACTCATGTCATCTTGGCACTTCATCACGTCGACATCATCCATGATATGCATGAGTGACGCCAGCTTTCGCGCCGCGCGACGCGCGAATCTCGATCATTATCCGTCCAATGCTATCAACCGCCGGGCCATTTGCCATGATATTCAATGATTGGGTTGGCAAGAATGCGGCTTGCATGTGCTTCCATCAGCGGCACACCTGGCCTTGCAGATTCGTGTAGCCCCCGTCTCGTCAATGGTCTACCTAGATTGAGCCAGCTTGCTCGTGAAAGCTCAGCCCTGGTACACCGGTCTCCGACTTGTCTCAAGCCGCCGTCGGCGGCAAGGTCGAAACCGAACATTGTTGTCGCAAAAAGGACCGGGACCTAATGGTTGTCACGAGGCCTTCCACGGCAGCTCTATCGATACCTCACGATTGGACATTTCCGATGGCCTGGGGCTTCTCCCTCCACTTGATGAATGCATACGAATGCGTACCATCCCGTTTTTGTTCACCGACCACTCTTTCTGTGTATTTCCAAGCAGAACTTCCCAGGGATGATCCTTCGCCACTGGCTTTCATTCCGCTTTAGGTTGTTCACAATGAGCTGGCGCAGAGGTGGAATCCGTCAACGATCGTTGGTCTTCTCAAGAAGAGTATCGCCGAGATGGACATGTCGTGTCCTCGTGGGGCCCTCTGCGCGCGCCTTCTTGGCCCGTCATGGACGTCGAATGTGGTTGCCAGCCTAGTAGTCAAGGATGTGCACCGAGACGGGGGGGTATTCATTGCTGAAGAACCCATGGCGATGATGACGGGCTGCATGGTGATGGCCGCCAGCAATGACCATATCAGCATGCTTCCGGCTATCTATGGCAGGCGGCGATATTGCGATCACGAGGACGCCTCAGTCGTCGTCTGCGTTGTGGTTCACATCGCCGGGAACTATAAATATCGTCTTCCAGTCGAATTCTCGCCTCATCTTCTCTCCCTCATGATCAAGCACGGCGCTTCTTAAATTTTCTAAGTCCTCCGTCGTCGCCATTCCACGCCCCACGTCAGATATCAACTCGATATACAGCCCTGATTGATCGCCATCATCATGCCATCTCCTGCTCCGGCCCCAACGCCACTCACAGAGTAAGTCCATCCAGGTCCTGTTGCTCACATTAACCACTAACAATATGTTGGCCATCAACCATGGATCGGTTTCAGAGGGATGTCGACGATGTGCCTTACCGCCTTCTGACCACAACGGAGCAGTCAGCTTCTTCAGCTCCATCGTCAAACAATGCATCCACTTCACCCACCGGAACTGGATGACAAGACTCTACATACTTGGGTCTCCTGTTCCGTCAACATGTTCCAGTTCCAGAAGCCTTTGGCAACGAGCTCGATGCGAGTGCAGTGTACCCGAACTCAAGGATAGATCAGGGAATGGTGCGCGGCGACTGTCTTGATCTCTGCCACCCGTACATGTGTGACACCAATCCAGTCCTCCCTGAGGGCCTCTACGATTCTGACTTGATGAGGATGAGGTTTTGACGTGGATTTTACGTTCCGAAGCTCACAAGACTGATGTCCCTAGCGGAACAAAGTGAGCATTTCATTTACCTTTCAAACAAGCTTGGTATCCTCAAATGTGAACACCAATTTCCTTTGAAATCCTCTATCTTTCAGCATTGCGCCAAGATAGACATAACCACTGCCAAACCAAAGCTTTCATGCTGCCGAGTCATCACATTCGAAAGTCGTGACTCACTGAGTGCTGTAAGAATCACAAGGGCATCAAATCCATGACATGCAAGCCGAAGGACGTACGAGTTAACGAAGATAGACCCTTGTGACTTGCTTCAGGGTAGTGAATGCACAAACCTCCGCTCATAACAATAACGTGTCGGGCCTGGCCTCTTGCCTAAACGCATCCTACACTTTCCCAAATTTGATTTCTTTCGTTCGCAAACGACGCAAAAGCACTTGAAGTCCATCGAGTCAGTCTTATCTTTCAGGCCTCTCAACCCATCATCACCAGTTCAGATTTCCCTTTGACGTTATCTTTAGTCCCCTAGGAAAGATGTCGGACTCCTGGAGCGACACCAGCGCTGACGACAGTGAGCTGTCGGAAAGCTCTGATATGCTGTACCCGCCTGAGACAACTATGGTCAACAACGATGCCAGCATCGACAGCGTTTCGCGTGGCACTGTTACTTCATCCACCACGGCTCTGGGCATTTCACAAATCAAGCCGGTCCCCTCGCACGCCCGGGGACAAGCACTGGATATATCTGCAACTGACTCGCAACCGATCTCGGATCGTTCCGAGACGAAGCAAAAGCCGGTCACTTCCTTGAATGATATCGGTCATCCAAGTGCACAAACATTGGCCCCACCTGTTCGGCCTGGTGATCAGGCTCGGTCCGAGTGGGTACCTCCGGCCTCAGGGCAAGAGTCGCCGGTACCCCACTTTCGGTCCACGGAAGGCGGCACAATGCCCGGTATCATAGCTCCGAATCCTTCATGCCGTTACAGTCAGTCTTACGAAAGCGATCGCGAGAGCTCCCGTCCCCACGCCAAATCTTTACTCGGAGATTCACAGCAGGAGACCTATTACCAGCCCCCCTCAGACATTACCTCCAGCAGAAGTGACTGGCACTCGGTTCCTACTGATACCACTGCCGCGTGTGCCATACGTACCGCTGACCCAGCAAATTCTCGATCCCTTCAGCGTTCCGACACTGCGACAATGTCTGACGAGATGGTCCAAGTCTCAGCCCCTTCTCTTGACATGGCTGATATCAACCTTCGCGTCGACGATGTCAAGCACAGAGAAGGCCAGGTTGGAGACCGGGCCAGAACCACCCCAGGTCTGATCATATCGGAAACTGAAAATATTGATTCTCAGCGCGACAAAGACCTCAAACTTCTGGCCTCTCTCCTGACTGCTGGCAATCCAAAGGCTTTCATCACTGACACGTCCAAGCTCGACAAGCATTCGATGGAGAACCGCCAGATGCTGCGTTGGATCAAGCTCGAGTTCGCCATCCACCAGAAACAGAGACTTGGCGATATCACCAAAGCCAAGAAGCTCCGGAACGACACGCCCGCGACCACTACGTACCGCTTCGCCACTCACAAGTCTCTCGACGGCGCCATCAAGGGCGCCAGAGCTGCCTACAAGAGCCTTGCTGACAAGTTCCAGCCCGAAGAAGTGCCTGACATGATCAAGGCTAGCATGGATGCCATGCAGAAGCTGGATGACCTTCTGACTAATGATGACAATGGGATCCTTGACGAGCTTACCGCCGAGGCTCAGAAGCAGGTCAACGCCAACCACATCTACCAGCAGTGCATCGCCACAGGCAAGGAGGGCGCCGAGCCCCAGATTCAGCGCATTGCCGTCATTCAAAAGAGCATTTGCACCTTTGGGCTCCGCGTTGTCATGGTTGATGTCATGTTCTCGAAGCAGCACGAAGACTCGGAGAAGGGTCTGCACCCCAGCACCATGACGGTCCAGAAGTTCCTAAGCAGCGATCCCATCATCGACTCTGCTGTCAAGCTCATTGGTGACCTCGTTGAGGATTTTGATCTTCACATGAAGATTCTGAGGGAAAAGGCTGCCATATTGGACTTGTTAGTGCCATTCTCCCTCCACCTGTCTCCTCGCGTCTGCCCACAAAGGAAGGACGTGTGTTGTTAACAGGGCTCGCAGCATCTCAACCAGACACAAGCAGTGCAGCCTGCGTCACCCCCTGGTGCTCAAGCTTCGCGAAGCTCTTGTCCATGGCTGGTGTGAGTTCCATTCCCACTTCTATAGCGTGGGCTTTTGGCGATGCTGATATTGGGGACAGACCTGCCTGGCGAGCCCCATCAGGACGGACAGCTGGATGCCGAGACATTCCGCATGATTCTCGAGACTGCCATGTCAATTGACTTGGAGACCTCAACCTGGAATCTTTGGGACGAGACTGCTTGAGCAGGGACCGAGCAACCCGGAGAGCCCGGCCATCCACACTGGCAGGATGAGATGAACGTGTTTCTCCCGGGTAAGCCAGCTGCGGCAAGGGGTGTCATTGCTATTTTTTTGGGGGGTGTGGAGACGGACTTTGTGACAAGTTTGCGTCTTTCTGTCGCACGGGAGCAGATGGATGCATGCCCCTCCACATTTTGGGACGCCAAAGGCATTCAGAGGCATCGTGGAGCGTACCTAGGTAGATTCGGCACCTTGCTTGACACAGGTAGATGGCCTCGCGAGAAATGAAAGAACGCGGTGCAACGCGTCAACTGTTTCGACTGCGCCACAAGTGCCTCAGGCGAAATGAACGCAGCAGTGGCGGAGTTGGCAACCAAAGTCTGCCCGACACACATGGTGCCGGAAGGCAGGAGCTCTCGTGGTGATTTCCATCGGAGGTTCGCATTGAGTCAGCATCCAACAGCTGATGGCAGGTGCATGGTACTACAGTACCTGCCTCCACTACCCCTCCAACTGCACAGACCAGGCCCCCGCAGCGAAAGACACCAATCAGCGTGGGGCTCTGTTTGGAGGAGCCATCGAAAGAGCTAGAAGGAGCTGGCCAGTTTTCTTTCCCGCGTGCTGCGTGCGACCCCAGCTCTGATTGTGGGTGAGCCTGGAGCACTTGAAGAACTCGCAACCACCACACCAAGGTCCCCTCTTGCACCAATCTTCCTAGCTTGAACGAACCACTGATCTCTTTCACTGTTCTCTGCTCTTTACGAATTTGACGCTCCCACGATACCCATTCAAGCCTACTCTTCCTGGACTGCTTTCCTTCTGTTATTCGACCATCGACCACCATGGCTACCGCAGACGAGCTCAAGGCTCAAGGCAACGCTGCCATTGCCGCCAAGAACTTTGACGAGGCTGTGTGAGTTTCTTATGCCTCCGCACCTCACCACCGCCCATGTCGGACCTTCTCCATGTAGCCTTCCCGACTAACACCTTGCAGTGACAAGTTCACCCAGGCCATTGCCATTGACCCCACCAACCACATCCTCTACAGCAACCGATCCGCCGCCTACGCCTCAAAGAAGGACTGGGACCACGCCCTCGAGGATGCCGAGAAGACTGTCGAGATCAAGCCCGATTGGGCCAAGGGCTGGGGCCGCAAGGGCACCGCCCTCTACGGTCAGGGCGACCTTCTCGGCGCTCACGACGCCTACGAGGAGGGTCTCAAGAAGGACCCCAACAACGCCGGACTCAAGAAGGACCTCGCCTCCACAAAGAGGGCCATGGAGCAGGAGACGGGCGGCCAAGGCGGCGATATGAGCGGCGGCCTCGGCAAAATGTTCTCTGACCCCCAGCTTATTCAGAAGCTTGCCAGCAACCCCAAGACCAGCGGCCTCCTAGCCGACCCTTCCTTCATGATGAAACTCCAGCAGATCCAGCAGAACCCCGACAGCCCCGACCTGTTCTCCGATCCCCGCATGCTGCAGGTTCTCGGCGTCCTCATGGGCGTCGATATCCAGACGCGCGACCCCAGCGAGATGCCCGAGGGTGCCGGCCAGCAGCAGGACACCGAGATGACCGATTCCATGCCTGAGCCTCCGAGGCCGTCAGCGCCAAAGAAGGCTCCCGAGCCTGCCCCGGAACCTGAGGCTGAGCCCGAGGACGAGGAGGCGCAGGAGAAGCGCAAGGCCAAGGAGGCCGCTGACAAGGAGAAGGCGCTCGGCACCGAGAGCTACAAGAAGCGCAGCTTTGACGAGGCCATCGCGCACTATACCAAGGCTTGGGAGCTCCACAAGGACATCACGTACCTGAACAACCTTGGCGCGGCTCACTTCGAAAAGGGCGACTACCAGGCTTGCATCGACGCGTGCACCAAGGCCGTCGAGGAAGGTCGCGCCATCTACGCCGACTTCAAGATCATCGCCAAGAGCTACGCCCGCATCGGAACAGCGTACGAGAAGCTGGGCGACCTCGAGCAGGCCGTCACGAACTACAAGAGCTCGTTGACGGAGCACCGCACGCCCGATGTCGGCCTCAAGCTGCGCAACGCCGAGAAGAACAAGATTGAGAGCGCACGCCTCGCCTACATTGACCCCGCCAAGGCTGAAGAGGCTCGCGAGGATGGCAACAAGAAGTTCAAGGAGATGGACCTGCCGGGCGCCGTGGCGGCGTACAGCGAGATGATCAAGCGCGCGCCCGACGACCCCAGGGGCTACAGCAACCGTGCGGCGGCCTTTGTCAAGCTGCTCGAGTTCCCCAGCGCTCTCGAGGACTGCAACACGGCCATCAAGAAGGACCCCAAGTTCATCCGTGCCTACATTCGCAAGGCTCAGGCCTACTTCGGCATGCGCAAGTATTCCGAGTCGGTGGACGCCTGCAGCGAGGCCAAGATTGTAGACCAGGAGCACCACAACAGCGCGAACTCGCGCGAGATTGACCAGCAGGAGCAGAAGGCCTTCTCGGCCATGTACTCCGCTCGCGACAACGAGACGGAGGAGCAGACCAAGGAGCGCCTGGCGAAGGACCCAGAGGTACGTTCCTACATGAGAATACTGTCCTTATTGAGAGCATCCGCTGACTTGAGTCCGGCACCAGATCATGGGCATTATGCAAGATCCTGTCATGCAGGCGATCTTGCAACAGGCGCAGACGAACCCGGCAGCGCTCAACGAGCACATGAAGAACCCCGACGTTCGCTCCAAGGTGCAAAAGCTGGTCGCTGCTGGCGTTATTCGCGTTGGTCGGTAGAGCAAGCAGGTGTACGAATAAGACGGAAGCGTCGGCGGATGTAGCGGAGAGATGGGATCAAAGTCTGAGGGAAGCGCAGGCATAAGAGAAAGAGGTCACGCTTAATGGATCGGCGGTAGGCAACCCTTTTCTCGTGTACCCTAGTGATTGAAAGTCGTGATCGCGTGACCAATAGGAGAGACACGTCAGGACAAATCGAGCCATTCCACGTGAGCGGCTGAGGCCGTGATGGTGTGCAGCTGTGCAGCATGACCCGGGTGAGCATTGGAGGGGGACTCATCGGGCAGGATGAGGTGCGCGTTATTCGCTGTTGGATGCGTCAAGAAGGCTTCCGTCTCGCCAGCAGATGATGCAGTTCGCGCTGCGACATCACGAGTCGAGGCACAACCATGGCAAAGCCTTCGATTGAAAGCAACGGCCTTCTGGTCAAATAAGCCAACTGCGAAAAGATGAATGAGTATTTTGTATTTTGTCCACCATAACTGTGGATTGTTCGGCCCATCTCGTCATCTCCTCTGGGCATGCCACTACTGCAACATGGAATCACAATCACCAATGTTGGAGGGTAAGAACTCATCACTCCCTTCTTAACATGTCACCGATCCCAACCCCCCAAAGTTATCTACGATTAACACGTGTAGCCTACCGCCGCCTCACAGAAGTCATCTCGTCCCAGCCCGACGACAAAGAGACTGAGGAACATGTTCATCAGTTGCTCATATCGTTGCCCTCCGTATTCTTCACCATAGACGCCCAGAAGCGGACACCACTGCATCACGCCGCCTCTGCCGGCAAATCCAATATTCTTCGTGCCATCCTCACCGTCGGTCCGGAGTCTGAAGTTGACCTGCAAGATGCCGAGGGGTGCACTGCCCTCCATCTGGCCGCGCGCAACGGCCACGAAGCCGTAGTCCGCGCCCTCCTCAATGTCGGCGCCGACGTTCGGCGCGAGGAAGCATTTGGCGAGACGCCGCTGCACGAGGCAGCGCGCAATGGACACGCGGCTCTCGTGAAGCTCTTCATTGACTCGGGCGCCGTTGTTGACGTCGGCAATCGCGACTCGAGTACGGCGCTTCATGTTGCCGCCCGACGTGGCCATTCCGACGTTGTCGAGATTTTGCTGACCGCCGGCGCCAACCCTGCCACCAAAGACAAGGTCGGCGACACGCCCCTTCATGACGCTGCTCGCGAAGGTCGGACGGATATTGTTGATGCTCTGCTCAACACGGGGCTTGTCAGCGTCGAGGCGCGGAACGCCAACGGTCTTACGCCGCTGAGCGTTGGAGCGCGCCATGGACGCGATGGCATCGTGCGGTCTCTGCTCGAGAGGGGTGCCGATGTTGATGCGCAGAGCTCTGAATTCTGCACGCCTCTGCACCAGGCTGCCACGGAAGGCCATGATGGCGTGGCGAGGTCACTCATCGCCGCTGGCGCCGAGGTTGACTTGCAAGACAAGGACTTACAGAGCCCTCTTCATACAGCCGTCATATTTGAGCATGCTGACGTCGTAGGCAGCCTTCTCTGTGCCGGGGCGACGGTGAACCTGCGCGATACGGAGGACTGCACGCCGCTGCACCACGCTGTCAAGAATGGAAACAGAGGTATTGTCAGGGAACTACTCGAAGCGGGTTCGGACCCTACAACCCTCTCTGCCGGTGGTGAGACGGCTCTCAGTCTGGCACGGGTCATGGGCAAGGAGTCGGTTATTGAGCTGTTTGCTAGCCCACAACTCGTTCCGAGGCAAAACGTCGAAGCAAACTCGCGTCCCAAGCGGGCACGGGGCCCGTCACGGCCCAACGAAGAAGGCGAGATAATGGCATGCAAGCACTTCATGGGAACCTTCTGGTGCCCTACCTCTGAGACGGCGTTCGACGATCTTTCCGTCTGGAACATACTTTACGAGCCTGACACGGAGGTCAAACTAAGCCCCCGTCAACCTCCACCGCCACCTTCACCTCCACCATCCCCTCCACCAGTTCCTCCAAGGGAAAAGACTGGCATCCGCCACCATGATCACCGCCATCACCAACATCACCAACACCGCCGTAAGCTATCGCACGATGCCCGTCGCCCTGACGACCCCGTGAAACGCTGGATCCATCTGCCGGCCAACAATGTAGCCTGGGTGCTTGACCTCGTCCAAAAGATCAGCGCCATGGACGGCCGCACCGAGGCGGAATGCGCCCGCGCCATGCGTTTCGTCCGCGACACGTACCTCGAGATGCGCTACTCGGCCCCCTACCGCAAACCGCACTTTCGTCGCGCCTCGGCTACCGGTGCCGCCGCCGCCGTTGCGGCTTCGACCTCGGCGTCGCCCTCCCTCGATCCTGCCGAGATGTTCTCTCTCGTCCTGCCCGTCGTGGACGTCGAGATGGATGAGCAGACGCGCGAGCGCCTCCGCTCCGCCATGACCGGCAGCCGCGACGTCGCGCCCAAGAGGGAGCTCCTGCGCGCCAGCACGGCCGAGCGCACGCGTAGACTGAGCGCCATGCCGACGGGCCTGCAACACCACCTCTTCCCCTACCTCAAGCACCTCGACGCCATGAACGGCCTGCGGCAAAGTTTCACCAAGTCTGAGCTGCACGTGCCGCGGACGCTCGACCAGTCGTACCACGAATCGCTGAGCAAGGAGGAAGTGCGCGCGAGGAACGAGAGCCAGGTTCTGTACCGGTACCTGCTACGCCTCGAGAGCCTTGTTAAGGCGGAGAAGCAGAAGAATGACGGATCTATCGTTGCTGGAGAACAGAAGTCGGGCCAGGGGTCCGGCAACCCGTTTGAGCACCGCGAGCTGCTCGAGCAGCACTCGGACAAACAGAAGCGGACAGACGGCACGAAGGAGCAGCTGATGAGGATGGCGGGACGTCAGGATGTGGCCAGCAGTGTGCGTGCGAGGGTGGCGCGTGAGCGCAAAGGGATCGAGCAGGAGCAGCGTAAGCAGGTGTTGATGGTGTCGCAGCTGTGGATGTGGCGCATCGACGAACGTAGGTTGCCCTCTTCTTATTTGTCCTTCAGTTTTGTATTCCACGACGGCGACCGGCAATCTGAGACGAAACTGACGGGTCGCGTAGACAATATCATCACCTGCTATCCCGAACGCTGGGACGACAAGAACGCCAAGACTCTGCTCAATGAGATCAAGCATCGCGTCTTGGCTTCTCCCGGTCTCAAGTCAGCCGACACGGACATGATGGATATTGCTGCTCATGTCCTCGAATCGGCGGTTGGATTCAGCGAAGAGGAGTTTCATTTCCAGTTTTGCGGCCCCCGATCGTACTGTAACGTCTTTGCGGGCTCAGTGGCTTTCCTCTCGAACGAGGCGATGAAACGGTACGCGGCCTTCAAGTCGTCCATCCGCGGGATGCGCACGTCGAAGACTGTGCTCGGGGATTTGCGAGCCGAGATTGAGCTACTGCAGGAGATAGACGATGTGAGGGAGGAAGTGAATATGATCCAGACGGTATTAAAGGAACAAGAGCGCGTCGTCGTCGAGTTTCAGGGGTCGCGAGAACCGGACTGCACCGTGCTGGAGCAGGTCAGGGGCGGCCTCGGAGGTTTCTCTCATCCTACACTGGACTTTTTCGATCGCCTGGGACTGGATGCTGATCGAGTTCGGACCTCGGTGAGTGTATTGGCTGCATTGTCCTGTGCAAGGGTAACGCTGACCTTGAGTAGATCACGACTTTACTCGATCTCCGACAGCGCGAAGCCAACATCGAAGAAGCCCTCTCAGCTAACGAGCAATCCAAGATTCTGTTCATCTTTACAGGCGCCACAGTTGTCTTTGTGAGTTGAAAACTTACTCCAAGCTCTCCGATATCTATTAACCATTGCTCTAGGCCCCCCTTTCCTGGATCATGGGCGTTTTTGAGGTCAACATATCCGGCCTACCGAGCCCAATCACACCAGGCACTGTGGTCCTGGCCAGCAGTAAGTATCTACAATCCCTTCTCTCTGAGACTATCTGACACGTAGAGAAAGTTGGGAGTCTACTCGCCACCGTATTGGTCATCTGGCTGTCCCTCCAGATCTACGAACTCGTCGCCCAGGGCCAGAGCAGCGCGAAGCGCCGAAAGCTCGACTCCATGCTACGCCGGAAGACGGAACCAACAGAAACCCTGGCGTCCGAAGCGACAGCGCAGTCACAGCGAGGTGATGATTCTGCAGGCCCAGCAAGCCAAACGGCAAGGTCATCTGCCCTCAGGTCGGAGGCCGCCGCGAGCGCTGTGGGCCAAGGGGCATCGGGCCAACGCAAACTCAGGAAAAGGTTTATTAGGTTTGGCAGAGACGGAAAGAAGAGGCTGGATGAGGAGACTGCGATAGTCGTTTGACGCTTGGTGATATGTAATTTACTTCTTATGATGGCCGCCGGCGTTCGTTTGACATAGATTATGGCGAATAGACGGCTGTGCTGAAATCGGCAACCGACACCAACCTAGCCACAAGGTTTGGTATCAGGTCATTCTCGCACATTCACCGATAGTCTCCAGGTTTGTGGAAGGAAGTCAAGTGCTGACTTGTGGTAGGTGACATTTCGGAGGGCTGCAATCGGGTCAGGCCGATTTCATGTCAACCATCATGCTCGGTACGGGATGTGCATCCTTCAAGTACCGACCTTGGAGAGACTGAAGGCGACAAAGTACTTTTTAGATGTTTGGCCGCTGAATCACAACTTACCCCTCATTCATAGGGGCATGATAACCTGAGGCAGTGCAACGACATGGTGATTGCTCATCTGTACGCGTATAGTAAGCAAGACCTGGTTTTTACGATTGTTACGACACATGCAGCCATCACGCGACTGTCAGTATGGCCTGAGGATGTCTCTAACGGAGGTATTGGGTATTTCTTCTCAAGTCGGCTCGGTTTGCAACGCGAACTTTTGTTCCATGCAATTGAACACGGCACATCATATTTTTACAGCCACAGACCATGATCACGACATTGAGCAGAGCCCTTTCACGGGCACCCTTGACTACGTCTTTGCAGCAAAGAACGCCTCTTGCCTCGACTATTCCATCGCTAGTATTCGCCGCGAAATATTCACGTCTGAGTCGTACAGCGCCGACGGCAGAGATGCTCAGTGCCCTTAAAGATGACGGGTTCGTCGTCATAGAGAGCATGTTTCCGCCCGACCAGATCTCCAGTCTCAACGCCGACATAGACACGGTGCTGACCAAGGTCGAGGCTGGCAAGTCTGCCAATCTGACAGCGCCTCCACTGCCCGGCGGCATTGACGGTATCGTCTTCGGGTCGAACACAAAACGTCTAGGCAGTCTGCTGCACCGTAGCCCCACGTGGCGCGATACAATGATCGACAGCTCTATCCTACACGACCTCTGCACCGGTATTTTCCGCGACACGGGTGACTACTGGCTCAGTACGGCCCAGATGATCGAAATCGGGCCCGGGAGCAAGGCGCAACCCTTGCATGCTGACGCGGCGGCCTGGTGGCCGTTCCTCAGCATGGGTGACCGCTGGATGCCCGAAGTAGCCGTCAACTTCCTCATCGCCGCCACAGACACGACGAGTGCCAACGGCGCCACAGGTGTCGTGGAAGGGAGCCACAAGATCAATTACTCAGAGGCGCTGGCCGATCCGACCTTCGACTTCTGGAAGTTCCCTGACGACAAGGTCAAGCAGGTCGAGCTGAAAGCTGGCGACTGTCTGCTTCTTGGCGGGCGCATTGTGCATCGTGGAGAGGCGAACCGAACCGCCGATGAGCGCAGAAGGCTTCTCAGCTGCACAATCACAAGCTCTGTGCTAACACCTGAGGAGGCGCACCCGTTGATACTTGATAAGGACGTTGTTCGGGGGCTTCCGGAGCGGGTGAAGAAGTTCCTGGGTTTCCGGGGGCAGAGTTCTATATCGGGATACAAATTCTGGCAGGACCATAGGACAGACCTAAGCAAGACTCTGGGGCTTTGACCAAGGAAGTGATGTTCAAGACGTAATCCTAGTCAGCACAATCTCATCACACTATAAAGTCACGTCGTGTCAGAAGAATGCTCTGCAGCGCCGGGATTTGGAAGTCAGGGACGCACGGCGAGAACGTAGATACCTCAGAAAAGAAAGCTGGGCTTATCAGAATCGACAAATAGGCATGTGCCAGGTCGCCGATGACACCATTCCTAGAAGTGAATATGAAGCAGCTGTTGAAACACAAGGTACGCCCGCCTTTGCTCTCCTCTGTTCAATCGTTGTCTGCAGGTCATGCGTTTCGTCGGGCAAGCCAGGCTAGCTGCCCGGGCTTCGAAGGCAATATCACCTAGGTATTCGACCGAAATGCATATAGGGAAATGTAGGGAAATGTAACTTGAGATCCTTAGCAAAAAGCTTTTGTGATTGTCGCCTGTTCTTCCATTTTGCTAAATTCTCTGTTAACGAACACCACCTCAATAGAGGTGCCACCATTCAGACCCATGCGAGATTGTTGTATGAAGCTCGAAACTTTCAAGATATGATTGTTGAGATTTCAAAGCTTGTTGGTGAAAGAAGGACAGCGGTAATCGGAAAGCGTGATGAAGACAGTCTACAAAGAATTCGTATGGGTCAGTATACTGAAGCAAAAGTTCGACGGGATGGACTTGTGCTCTGTAATTGGTGAATTTGCACGCACCTTTGTCTTCGATGTTCTGAGGCCGTTCGGTCAATTGTCTCCGAGAGCGAAAGCCTTCAAATTATTGTTCTTCCTACTCCGAGGTATTTGCCGCACGTTGAAATGTAGTCACAAACAAGAACGGAACTCTACCAAACATAAGCTTCATTGTGCTCAACAAACCGTCATTGTCACCAGAGCTTGTTCATAGTTTGACGACCATTTCACCTCATGATTCGTGCTTTCAACGAGTAGGAGCGGTACTCGAACAGGCGTCGAAGTCTCGCAAAGCCCATGCAACACTCGTGCGAGAAACTCCAGATCTCCACGGCTAAAGCGGCAGGGTCGGTGTTCGCGTGACGTGATCATCATGGTGGCGACTGAGGCGTTTGAACAGATTTGGGCCTTGGTAGGATTCGCTCGGGGTCGAGACCAAGTATGGCGTCTCGGCGGTGGAGGGTCGAGACAGTTTATTGTCTTAGCCGATCGAGGCCGGTCTGGGACTTTAGGCGAAGCCCGCAGAGAGATTGGGGATGATCATTACCCTTCGAAGGGTTCCTCAAAGGATATTTTTTCCAACGGTTGAGCGTTTTGAACAGCACGTAGAGACTTGCAGAGAAGTACCACGTCGAACCGCTTTGACAAAACAAGCAGTAGCACTCAATGTCATAATGACGGTCATGATGATGCTCCGTGTCAAGAGGGATATTGAAAGACCCTCAAGCAACTTGTTACATATGAGGCACTCGCGCCTTCGATGACTAAGTCAGGAGGCCTGCACCGAAAGACAGTTCGAAAGACGGCAAGACGGCAAGACTTCCAGGAGGCTGAAGCTAGCCCCTGCTCCCACGTACTCAGTTGGTTCACGAGGCTCGAAACTCTACCGCGCGAGCTGCCACAGCACCATGACTCGCACCAAGGGGTTGGGTCGGTGGCGATCACGCGCTGCTACCCAGCATGAACCGTGCTACCGAGGGCCTAGCTAGCGCCTTGCCACAGCTGGTCAACCAAGAGGCAGGTCTAGTAGATGGGTCGGCAGGCGAGGTCAAGGTTCGCGATCGAGGCGCATCCTTCCGGCAGGGGACCCGATCTGACGAACTGCAGACGGAATAGCGGCCAAGTATCAAGTCTGGGGACGGAGGATACATGGGATTTGGCATCGTCTTGAGAAGCCGCCGTGACCCCTTTAGGACTTGACGCCTCGCCTGAGACGGGAGGCTTACCGCACCGGAGAAGGGTTGGCGAAGGTGGAGGCCCGCATATGTGGTCTGTCTAGAACACGTGAGATACTATGGAGGTGGAGAGGGGAGTCCAGAGCGGCGGATCAGCTCATGCGAAGTGACTGAACTAAGGCCTGACCAACAGGAAACAGCTTCCGTAGGTGGGCCCCTCCAAAAGCCACCGGCATGCGGTCTCGTTGGCTCTAGACTCAGTATGCCAAGGAGTGCAGGGGCGGTTCAGGTTCGTTGGTGTGGGAGATTGGGGCCTCTGTGAAGCAGTAAAATCGGTCATGTCCATATTAGTTTGACCACCGTCGGAAGGGCGGGCGAATATTGGGTTTTGCGGGTTGTCAAAAGATCCCCAACCTGTCTGGTACACCACACGCTTAACCGTGTTAGCCGCAGTGTGTCTGAAGCAGTCGATTTCCTTTGGCTGGGGAATTCTCGATCTTAGATGGTTACAAATGTTCCCTACCCACAAGCTATGAGGCGGTCGGGTGTGCGGCAAGGGATTTCTTGGCCTGCGTGGCAGGAGTCACAACGCCATCATCTCCAGCTCTTGCAGGTGAGATCAGCAGTGCATATAGTGTAGGTATTGGCACTCTTGCCCAAAATTCCATGGTCATCATTAATTAATAAGCGCTGTGCCGCGCTGCAGGGTACCATTCGCCCCGTGTCAGCAAGCGAAGGGAAGGGGTGGCTACCATATTTTGACAGGCAGAGATAAATTGGGTGCGGCGATCTGGAGGGGCCATCAAAAGACACCTTGGCTGTTGCTTGGATCTCGCTTAGGCTTGGCCATTCAATTTGCGACCTTTCGATCGAGAAGTGTACTCGTTAGCAGACAGAAGTGTAGGGCTCATCGGGGACGTGCCGAATCACCCGCTATCAGACGTTGGAGTTCTGCAGGAGATTATTTGTGGAAGCTGTTCAGGGCCCAGTCACGCGTCGATATGTCATTTGCTGTCATAGGGTTAGCACAACCGAGGACAGGGTCAGCTCACGCGCCGAGAGCAACGGCAGGCGCGATGTGCTCGGAGAAGAGCGTCGCGCTCGAAGAATCGGTTGGTCCTGTTTGAGGCGACTGAAAGCGGGATGAAGTGTGGCGCTGGATGACGGGCCGGTTCAGTCGGTGTCTCTGCCGAAGGACGCCTTGGGCAGAGTCAAAAACTTCTTGTGGCAGGATCCTCTGTTGTCGGTACTGCTGCAGATAGATCCCTGCGCATTTCAGATTGGAATCTGGGGGGTCCGAGGACAGGAACAAGTGACTCGACTTGGGGACATGGGAGAATGACCAAGTGAAAAGAACTGGGCAAAGTTGGTGTCCAGAGACGGGAACGAAGGGAAGAAAAAGCGCTGTGCCTCTCTTCCTGTCGGCCCTTTCGCCACGGGATGCATGGCATATGATTCAATGGCAGCCAACGGCGAAGGATGGCGGGATGGAATGATGGCTGATCCCCTGATTCGAGCCGTAGCGACGGTTCGGGTTTCCAGCACCGGTGCCAAATCGAGGACGAACCGGGCCACATGGCGAGTCGTGGTCATGCGACGGCCACAGTCGCCGTGTTGGTAGATGCTGGCCTGATGCGTTATGCAGATGCGGTCGGCGGGGGGAGCGACTCGAGGCGAAAACAGACGAGAAAAGGCGTCCGTCTTGGTGAGCTTGGGGTATTGCTTGTTCCTGCCACATCACACATAACTCACGCCACGAATCTGAACCCAGGGAAAGTGCAGTGCTGGGCTCTGCGCCATGCCGCGCTGTTCGAGTAGTTCCTTCCCTCCCATGTGGTCGAATGGAGGTTGTGCCTGCCTAGGGACCACCGCCGGATGGAAGCTTTCCATTGGAGGTGGACATGTGGCCCCTGCCCGGCGGCCTGGAGTGGGTAAGACCACCAGGGACCCCTTCCCTTTCTTGACTGGACCAGACGGACCCCAGGTCGTACCTGCCCCTCGGCTGCGCTGCCATATTTGGAGCACGGATTAGCGCGGAGGAAGGCGGCCCGCTGATCAGTTAGGTTTAGTGTCCACTCCACCATCTGAAGGTGCGCGTGAGTCTTCTCTCCCCCACAGCTCTGTCAACGGCCCAATTGGCTCTGCCTGACTTCGATGCCGTCTCATCTCCAAGCCCATTTCCACCACCTGACAGTCACGCAGGATGTCTTCGATCCGCGGTCGTGTAGGGCATGGTGGCACAGCCGGTAGGGTGATTATCGTTCAGAGCCCCAGTCGCTCACTGGAGGTAAGGTTGGTTCAGTAGGTGAAGGGGTGCCTGAGCAAACCACCCAAGCCTTCCCACTGATCACCATCTTAACCTTAACTGAGACGAAGCAGAACCACCAGCAGCACCACGTCCCGACCACCCCCTCCCCCCGCCCCCGGTCCTAGTCTACAGCTTCATCGATTCTCGAATTCATCAAACTAGCGAGAAACGCAGGGCCCGCGCCCTGCAATATAGAACCAAGATTCCAACGGTGTTTCTGTGTCTGTGTCGCTGTGGGCGTCAGATCGCCGTGGGACCTACCCCCCAGCCCTGCCAACGACAGAGCCTCTGATTGCTTCGAGCTTGCGTCTGGTGGCTGCCGGTACCAATGGCGCTAGACTGTGCTGGCCTGCATGGCGCCATGCACCCCTCCCCCCTAAGAGGATCTCAGAGCACGGGCCAAAGGCACGAGAAGAAGGACGAGTACTGAACGAGCCAACAGGAACTGCGGCCCGGTTTTCGCTCACCGTCGCTGTTGTTCCCTCACCCTCATAAGCTCCTTCATCTTTGACCTGGACTGATTCGGGCCCGGCAACTGGTCAGTCCATGTTCCAGCTCGTGCCGGCACATAAGTGCCATCTCCGAGCCCACGCCTCCTCCCGCAACATTGAAGCCGTCATGAACGCTGGGCAGCGTGCGCCAAAGGGCTGGCAGGCGGGCGGCTCCATGCGCTGCAAGCGTTGCAGGCGATTGATGCCTCATCGCTTGTGCTTGACCTTGGCCCGACTAGCCTGCCTGCTCTCCAAACTGATGGGATAGAATGGCATGGACGGTGAACGCACCCACACACTCTCTCGCTCTCACCAAAGCCTTCCCTTCGATCCCGCCAGCCTGGTGGGGAAGGGAACTTCTGGGACCCTGGGCCGGTCTGCCTGCCCTTCTGCTGTGGCCCACAATCCCCAGAAAGCCCACCCTGGCCCATGGCTAAGCGGTGGTCGCCCGCGCCATTCCCACAAGCCCAAGTCAAACGACAGCGGAGCAACCCAGCCCGCTGATCCGGGGAGGGAAAGGCGAGAGGAAATCTTTGAGGCACGGGATTCCTTTGTTAGGTACGCTCAATTTGTTACGCTCAACATTGGCGTCTTTCCAGATCAGCGGCGCCATACCATGTCTTGCACCGGAGGCCCCTCTCCTCACGGGTCTTGCCTTGTGTGCCTATCCTGTCGTCTCAGGTACAATGACAACCCGCTAGTCACTGGAGGCTTTCGATGTCCTGGGGTGACCCCATTCAGAACTGACGGGGAGACATGATGCCCTCAAAAGTCCTCGCCTGCCGGATCCGCGGGAACGAGCAAGGACAGACAATCGGCGCGCAAGCATAATCCAAACTCTCTCAGCTGTAGTCGCCAAGCGCTCCTCCTGAGGGACTCCAAAGTCTGGAGCGGCGGTGCCACCGTACTCTGTACCTGCCGCAGCCACACCTGCCATGGTAATTAATATCGCCTGTCGCTGGGGAAAGGGGGGCTACGAGGGCCTGGGGCTGGCCGGCCTTGTCTGCCTCATCCCTGGGCCTCGTTGGGCCCTGAAGTGGGTGGCAACCAGGTAACGTGAGAGAGCCAACCGGCGCCCCCAGACTTTGTCCCGGCCGCCACACAAAACGCTGCACATGGGGTAGAGACTTGACAGGAGGAAAGGAGGGGGATGGCATACATGGCCCGTACCCCATCCGTCCCAAACTCTTCCACCCCATGGACGGATGTGCAGATGGGCCAAAGGCGTCTCCGGCCTCGAGTGGTACAGCACAGCATACAGTCCGATCTGGCCTGACAGGGGTCTTCCCCCCAAGGTCCCGATGCCCAGCACAGGCTAGCCGCCATTTCGGTTCCGCTTCGTCCTGTCCCGCACTCCACGCCGTACGTACACGCTTCACGGACCACACTCCCTCCCTTCCTCGGCCCCCCCTGGTCCAATGTCCCCATGCTCCCATGCATCGTTTCTGGACATGGATGCAGTCTAGGTGGAAACGAGCCGTTGTACCTTTGGCGGGAGTTTGCGTCTGGATCCGTCCTCTTTTTGGGGGTGTCCAACCTGAGAGAGAAGGCGTGAGACGGAAAATGATAAAATCAAAGCCCGTTCCCCATCCCAGATCTATTCTCTTCTTCTCCATCCTCATCCTCATCCGGCAATCTTCCCTTCGCCTTCTCACAGCTTGGCCTGTGGTCTTTCGATCCTTCGATCCCCCAAACCCCACACAGAGGAAATCGCCACGGCAGCGAGCCGCCCCTCTCTCAACATGTCCGAGAAGTTTGACACCGTGGACACTGTCCAGGCTCACGATGACACCTACGACAAGGTAAGGAGACTCTGGATTCGGCAAACCTCGACGACTTGAAACGAATGGCAGCTAATGATGTCTTGCTCAATAGAAGGAGGTCGAGACCAAGGTCATCAAGGGTAACGAGGCCTTCAGCGAGGCCATGATCAAGGAGCCTCCCCGTGCTTGGTCCAGCGCCATGATTCTCGTCTACTGCTTCTCCGTCGTCGGTTTCTTCTGCTCGACCATGAACGGATACGACGGCTCCCTCATCAACAACCTGCTCCAGAACCCCGCCTTCCGTGAGAAGTACGGTGTCGAGTTCACTGGTATCTGGACTGGTATCGTCTCCTCCATGTACCAGATCGGTGGTGTCGTCGCCATTCCTTTCGTCGGACCCGCCATTGATACCTGGGGCCGCCGCTACGGTATGCTCATCGGATCCGTTATCATCATCGTCGGTACCATCATCCAGGGTCTCTCCCACGGATCCAGCCAGTTCATGGGCGGCCGTTTCCTCCTCGGTTTCGGTGTCTCCATCGTCGCCTCCGCCGGTCCCATGTACGTTGTTGAGATCAACCACCCCGCTTTCCGTGGTGTTGTCGGTGCCATGTACAACACTCTCTGGTTCTCCGGTGCCATTCTCGCCTCCGGTGCCGCTCGCGGCGCTCTCGAGCACATCAAGGGCGATGCCTCTTGGCGCCTGATCACCTGGCTCCAGTGCCTCTTCTCCGGCCTCATCTGCATTTTCGTCTGGTTCATCCCCGAGTCGCCCCGTTGGCTGTACGTCAACAACAAGCAGCAGGCCGCCCGCGACATGATCACTAAGTACCACGGTGAGGGCAACCCCGACTCCGCTTGGGTTACTCTCCAGATGAACGAGTACGAGGAGCTCCTTGACATGAACGGTTCCGACAAGCGCTGGTGGGACTACAGCGCGCTGTTCCGCAACGGCGCTTCCCGCTACCGTCTCTTCTGCAACGTCGCCCTGTCCTGCTTCGGTCAGTGGGCCGGCAACGCTGTCCTGTCGTACTTCCTCGGCGCCGTCCTCGTCACCGCTGGCTACTCCAGCGCCATCGCCCAGGCCAACATCACCCTCATCAACACCTGCCAGCAGTTCCTCTGCGCCATTGCCGGTGCCACTCTGGTCGACAGGGTCGGCCGTCGCCCTCTCCTGCTCTTCTCCTTCTCGTCTGTTACCGTCATCTGGGCTGGCATGACCATCGCCTCTTCCATCGTTGCCAAGTCTCAGACCGGTGTCGACGAGAACGGCACTCCCATCTACAACGACCCTGCTGCCTCCAAGGCTTGCCTGGCCATGATCTTCCTCTTCGGCTCCTTCTACTCCGTTGGTATCACACCCCTTCAGGCTCTGTACCCCGTCGAGGTCCTCTCCTTCGAGATGCGCGCCAAGGGCATGGCCTTCTCCAACTTGGCTGTCAACGCCGCCGGTCTCCTCAACCAGTTCGCTTGGCCCGTCTCCATGGAGACCCTTGCCTGGAAGACCTACATCATCTTCACCATCTGGGATGTTGCTCAGACTGTCATCATTTACTTCTACCTGCCTGAGACCAAGGGCCGCACTGTAAGTTTATCCTCTTCTCCTCCATACCCATGCAATATACTGACAAGCCAAACCAGCTCGAGGAACTCGACGAGGTGTTCGCCGCCAAGAACCCGGTCAAGCACTCTCTCCAGAAGAAGGAGATTGCCGTCGACGCCCATGGCGACGTCGTCAACGTCCAGAACGTTTAAACGCTCTCTGCGACGGAGATTCTCATGCAGAAAAGAAGAAAACAGCGAAGCGAGCGCGTTCTTTACCACCCCCCACGCGTTGGCAACCTATTTGGGCTGCCACGTTTACACTGCTTTATAATGTCACGAGAGATGGATGCCGGAGGATGATTCTTGAGTCGTTGTGGCACTGCCTGGGAGGTCTGAGACTCACGGTTTCGTCTGCCACGATGGAATCATGCGAACGCTCTTTCCGAACACCTTTGCCGGCGGCTAGCTAGCTAAATACCACTTTGCGCTACGCTGAAATCTTTTGCATTGTATGGTGACTGTTTGTGATGATGGATGTGAGGACGTGGCTAACAACTTGACTACATTTTTCTAAGCTGATAGTTGAACCGTATTTTCAAACGACATGGATGTCTTATGCAAAGTGGATGGCAATGTCGCTAACGGACCAATTTGACGTGCAGCCTCTCGGAGGAACATGTCGATCTTTACCCCTATCTCGAGGGTAAAGTACTGAGTACGTTCAGTCGTCCCCAGCGTGGTTGGCTGCGGCGAAAGGCTTGGTATTGCTTCGCCTCTGGGCTACATCAAGTGTGGTGGGTTAGCGCACCCCTACGATGTGCCTGTACGCGGGATGGTCTCAGTCATGTCCTTGGGGCGAATATTTATCGTTCCGACCGAAGCACTCTGGGCGGAAGCCTAAGCCAACGAGCCGGTTGCTGTTGTTGCGGGCTGATTTCTTTGGAGGCGCGGTCGCTGGGCAAGATATCCGTGGCAAAGTACTTCCTTCATCTGCACGAAAACGTTGGTGGTCAACAATGTGTTGTTCGCGATTCGAGCCGGCATCTCGATCCCGAACTGATTCGCTATGAACCAGTAGGCTTTTCATTTGCATTTCATTGGCGCTTGATCCTTGACCGTTATTGTCATTGAAGGTAGGTTCTGGCCCATGGTATGATGTTCTGTTATGGTGTCGCAAACACAACCACACTGGTTCCCATCATCCAGTCAACCCCCCGTTCCACTGAACGAAGGAGGGACATCGCGTTCTGGTCTGGAGGCTCCCTTCTGTCGGTGGGAGATTGTCACCGCAAGTAAGTACCGGCCTGTCCCTAGAGCTAGTGTTCACGACTTGAGTTTCATGACCTGTCTGCGTTGCAGAGTGAATTCATTGACAGCGGCCCAATGCAGGGCAGTCGGTTGCCGGTCCTGCTTTCTTTTCCATTAAGATTATGGTAGATAGCCGTCGCCTTGGCATCGGCTGATCAAGGCCATGCTCGCGCTGCGTGATATCGTCCAGGAGAATGACTGGTATGGCGACGTTCTCCATACACGGGCGTGGTCGTGATAGAACTGGAACATAAAGGCCTTGAGCCTTTGGCGAACTTGGGGCGAGCTTTTTAGCATAGTACAAACCGCGCAGCCTGATCCAACCCCACCCCCCCTGATAATTCAATTTGAAGTACGCCGACAACATGGGACTGGCCGTGTCATTTCCAGGCAATATGGGACACTCTTACTTGCTAGATGATTTGTACAAACGGTACGCGAGTGAGTCGGGCACGAGTATGACGGGTAGCTATAGGTTGGGAGTAAGGGAATACCAGCGTCCAGGTCAATGGCACTTGGCTGAACCAACGTGACGATCAAGTCGATGAATGGTGGATAAACACGGCCGCCAGCTGAGCTTTTCTGTTCAGTGCTCGCTTTCGCGTACCATGTGACGATTTGCCATGACTAAGTCATAGTGAGCGGGCATACTTGGGGACCCGGCGCTTCCGCCGAGTGGTTGGTCTTGAGAGTCTGCCGAGCATCTGGCCAGAGCGCAGGTGACTTGTGGGCATCTATGGGAATTTTTACTCGAAGAAGCAATCCTCAGGCCCTGGACCGTGAGCTGGAGCGAGATGAAAACAACACTGGAAGGGAAAGGGTCGGTTCTCCGCCTTGGCGCAACGCAAGGATTGGTCCGCTGTATTGAACGCCAAGGCATGGCATTGCGGACCGTGTCGCGGTGCGGGCGCCATCACGCGGGGTTCTGTCAGGCTCCTCACTCCACAAGGGGTGGCTGGCTGCCGCTGGTGGAGAAGGGGGTGTGCAGGCGCTTTTGGCGTCTGGGGCTTTACGGGCCAGGGGTCTCGACATTGTTAGCATGATTGCCGGCCTGGTTGACGGTCTGCGCCGCTCGTCTGCTGTTTGACCGAGGAACAACTGGAGGCCGCCTGGGTAAGGTGAGGTGCGCCATAAAGAAGAGCATCATATGGCGACTGAGAGAGAGGACTCATGATAAGACGGGCCAGATCATTCCAGAAGGGAGTTCGTGGGGCATTTGATCGGGGGTCACAATATCGCCGTAAAACGTCTAGCCACTATTTGCTGTGTTGGCATCGAAAATAAGCTTCTTTCCCCAAGTAGTTCGATCGGCGAAGACGGACAGAAGAAAGCTTAGCACTATGTAACGTCAAATATAATAATCCACCCACTCAAGTTATCCCATTCTGTCGTGAGATTCATTGCTATATGTTACATAATAGTGAATCTTGCGAGCATGATGGGGCTCCGACTCGTGTGCTAAACAGCGAGCGTTTGACTTCGCTGCAGCACCATCAGTACTAACTAGTGTGAGGATTTGGCTTCAGCTTGATGAGCTCTTCATCCTACATCCAGGGATCACATTGATGAGTATTCCTTACATACGGGGACCGTTCCCACTCAGAATGAGGCTATGCTATTGCTCAGCGGCATCGCAGTACCTGCTTTCACTGACTACATTACTCGTGCCCTGGGACGCAATCAATTTGCTGCCTCAGCGCATGGTGTTTCACGATGGCACAGGCCAGATTCAATCAAGCGCCGTGGATCTCATTCACTATCTCACCAGATTAAATACTGAGGGGAAAAGGCTACGAGGTTTGTAACTGGCGGAAACTCTCCAAGCATCCACGGGCAAGCTGCACGAAGATATCGCGAGGCGTAATCAACCATGGCCTGCAAAGGTCCTGCTGCCCCTTCTACGAGTCAGCGATATTGGGGGGATCCTTGGCTCGTCACTAGATGAAAGAGATGCTGTTCTGCAGAGTCATGTGGCGGACGACGTGGAAAAGCTATAAGAACTGATTCTGGCCACGTAGTTAGATAGCCGCTGTCTGCGTCTTGGAATCTACTCCGATCATCACAGACGTCCTCTACACGACTCACAATGCATCTTCCCAGTCTTTCCGTTCTGGTAGCCCTCGTCAGTATATCAGTCGCACTCCTCACAGCGGTACGTAGCTAACTTGAATCTCAGGCCCTGGGGTGCCACAGCGTTGCCGCTCAGGACTGCAGAGGCAACGTTTCCGCCATGTGGCGCTGCTTGCGCCCTGACAACAGCAACTCAGGTTACACCAGCTCGTGCTGTCCCCGTACCAACAGTTTCATGGAAAACGGAGCTGTAAGTTTGTGCAACTCTCATGGTTGGCGAGCAGGACTGACGATTCACCCAAGTGTTGCACCACCAACTGGCGAGCCTTCCAGTCATGCTGTGTGACGCACAACGGCTACAACGCCGCCAACGGCTAGAGGATTGATGAGGGATCAGGTATTGCACGAGGGGGGCTAGAGTAGTGTAGGCCAGAGAGGAGCAATCACATTCATTGTGGGAACGGTTCTGCGGGACATAAGTATGTGTGAATTGACTATGACCGGCTCGCACAGCGAGGCCGGATGTACTTTTGCTACTGCTACCATGTATTCGTCCCTCAGAAACTGGACCGCCTTCCAGAATCTTGCTTTGCTGTCGAGGGGCGTGTCTGTGACAGGCTTCTGGCGTATGCATCGAGGGTGAGGCTTCGTCGGGATGCAACGAAGACCTTGCGCCAGGGACATGTGAGGCGAAACTTCTTAGAGCGCCTCGAAGGTCTTCTTGAAAGAAGCATCAAGGTCCTTCTTGTCACTCTCGAGACCCTTCTTGCAGGTGGGGACGAGGTCGATGATGCCGAAAGCGAGCTTGTCGACGCCGCCCTCGATGGTGCGGAGGACCTGGGTGATGGGAGCGGTGAATGGGGTGCCGGAGAAGATGCTGCTCTTGCCAATGATGGTGTTGAGAAGAGCCTGGTGGACGCGGACAAAGTCGCGGAACACCTCGCACACCTGGTTCTGTCCGTCCGCCGGGAAGGGCTTGGACTTGTCGGCCTCGGCGATCATGGTGATGTCGGTGCGGACGGCGCCAGCGATCTCACGGACGTTTTCGAGGGCTCTCTGCGAGACGGGTCAGATAAAACATTATTCGTGCGAAGGGCCCGTCGGAGTTTGCAGTAACTTACGGGGATCACGGAGAAGAGGTTGGTTAAGCTCAGGTCGGTCAGGATGTTGTTGGCATCCTGCGACAGATCGGTGACGGCCTCGATGCTCTTGACAACGGTCTGAGGGGTCAGCTCGCTCTTCTGGGCGGCGACGAGGCCGGCGAAGGCGGTAGCGATGGTGAGAAGCTTGAACTGCATGGTTGCGTTTTTGAAGGAGACTCTGGAGCCGAGCGACTTGGTAACGTGAGAGAGGCTTGTAGAGAAGGGTGAGGAGCTGATGATGGGTGGAAACAAGAATTCGTCTCAAGTTTGTGAGCTCAACCGACTATATATATTCCTTTGAATATCTACAAGACTCAGTGGCTGAGCATGATAAGTGGACTTGCAGCTGTCCATAGCACATGCTGGATGTGCTAGGTTGTGATCAGTGACTGGTATGTCCAGGCCTGATTGATCGCTGAAGGATGATATCATGACGGGCTTAACCCATTCCACAGTATTGCGACAGAAACAACTGAGATGCTGTGTGCCTGTTTGTGCACTTGGGTATGGAGCCTTGATCTATGTTACTAAGACGAGCAGCGGCTGGACATCGTGATGGACATCTGGAGTGGATGAGACAGCGTGCTTCTTTCTGCAGGTCAAAGCTCAATTCGCGCCCTGAGGATTCCACGTATTCCTGCATGATGTCCAAATCTGTACCTGGATCGGTGCGGAGCGGGCCGGTGTTCAAGCACCATTGCATTCCACAGGGCAGGGGGAATATGGATCATCACTAGTTCTGCCGAGACTTGGGGATATGGGGTAGGATCAAAAGAGGGCCTCGTGTGCCCTCGCAACCCCAGATGGCCATGCGTCTGGTCAAGAGATCTCCGATCTTCCACACGCGCGTTGATCTGTGGGAGACGTGCATGTTGCACTCACCTGGACAGACCCAGACAGATGAATGCCTTGACTCCGGCACCCGCTTAACCGAGGGGCGGCCGGCCTCGTGTTGAATCTTGATGGCGCGCGCGAAGCTTATTTGTGATTGAGCGGCGGGTCGACTGAAATTCGGATAATGGAGCGTGAAGGGGTGGACGGATGGACTGTGGCCGATCAGGAAATGCTAAACTTCACAGCAGCGCGTGATACGCAGAGAGGGGACGTGCCTCTTTCCTATTGTCCCAGGGCTACTTTCCAACAGTCTAGCAGGGGAGACCAGCATCAAGACGTGAGCCCAAGGAAACAGACGAGACGCGGCCAGTTGTGTCTGCAGGTAACAGATACCTGGTAGTGGTGATGGTGGTGGTGGGTGCTCTGCGATGAGTTCAACCGCCATTTTCGTCGCATCGCATCGCATGGAGACAAAGGATACTGAAACGGACACAAGGGGAACAAAAGTTCAATGCTAATGACACCTGAGGCACGGCTATTCACCCTTTGCGAGTGAGGTCTGCGCCATGCGTAGCCCGCAAGGGAGGCGACGGAGACACTGAAAGCTGTAATGAAGCTTCTCCTGAAGTCGGCGATCTGGATCCCTAGGCCATCCATGCAGACCGAGGACAGCAGAGAGCAATGCACGCAGTAGTCAGTCTCGGGCTATCCTTGGATACTTTATCAGCAAGAAGAAAGAAACCAAGTGGAAGACCCTCTTATCCCTAACCTCGAACAGTGCAGAATGACTCGGGCATTGAGGCCTTGGAGCGAGCCTGGATGAACGCGAGGCCAGCAAAAGGTAGAGCAGCCCAAGCTGATGATGTCAGCCGCCCCATGCTCGGCTTCGTTGAGCTGTTGAGCTGTGCTTACCCCCCACCCCGCGCCCTGATTGCGGATCGCTGGATCAATCGACAGGTTGACTCCAACTTCCCTCCTGCGATTCTTCAACCCACATCCGCAACATCCAACTAAGAATCACGGCAACACAGACACCGCCGCACAGAGGAAGCGATTCCTGCGGCAACTGATGCCCGATGTTGAACGTTCGACCGCGGCACCTGGCTCTCGCTGTCCCCGAATGCGATGCGTCGGATGCGACACCTACAGTTGACGCCTTCATCGATACCTCGTAAGAAAAACGACCCCGCCGAATCGAGGACCAAAACCCACCACACGACGCGCCAGGCACGCCCGACTTCAGAGGCCGCCATCTCACGCTGTGCGCGATCACCATGGGATCCCCGGATTCCTCGCAGGCGATGGAGCCGTCAGCGGAAGCCGCCGAACCACCGTCAGGTGCCCTCTCGCGCCATGGCACCACAACCTTCTCCCCCGAACAGGCCGTCGCCCTGACCTCCTCCGGAGCGCCGTTGCTGAACCCCCGAAGCTGCGTGACCTGCCGCCGTCGCAAGGTCCGATGCGACAAACAAATGCCGTGCTCCAATTGCCGACGCGCATCCGCGCAGTGCGTCTTCCCCGCGCCCGGCCGCGCGCCGCGGCGACCCAAGCCCCGCGACCCAAACGCCCCGTCCAAGGGCTCCAGTGAGCGAGAAGTTGAGCTCATGAGGCGCCTGCGAAAGCTCGAGGGTATCGTCGAGGACCTCAGCGGGCAGATCGAGGTGGAAACCGCGAGCAGCGAGCCTAGACCTCTCAGTGCTGGCGCGTCGCCGGGAACAGCAGCGCTGGCGCAACAAGATATGAACGCCGCGGCGGCATGCGCCGGATCGGGCAGCGCCGGGTCTCCCTCCTCGGCGAACGGCACCAGCGCCGTTCCGTCCATGCGAGAGGTCGTGGCGCGCCGAGGCGCCGAGGCTGATAGCGAAGCTGCGCAGGGGTTGGAGCGGAAGCAGTCGGCGAGCGTCACGAAGCAGCTCGGACGCTTGGTCCTTCATGACCAGGGCAGAACAAACCGATACGTGAGCAGTGCGTTCTGGTCCAAGCTGAATGATGAGGTGGGTTGCGGTTGTGTGGCATCGTCGTGGCATGGCTGACATGATACCAAGCTGGACGAACTTCGTGCTGAGATGCACTCGTTGAGTCACGATGACGACGATTCCGAAGACGATGAGACGCCCGACCACTCTCCGCAGCAACCTGTTGAGCCTTCGACTGATCACCATGGCTTCATTCTCGGTTACCGCTCAGCAGACGTTGACCTACGACGCCTTCATCCTCTGCCGTCTCAGATTCCCTTCCTATGGCAAGTGTACAAGGAGAACGTCGAGCCATTGGTCAAAATCTTGCACGTACCGTCGATGGAGGAGTTGTTGCGCAATATGAGGAAAAGCCCCGACAGCCTGAGCCCAGCGAATGAGGCTCTTATTTTCGCCATTTACTTTTCTGCCATTATCTCAATGGAAGACGAGGAGGTAAGCTTACATGCTGTCGCCGAGACTTTGGCAAGACCTGACTCGAACCCAGGTGCAAACGAACTTCGGCTCATCAAGACCTCACCTCCTATCCCAGTTCCGGTTTGCCCTCGAACAAGCGCTAGCGAGGGCCAATTTTCTCAACACTTCTGACATGGTTGTGCTGCAAGCATTCACTCTGTTCCTGACGATAGTCAGACGACACGATGATACGAGATTCTGCTGGACACTGACGGGTCTTGCGATCCGGATGGCGCAGGGTATGGGCATCCATCGTGACGGCCTACAACTCGGGCTGCCTCCTTTCGAAGTTGAGATGAGGCGCCGGCTCTGGTGGGCCATCTGCACCATTGACCTACGTTCCGCGGAGGAGCTCGGAACAGACATGATGATCAGGGACGGTTCCTTCGATACGGAGCTACCGACGAGCATCAACGACACAGACCTTGACCCATCCGCCACCGTCATGCCAACACCCCGCGAAGGCAGGACAGATACTGCTGTCAGCCTCGTCCGTTACGAAATTTGCTCGCTCGCGCGGCAGCTGCATGTGACTGTGACAGAAATGGGACCCATTGATCCTACTGACGTTACGGCAAGCCTGGAAAATCGCGAGCGCATGCTTGTGGACGTATACGACCGTATCGAGGAGAAGTTTCTGCGGCGGTGCCTTGCCGACAACGACCCATTATTCTGGATGGCTGCCATGATTGCACGTGTCATTGCGGCCAAGATTGGCCTTATCATATACCAGCCTTGTCTCTTTCCTGGCACGGGGCCTGAGCTGTCATTCGCGATTCGCACGCGGCTCTTCGTCTCGACAATTGAGGTCGTTGAGTATAACCACATACTGAATACAGACCCGCGATGTAGGCAGTGGCGCTGGCTTTTCCAGACATACCGGCAGTGGCATGCCATTGCGTACATGTTGCTCGAGATGGCTCGGCGGCCGTGGACGCCCACGTCTGAGCGAGCATGGGAGGCAGCGAGCATTTTGGGGTACGAAAGCCATCCCATCGAAGCAGCCAAGGCTGCTGACCACACGGCCGTGTCACTGCCGGTGAAGAAGCTTTATCTCAATGCCAGACGACACAGGCAGGCAGAGATTCAGCGCCTGCGAAATGATCCGGAGGCCGCCCACCATCTCGATGTCGAAGACAGGCTCAACTCCTTGCCTGAGCGACTCGGCTCTGTGCCGGGGATGGAGGCCAGGGCTTCACAGCTTCGCGGCCGATGGCGCAAGATGGTTCGAGGAGAGAATCTGGCCGGCTCTCTGCCTCCATTTGAACCTCTGCTAACGCAGGACGAGCAGCGGCTCGATTTTGTGTTTCCAGCGGCCGGCGCCGTGCCACAGCCAAATGTGTCAGCCTCACAGCAAGATGAAATCCAACCTGGATTGGAAGGGGATTTCGTCGACAAGCTGCTTAGCGGAGTAGTGAACCCCATCGAGCTGTGGCGTTATGCGTACCAGGGCCGATTGAGTGCCGAGGACATGCTGGCGATCGGGATGACCAACGGGGATGCCTTGCCAAGTGCACCAGCTTATGGCACAATGCAGCACGGCGCAACCATCGACACGGCCCTAGCGGTTGCGAACAGGACAATGAGCGAGCAGACGGCCGTGCTGCAAGGCGAACCGTCACAGCAGCAGCAGCAGCAGCCGCCGCCGCAGGGGGGCCGGAGCTTCGAGCATGGCGCAAATCAAGCGCCGCCAACGTGGCTCTGGCCAGATCCGTACACCTCGATGGACACGCTGTTTGAAGGAGCGGGTATGGATGGGTTGAACGACATGGTCGGCACGGACGAGCTTGATGTGAATATGGACGTTGAGGACATCAACTGGCAGAACTGGCAGGAGTCTTTGAAGGGGCTGGAAAAGCCGACGAGTTCCCAGCTGCCAGCAAGCGGGCGATGGGGAGGCCTCTAGATGGATGGGTCATGTGTTGGGGGATGTCAATGAGTGCAGATGATACCCGTGATGTGTATATATTATGGCGATATGTGATGACGTGGATTTTCTGTTTGTGGTGGTGGTGCATCTGTTTTGTGGGCGCGTGGAACGTACAGGGCCGAACTGCAAGGCCGAACAACAAGGCCTCCTGCCGCCACCAGAAGAGGTAATCCTGGGCATGTGTAACGTGGGAGGAGCCTGCCGAAGTGCCTTGTGCTACTGGGCCCACCCAACTGAATTGTATGGTGGATGACTCAAAGGAAGGCGCGCCCAGGTGACGTGGGTGAAGAAGGAGCACCTCGCTGTATGGCAGCCGCGACTTCGACGTCGGCCTCGACCACTGCGCCTTCCAACGAAGGCCCCAACCTACAGGAACCAACGCGGTCTCGACGTCCTTTCTCTACTTTGTGTCTTTGCTTCACTGCGCCTTGTCCAGCTTGAATTTATAAGAAAAGGACATAGACTCCTGTTTCTTGGGCCGTTTGCTTCATCAAGCATCAAGAACTCAAGTCGCCTCAGCTTTGACTATTCCGCAATTGACCAAACACCTCATACCGCCGGACTACCGACACCGACCCCCAGATCCAAACACTCTACGCAACTTCGCAACATGTCGACGACTACATCACCGAACCCCCGTGTCGGCGTGGCAGCCATCATCGCCAACGCCCAGGGCCAGATCGTCAGCGGCAAGCGGCAGGGCAGCCACGGCGCCGGCACGTGGCAGCTGCCGGGCGGCCACCTTGAGTATGGCGAGTCTTTCTTCGCCTGTGCCGAGCGCGAGGTACTCGAGGAAACGGGCCTGCGCGTGCGCGGCGTCAAGGTCGCTGCCGTGACCAACGATGTCTTTGCCGACCAGGGCAAACACTACATAACCATTTTCGTCAAGTGCGAGATGGAGGATGCGACAGCGCAGCCTGAGGTTTGTTCCACCTCTCTTCATCTACCATCCTTGTCAGCCCAGTTCTCTCTCCCCCCCTGCGTTCTCAACGGCTGGGGGGTGAGAGGGCCTCCCGTGCTTTGGAGATTGACCGCTGACCGGTTTGGCGCCCCTTGTTTAGGCCATGGAGCCGGAGAAATGCAGCGCTTGGTTCTGGAAGTCGTGGGACGACATGCGCCACTTGGAAGACGCTGGCGAGAACTTGTTCCTGCCGCTCGTCAACCTCTTCAAGGAGCATGCTGACATCGACTCTCTGCTTTGAGCGCAGCATTGGCAGGTACGGGTGTGGTGAATGAGGTGGCAAACGGGCACGAAGATGCCCAAGCAATGATTTGGAAGCCGACATGCAGCCAGCGAGTCGCACCCAGGAGGATCCCTCTAGCTTCGGCCACACGATTGGACGTCCTCGTTGCCGCGCTGGCCCCGACCTTGGGAGCCCATGTGTAGGGGGGCTGTGTTCGAATCCTTCGGGATGAAGCACAAGGACGTTACAGGGATTTCGCTCATTGAACACCAGGGGGCGTCGCTCGGCCCAGAATGGGCGGTTTCATCTCGGCTCGAGTCCTTCTTGAACTTGACCCCCCTGATCAATGCAACGGTCGAATATGGTCCCAAGCTCTCAACACGTCCAGGGCAAGCGAGCCATCCAAGCCGTCTTAGGGCTGAGATGTTGGCGCGGGGAGATGAAGTGAGAGGTGATGTGTACCAGCCCCAGCAGCTGTGCAGCGCCCCTCAGCGGAGCCTATCAACTCGCCCACCACAATATCGCGTCTACAGAATTAGAACAAGCTTTCCAAGGCAGGTGCATGCACTATGTGTCGAACACAGCAAGGCGCTGCGTCAAGACTGTCGCCGATCTTGCGCCTCACGTGTGAAGGCATCGAAGCCTCTCGCTTCCCTTGTGTATCACTGACTTGGGTTGTCTTCGTTGCTCAGTCAAGCAGTACGATAGGGTGACGATGAACGACGTGAATGTCGCACATCTTTATATCGCGGGCATTACCAGCGGACCTCGCGATGATTCTGCTCTTTGCCCAGCCGGCTTGGCTCGCGCTGCCTCGCTTGCTCCCCGTCCTAAGTGGCATGGCCCGACGCTGACATTGACCGACCCCGGCCCCCAAAAAGCTTGCTTGCCGCCTTCTGACGCTCAGCTCCTGGCTTGCTCGGCATACCGTCGCCTTTACTGGACCACAAGCGCGTGAGGCCTGCGGGTCGTCGCGATCCCATCCTTCCCCCGAACAGGGGGTTTCGCGATGCTGCAGCTCTAGCCCGAAGCTGTGAACCAGGGGGGGCGTGTGGTCAATGGGCACTGGACAGGGCCCTCTGGATCGTCGTATTTGCTTGCCCTCTCAGGAGATTGCGGCCGTCTTCACGTTATATCCTCTGCAGAAGTCCCAATTCTCCATTTGCTGTGCGACCCTGTCCCTCTTACTCAGGTCTGCCTGTCTTTCCCACCTTCGTGACGCGTTGGGCCGGACCATAGCTTCATGTCACCTCCATAATCGGCTCGAACAGCAAATCGAACTGCCACTCACTCATCATGGCGACCGGATACTCGCCTGCAAGCACAGGGGTCGATGGCACCTCAACGGCCTACAGCTACCCGTCTCAATATAGCGACGGCCAGCATCAGCAGCACCAGCAGCAGCAGTACAACTCTGGTCTCATGGCGACCTCTGACTATCAACAAAGCGGCCTCATGGCAACAACAGACTACCCTGATGCCACAGCAGCCGCAAAGGCCGAAGCCATCCAGGATCATCACCAGCAGCATCAGTCTCACGCGGGCTATCCTCAGCATAGCCACTCGCCTCCACCAGCCACGCCTACCAGCAGTGAAGGCCGCATTTGCGGCCTCAGGAAAACGACCTTTTGGTTGATTGTGCTGTCTGCCGTTCTGGCCGCCGGACTTATCGGTGCAGCGGTGGCGGCAGGCATCCTGGCCTCGCAGAACAGCAACGGTAACGGGAGCGCAGGCTCTGGAGCGTGAGTAGGCCCCGAATATTGAAGACTCAAGAAAAAGTCGAGTAAAATATTGACGACGCGCCAGGGCCACGACTGCATCAGGACCAGCAACGACCACAACTGCCGCGGTCTCGGCTTCGGCCTCAGAATCGGCCGCAACAACCAGAAGCGCAACCTCGACGGCGTCTGCGACCGATTTCACGGCCATTCCGATCCCGACGCAAGCGTCATCCGGTCTTGGCGTCACGGATCCCGGCTGCCCTGGTGTCAACGGCACCGAGTACACGGTCCCCGGCACGGATCTCGTCTTCGAGCGGCTCTGCGGCGTCAACTTTGCTGGCAACGATATCGGCCATATACCGATGACACGTATGGAGGATTGCCTCATGCTGTGCGCCTCGCAGTACATCAGCCCTCAGGGTGCGGCTGGCAGCTGCCTCGGCGTCGTATGGGGGTACGGTGGCCGTCAGGGCACCAACGCTGCGTACTGCTGGTTGAAGTTCAGCAAGACGATTCGGGAGGATGTGGCAGACACGGAGACAGCGTGGCTCATCCCGAAGTAGAGTGGATCAGATGTTCTCTGATCGAGAACTGGCGGGAGAGAGACAGGGTGTGTGAGTTTGGCGTTCCGGTCAAGCGGAAATCTTTGCTGTCCTATTTTACACTCCTCAGCGAGCCCTTACTATTGCGTCTTGTCATGTTGACAGTATTCTCCCTCACATAGTAGTGGATGCCCAATATTTCGTGGCTGTATTCAACAGAATGTGAAATGAAAGGAGAAAAAAAAAAGAATATAAAGTCGCTTCATCCATCAGTTAGTCAGTGTCATCTTCTGCCAGACTGGGCTTGATATCCCTCCCAAGCCTTACGATCGCGGCGAGTCGCTGTTCCCGGCGGCCCACGTCTCAAGAATCGTGGCGACACGATCAATGTCCCACCGTGGCCCGTCTCCTAGGCACCTGGACGTCTTGACCATGAGCTGCACAAGCGCCCTCACCCGCATGACCTCCTCGGCCGACCCCAAGCCCTTGAGCCCCTGTTCGATGACGGCGTACTCGGGCCCGAGCCGCCGCCGGAACGCCAGCTCGACGGCGGCGGGCCGCAGGAACTTGTCGAGCCGCAGACCCTTGGCCGTGCTGTGGCTCAGCATGAGGGCCTGCACGCGGGCGCCCTTGTCGGGGTCGTAGCCAGGGTGGTCGGCCTCGACGTAGCCGCGGCGGCGGAAAGACAGCCGCGCGCGCATGCCGTGCAGGATCTGCTCGTCGCTGCCGCCCATGTCGCGGAGCGCGCCAAACGAGAACCGGCACGTCTCCTCGGCCTCGGCGCTGTCGCCGCGCATGGCCGCCTCGAGCAGGCGCGTGCCCCACATCATGCCCGTCCAGTAGACGACGCTCGCGAAGCTCGTCTTGTCGATGGCGAGGTACGGCGCAATGTCGATGGGCGGGTCGCGCTGCCGCGACGCCGCGGGCGCGAGCCAGAGGCCGTAGCCGAAGCCGGGCGACATGCGGCCGGATGCGTAGGCGGGGAGGGGCCCGTCTGCTGGCGTGTCCAGGGGGACGGATGGGGGCGACAGGTGCGATGGCGGCACTGGTGTGCGAGAAGCGAGGAGCGATGCCGCCGGCTGTGAGACGGTGAGATGGGGCGTGCATTGCGATTGCGAAGGCGCCACCTCTGGTGGGAACGCGCTCTCACTCTGTTGTGATGACGATGAGGGCGCGTGCGTACTTGGAAACTGTGGCTCCGACGAAGGTCCCGGTGGCGGTGGTGATGGTGCCTTGCCTGCGTCAAGGCTCACTGGAGCTTGTCGCTCCAGCCCGGCGATGCTCACAGCATCGCGCACGGCGCGGTCGAGCTCGGCGCTCCCCAGCTTGGACGCGACCTGCGACACCTTCGCGATGGCGGCCTGCATGGCCTCATTGCTGGCGCGCAATTCATTGATGGCTGTGATCTGTCGTTGTCGGAAGGCCTGCTGGGCTTTACGGCCCCTCTCCCTTCGCAGCTGTACAGGACGATGATATGTCAGAGGTCATGTCTGTGTGACAGAGAGCGCCCGCACACACGAGCAACGAGAACGGAGAGTATCACTCACGTGGATGTCGTCTGCGTCTGGTGAGGCGCCTCTTGTGCGCTTCATACTGGGTTGTGAAGAGCTTGTGAAGACTGATGTGATGTTGGATGTACGGGGTCACGAAAAGCCGTGCTGCCGCGACGGAATGGTGGATGTTGTGGTGGATTTCCGGCAGTGATGGATCAGGTGAGGGCCCTGGAATAAGGTTTCGCGACGATGGCCAGGTGTGAACATGACTCGGGACTAGTCTCGGTGCCGGCGGCCAACGCTCTGTTTCATAGTCTCGGAATTGTCGACAGCCACAACTGAGCTGAGGTGCGATACTGATGTGAATGGTAGTAGGGAGAAAAATCACTCGGCAGCATGGCATGTCTTGGGGTAGATCCAGATGCTGGGCCAGCGTGAGCTAGCAGACGTGAAGCTTCAGTTTGTTTGTTGAGTACCTTCACCTGATGCTGCTTACCAAGCGGAACACCGTGCTTTCTGTAGCCGTGATCTCGGAATGTCGGAAGACGTGTTTCTCAGGTCGCACATTAGCATGGCTCGATCATCATCACGGTTTATGAGCGTCGGGACGCCATCGCGATTGTCGACATCCTGTTGAGCTCGTTGGGTGCTTCAGTTCATCGCGTATGGATTGAAGTTATGAAGGTTCTTCTTCTCCACCGGATGACGCTCACGGCCAAAGATCCGATCGGCCCAAATGGACGAGATGGCTTCTCGCTACACCGCGCGGTCGAATTGGATCACCTCGGCAGCGACAGAGTCTGTCTCGGTGGCTGAGTTGGTTTCGATGAAAAGTTCTGCGCCTTCGCTGTCGGGGTTTTTCCAATGAGGATTGCGCTGTTATGTATCGAGCCGCGGCCATGTGGCGCTCTGAAAGGTTATGAATGATGCTGACGAGCGTTCACAGAGTCTACAACATGAAGTCCATGTATTATGATCTATGCTTAGCTTACCTCCAACAAACCTAAGACACAACATCTATGCCTCATCAGCAAGTGGAGCATCTCGAGGGGGCTCGTCAACTGAATGGCCGAGAACTTGAAGCAGAAACAACGACTAGCTCCCACGAGACATGGCGGCGACCACGCCTTCCATGCAGGTCCCAGAAACTACAGCTTCTCGTTCACGTCCTTGAAGCCCTTTATGAAACCATCCTGGTAGCCCGTCGCCACGTGAAGCCCCTCGGGACTCCACGTCTTGATCATCAAGGTGCCGCGGCCGTTCGCGACACGAGGGAAGAAGGTCTCCTGGATCCACCAAACGCTCTCGTCCTCTTGGGCGCCGTACTTCATGACGGCCTGCTCCGGGTTGACGTGGACAAAGTACGAGTAGGTCAGGCTCGCGCCGGCGGCGAGGGCCATGCCGAGACCGGCATGGTTGGCCAGCATGAGGATGCCGTTGCGGTCCGACTCGTAGACGTGCGCCAGGATGTGGTGGTTGGGCGCGCTGGCGGGCAGCGGCGCCCGCAGACGGTAGAGGATCAGCTCGCGCCTGGCCTGCAGGGGCTTGCCCTCGTTGATCGCCGCCATGTCGACCTTTTTCATGTCGAGGATCGGAAAGTTGCCGGGTCCCGCGCCGGGGAAGTACGTCCGGACGAGGTCGAGGTCGACCTGGGGCGAATGCGGCCAGGTGTGCGGGGGTCGGGAGCGGAGGAGCGCGGCGTAGCGGGCGTGCGGTGACGTCCCTTGGGAGTCGATGGATGCCGGTTCCGGCAACTTGAAGGTGCAGAGGCAGCTGAAGCAGACATCGCCGAGCGGCGCGTCGGCGTCTTCTCTGGTGAATACTGTGGACTCTCCTGCGGGGGTGGGCTCGAGGGGCTGGCGTGCCGTGACGAGAATGGAGCTGAATGTCCGTCTCATGAAGACGGGCTTGGCTTCGTAGATGATGGGGCGATCGGAGATGACGTTGGCAGCGAATACCCCTTGTATGGACTGCAGACCACATGAGCTTGCATTTCGTTGACCGGAGGGTCGTCGATGCTCAACTCACATGTATGCCGAGCATGTCAGGGGTCGGTTGCGCTGGCGAAGCGGCTTTCCTGGCGGCCTCCAGTGCGCGGACGGCCGCCAATGATGACTGGGTGTAGACATGTCCACCGTACGCCTGTCTCATGGGAGTGTAACCCTCAATCTCGTCACCAAGTACCCATGCCGGGTAAAGACCCGCATATCGAACTGGCGATGAAGGGTCCTTGGTGGGTGAGGAGGTAGACCCTGGCAGTTCGATGAGGTTCATGACCTCGTCGAAGGATTCGTGGACCATGGTGGCAGCAACACAGCGAACAAATGGAACCTGAGTATACGTGCTCGCATGAAGAGAAAGTAGCGAAAGTCAACTATAGAAAATGCAGTGAAGCTGCCGAACTCGTCCTCTCCACGGTACCTACCTGACCTTGGTATAGGGCGATGCCTCGGCATCTTGTGGGGCGTGGTTTGCCTAGGTCAGCAGCCGCCAGCACTGGACAGCAGCTGGGCACACAGCTGTGCGAGGGCACACGTGATGGCGTACCATGCCTGAACGCGCAAAGGCTCAGGCTTGCTCTGGCTGGCCCAACCCCAGATTTCCTGGCTGCCTAGTCCTGGCGGGGGCTGGGAAGCGGCCCCCCCGCATGGACCCGCTCTTGCCGCTCCATCATGGCAGGATTGCCCATGTCGCCCCCCCCCCCCCCCCCACGAGCGTGGATCACAGACCACGACAGGAGAAGAAAATTGTATGCTCGTCACGCGACCATCTATCAAACAAAGCTCCTCCTTGCCCCTTCTCAACACGTCCTCACACATCTGCTTCAAACCAACACCAACAAGACTCCATCATGCCAGCCTTTTCAGTCCTCAGCGGCACAGCGCAGACCCGGTCGACCCGCCTCCTCGTCGTCACCGTCTTCATCGTCATCGTCTTCTTGTTCTTGGGCAACTCTCAGCTGGCTGCCGGACCGTACCTGGGATCCACCACCGACACAGAATTGTCGCCAGAGCACTTTGCGAACCAGCACAAACAGGCCGCCAGCAACAAGCTTCCTCCTCCTCCTCCTCCTCCTGCCGATGGTGCCGCAGGCCAGACACCCCCTCATCATGACTCGAATGAGATGGAGCATCACCCCTCGGCGGAGACGGTGCATGACGGCCATGACCATGATCACGACCACGACCACAAGGCTGACACAGCAATCGATGAGCCCAATGAGTCAATCCCCGACCAAGGCAAGGTACCTGATCCGGATGTCTGGCACGATGACAAGGAGGACGAGCGTCTGGCGGCACCGGCGGGTTTGTCGCCAGAAGCAGATGCCGTTTCGACACATGCCGTCTCAGCCACCACTTCGCACGACGTCGCCGCCCAGTCACCGGCGGCCCCCACGTCAGCCATTGTCCTCGCGACGACGGAACCTGTTGTCGTTGCTGCTGCCTCCCCGACGCCGCCACTGCGTCCCGCCTCGGAGATTGACAACTGAAGAAGTCGACATGCTGGCAACCGCCAGCGTTTGATCTTGGGTCAAATCTTGGTCAACATGGTTCCTCCTGGGCTGCCAGTGCCGCCATCAGGTTGTCTCTTTTCCTTCGTTGCGGGCGCGAAAGGATGGCCAGCGTGGTAAACATCACCCATCTTACCGCGAGCAGTGATGCCCTGCCCTTCGTCTTGGCCTGGCCATGACCAGCCGGGCCGCACGACGCCCCAGGGCTGGTGGACGGACAGTCATCCATCCTGAACCTGTCGGCATCCGGTTGTTTTTGTACGACCATGAGACAATGAGGCCGTGTTTTCAAAGATATTCGGCACCTCCCATACCCATGACCCTGACGACAGCAACGAAAGCCCAACACCCATGGTGCGTTATCTCTCCGCATGGCGTCGATCTTCGGCGGCTCGTCACTCGGCTGGAGGTAGCACTGGACCATAGGTGCGCAGCGGGTCAGAGACCTGGCTGCTCAGATGCGCAGTGTTGGATCCAACCACGTCTTCTATTCGCAAAGGCGTGACGCATCATGATGATGTCGCATCTGTGTAGATGCCCAGGCACACGCCCGCCGATGCTGCCGTCGGCACGTCCTGAGGAGGGGAGTCGACGACAGGAAATGGAAGCAGGCAAGGGTTCTGGCAACATGGAAATCCGTTTTGGAAAACGGCGTGGTTTAGTCTCCTTTCTCGAGCAGGAAGTGTGCCTCTCCCAGGGGGCGCTGTCATGTAGGCTGGTTGAGCCGTTCCGCCCTGGGAGGCCGACGCTCGAGGATGCGAGATCCTCCATAGCATGAGCAAAGCTCCCTCAATCGTATCTCGAGTCAGGGCTATTTCCTCGCTCCCTCAATTCTTCGACGTGCATGCCGGCCGGTGCGCTACCTAGATACCTAGCACGTTACGGCACGATCCGGCACGATCCAGCACGGCCACTGATAGACTTGCACACCGCTTCAAGATCCTTCCAGAATCAGCAGGCCACGGCACCCAGCACGCGCACCGGGCATGTCATGGATCTAGACGCATTTCTGCTGCATCCAACCTCACGGCCTTTCTCACACAGGGCGTATGAGATCCGCACGCCGACATCGGCTAGCATTGTCATGTCTCCTCCACCCAGTGACGCTTATCAGCGCTACTCCACGTTTGCCCTCCAATCCCGCATCAATCCTGCCGATGAGCAACACATTGTCGAAATGCTGTCATCGTTCCAAACTCATACCTTGGACAACTTGTATCTTGAGTGAATGTTGCTGCAATACATCTCGCTCAACCACACGTCAACAGCACTCATTTATTCTCACTCTGAACTAGACCCCACGCCTCTCGCCAACGAAGAGTGCATCACCAAAACACGACCCCTCAGTAGGCGTGCCCACGACGTGCCCACGATGAGCCCAGCAAAGGGCCCAACGGCCCTCAGCAGCGACAAGATCCTCCTGCTCGTGGCCTCGCCGCCGAAGCAAGACTGGATCAGCCGCATCGAGTCGCGCTACCCGGGCATCGAGATCCGCTGGGTCGACTGCACGAGCTCGGGGGCGCTGACGACGCCGGACGAGATCCCCGCCGCGCTGTGGAAGGGCATCACCATCTACTCGAGCTGGCTGACGCCGCGCGCCGAGCTCATCCCCAACGTGCGCTTCGTGCAGCTCTCCTCCGCCGGCGCGGACCGGTGGCTCGACCACGCCCTGTATCTGAATCCGGACGTCGTTTTTTGCTCGGCCAACGGCGTCCACCCGTACGTCCTCTTGATTCCTTCAAGCCCCCCCCCCCCCCCCCTTTCCCCCGGGGTACATCAAGTCGTCGACTGACCCGGCCGTGGCAGCCCGCAAATAGCGGAATGGGTCATCGGAACGTGGCTGTCCCACCAACACCGCTTCCTGCACTACCATGACAGCCAGCGCGAGGCCTCGTGGGCCAACCGTCTCGCTTACCCCGTCGAGGACTCTGTCGGCCTCCGCATGTAAGTCGTGCCCGCCCCGCCTTTGTCGCGCCCCCCCCCCCCCCCCGCTCCCCCACCTCGCGAACTGTGCGCATGACTGACCCCCTCCCGATGACTAGGGGTGTTCTCGGCTACGGCGCCATCGGCCGGCAGTGCGGCCGCGTTGCGCAGGCCCTGGGCATGGAAGTGTACGCCTACACGCGCAGCGAGCGCGCGGACCCGGCCTCCCGGAAGGACGACAGCTACTGGGTCCCTGGCACGGGTGACCCAGAAGGCGTGCTGCCGGCGCGCTGGTTCCACGGCGCCGACGTCGAATCCGTCAACGCCTTTCTTGCGCAGGACCTTGACCTCCTCGTCGTAGGTCTGCCGCTGACGAAGGAGACGGACGGGATCCTTGGGGCAAAGCAGTTCGACATCTTGTCCAAGAAGAAGACATTCGTGTCCAACATTGCGCGCGGCAAGCTTATTGATCAGGAGGCCCTCGTGGCGGCGCTTGAGCAAGGCAAGATTCGAGGGGCGGCTCTCGATGTCACGGACCCGGAGCCGCTGCCGGCGGACCACCCGCTATGGAAGGCACCGAACGTCTTCCTTACGCCGCACGTCAGCGGTCGGAGCACGGCCTACTGGGATCGTGCGCTGGCTATCTTTGAACAGAACCTGGAGCGCTGGTCCGAGGGCAAGCCGTTGATCAACGAGATAAACAGGACGCTTCACTACTGAGCCCTACATGATAGTAGAGTCTGTAAGCATTCACATCATGAGCCAAGGACGAGTGACGTAGAAAAACGGAGGAGGGTATCATTAGATTCATTACCGTTACCACACTATGCGCCATTCTTCGCAAACCCGATCTCCGACGACGAAGCCGATCCTGCCCCTGGCTCGAGCGTTGTCGCCATTTCTAAGCTGCCAGTCCTAGGCAGCGAGGTCGTCGATATTCGCCTCAGACATTTCATCTGCCTCTCAATCTCGCTATCACGCACAATATTGACCTCAGTCGTTTTCATGATCAATATGCCGTCGGCCGTGCCGCTCCTTGCCTCGTCTGTAGGTTCGCGGCCAGTCTGGACGTGGGCAGAGTACCGCCGGCCAATTTCAGGGTTCGCAATGGCTCCCTTTCTAGCAAGTTCGTCCTGCAACGTGCCGCCGACCTCGATGGTGTCCATGGCCATAGCAGGCAGACTGTCAAAGCAGGCGGGCACGCGCTGGCTGCCGTCGAAGATGTAGTCGTTCTGCCCGGAAGACGTGCCCATGCGACCACCTGAAAGATCTATGAGGCCGTTAAGGATATTGAACTCGAGCTTGAGCTTGATCGAGTAGACAAGTGCCTTGTAAGCAGTCTGCAGTTCGTAATAGCCAGCGTACTCCAAGCCTAGGATGGTTATGTCTAGCAGAATAACGACGATGTTGACAAGGATGAGATGCCAGAGCATCCGCTTGCGGGCAGATTTGGCGTGCAGGGTCGAGTCGCGGAAGAGCTTGGTCGTGGCCACAATGTACATGATGGATATAATGAGCTCCTGGAGGAAGAAAATGGTAATCTGAATCTTCTCATAAACAGAATAGACCAACAGAAATCCTTCCGGGTCCGATGAGTTGGCGCCGTAGATGAGGATAGACACGGGAATATGGCAAATGATGGCGTTTGTGATGACCATGGCGAGAACAAAGCGCAGGTGTCTCGGGTCGCGGTCGACGAGGTGCAGCCGCGAGTACAAGACAACCGACTGGCCAGTGACAAGAAAGGACCAGCCGATAACGATCATGGTGACATAGAGATAGATGAGCCGCGTGTTGATGCCCAGGCCCTTCAGCAGGAAACCGACGGAGTAGGGCACGAGACCAAAGGTGGCGACGCAAAAGCTCCAGAAATACAGGCCATTGCGCTTCTTAAAGGTGAAGAAGATGATGCAGGCGAGTTCGACGGCATTGTAGAGAGCTATGGTGATGAAGATGACAATGGGGAAGGCGGCGTTGAGGTCGCGAGTCGAGTTGCTGACGATGCCATGATCAACGTCGAACATGGTGGTTGGCTGGCTCCGAGTACCGTGTCGGGGCCACGGCCCGTTGATCAATCAGTGCGGCCTGGCAGCCGTTTGGTTTCACAGGCGTCCAGCGGGAGGAGAAAACGCGATGGCGCAAGAGTGGAAGAAGATGCACGCGAAGAGCATCTTCTTCATCTCAACAAGTTGGTGATCATTGACAAGTGACGTGCGGTGAACGAGGGATGAGATGGAGGAGCGCCGATGCCGGTTGCGGGCGCAATCGCAGGGAAGGGACTGTCTTAAACAGACAGAAGGGACGGCGGGGCCCTTCTTGCCTGGTCTCCCATTTTCGTACCGCCGTTTGTGCTTTCCTCAGATGCAGGGCGGGCGCAGATGTGACTGCCTCGAGAAACAAGTCACTAGCACATGGCTTAAACTCAAAACCACGGGCGCCCAGGTGCACCTGACGATCATGACAGTGCGTTCTGTTGGGGGTCTGCCGGCCGCCGGTGTGTCCTCGAACCAGATGCTGGGACGAAAGTCAGCCTCCACCATATGCAGCCATCTGCAGCCGGACAGGCGTCCATGCAACCTCTGCAACCTCTGCAACCTCTGCAACCCATCTCCAGCCGACCTCGGGCTGTCAAGATGGTCCTCGTCCTATGGAAGCTCAGCAGACAGGCAGACTAAGACACGAACAGCAGAGACACCTGCATCCTGAGAAACGTGCTTGCCGCAGCCAGGCACCAGCCCAAAGAGCTCATCGAGATGAACTCATCACCCAGCAACATTCCAACGCCCTACGCGCACCCATGCCGTCGCCAGCGGCCTGGACCAACCCGGCCTGGCAACGTCCGTTGCTAAAGGGAGCTCCATTGACGTAGAGCGCGCATGCAGCCCTTCCATAAGACCCAAACGAGCTCAGAGCCATTCCGACTAGGGTATCGGGGCAGCCGACATGACGACAGGCCCTGCGAGGCGTCAACGCCCACCACCACCGATCGCAGTCCAACCCAAGTTTGTGCGCAACTCTCTTTAGGTGGCGCCTGGGTCTATCGGCACTTGAGATCAGCGCCCTTGACTCGCATCTAGATCTTGAGGTCGCAGTCGATTGTAGCTGACTCAAATATACCTCAGAAATGTCCCGTCATGCATGAAACGGTTCGAGGGGTTGACCAGCCTACTGACCATTGAGCAGCAACGCGTTCAAGGGCGCAAGAGACAAAGTTCTCACGGCTGTGCGCTGGATTTCAGCCTCTCTTTCTCATCCCACAAGACCATTGAAACGCAGATCAGCATCCAAAACGGCTTGGTGGCTGAGACAGGGCGACCCAAGCTCGCGAACCCAACATTTGCTCAGCAGGTGAATCGAACCATGGGCCTGGGCCCTCAACCAAAGATTGACTGCGACTCTCTCGCTCAGTCGAACCTCCCACAACAACCATTTTATGCCCAGTCGCATTATCCAAGTCACATCCTCTCCAATGGCTTATTGGTGTTGCATCGACTTCCAGAAGCTAGGTGACAACGATGCGAAGGACGATTCAACGCCCTGTCCACGAATCATTCCCAGCAGAGCACGATGTAACGTGCTCGGATGCGAAAAACCGCAGCCGTGATTTCTGCAGGTCTCCATTCCATGTTCGAGAAGCTATGATTACCTATTCATACATTCTCAACGGCCAATAAATCAAATCAGACACCCTCACAAAGCCTTGCGAAGGCCCTCGTGCTTGACCACCCAGCCGCCTTTCTTAGGGAAGCCTGGAGCGTCACTGGATGATCCCTCCCATCCCTCAGCCATGTACGCAACTGCAAGTCAATCGTCAGCCAACTACGAGACAAAATCGACACCAAACTGAAAACAAATGGTAACTGACCGGCCAAGAGAAACCCGGCGTTCCCGGGCATAAAAGGGGGCGGCGTCCCGCCGTCACCGCCTCGAATGGCGAAGCCTACATCGCGCACATTCCGTTAGCAACCGAGTCCCTCAGCCCTCCCTCAGCCATGATGGCACTTACCAGCATCGTCAAACTTCCAATAATCATACGCCGTCAAGTGATAAATAGCACGCTCTGGGTTCCCGACTCTCGCCGAGTTGATCGCTAGGATCGGTCTCCCCCAGCCCCGTATTTTCTGGTCAGTCCAGACCTCCCACACCTTATCTGCCGTGCGTCGTCCGACCTCCTCATTTACCGCCGGCGTGTTGGGCAGGATGCCCTGCATCATGATGAGACTCCGTGGATCTCCGTTCAGTTTAGGATCCTGCCACCACGTCGAGTTGACGCCTTCGTACACGGCGTACAGGCCGTCGACCTGCGGGGGTTTTGACAACTTGGAAGCGACGGTCGTCCATTGCTCGGGAACAGGCCGAGCCAGCCTTTTCTTCCACTCGCGTGCGACATCGAGGCCGTAGCGCCAGTACGCAAGCTCATAGGCAAGGTTCAGGGTGTCCTCGGGTGGAGTGTTTTCCGTGACACCGAAAGAGCTGCACGTCGTTAGTCATGACTTGTAGGACGTGACGAACAAACTCACGGAGGGCCGAGGTCGTAATTTCCAGACGACTCGTTGTACCAGGCGTATGACGCCATGTAGTCGGCAGTCGCCTCGAGTATCGGATCCCACCGTTCAAGGGTCTCCTGGGTTGGCTTGGTCTTATACGCCAGCATCGCCATGTACATTGGGTGTGGCTGTTCATTTGTCAGATGGTTCTCTTCCGAGCTGTACACGATTGTGACATACTTGCTGCCATAGCAGAAGAGCGTTGATGAGGCCTGGTGAGCTCCGCCCTGTCATCGTGTCCGTCATCTTGGGCCATCGAGCGCCTTCCCAGCCCATGAGCTTGGCCCGGGCAAAAGAGGTCGGTAGCAGCTTTTCATAAAGGGCAGGGAAAATGTTGTGGAAATGCTCTTCACGACCCCACGAAACCCAATGTGCGTTATGCCAGACCACCATCTCCATGTGAAACTTGCCTGCAAAGCGTAAGCATGCGCCCACCAACTCTCTCTTCTACGAGTGTGGATGATTGTAGATGAGTGCACATACCGTACCACCCGTTGTTCATGAGTCCACTCTCCTGAGGCGACTCGCCTTTTGCAGCGCTATTGACGCGAACGTGATACTGCGAAGTAATGATGCGCCGCTGCAGCTCCGTTGCGTTTGGGTTCGTCGAGGCGGTCAGGTCAACGAAGCCGCCCTGATCCCAGTACTCGTGCCATCCATCCGTGTTGCGCGCCCTGATCGTCTCCGGCGGATCTGGCAGGCGTTTTCGCGGAGAGAAGTGCGCCGTGAACGAGAGCGAAGATGGCTTCTGTTCCTCCCTTCCGGACGCAGGTGCTAGGGTATACCTGTGCGCCGTGATGGCCGTTGAACCCTCTGGTTCGACCTTCTGCAGGGAAAGCGGACTCATGTCCGGCCAGCGGAGGTTGACGCTGTATCTCGTCGCCTGCATCTCGTGGTAAATGTGCGCCGTGTTCGCCTCGCAGCTGCGCGTCAGTCTCGTCGTGTGGTTGGCCGGAAAGTCGTAGACGCCGACAAAGACCTCGTACTTGTACTTTGTCGAGTGGATCGGCGGGTACGGAAAGTCGAGCTCGACCGTCAGGTCTCCGGACTGGATCAGCTCCGAGTCGATATCGAAGACGACGGCGTCCGAGTCAAAGTCGCCCTGCGTGACGACTTTGACCGGGCGGCCGTCGACGGTGAACGTGGAGGTGATGACGCCGCTCCAGAGGTCGAGCTCCTGCCGCGTGTCTGAGATGCGGGCCGCCGACAGCGTGGCGTTCCTGTAGCGGAGGCCGATCCGGCCGAGGTTGACTCTGTTAGGGTTGCTGATGAGCCACTGCGAGACGTCGGGGAGCTTGGGGTCCGGTATATCATAAGAGACATTACGGCCGTGGGTCTCCATCGGCACGCCGGTGTAGTCTGATATTTTATTCCTGGGGAGGTTGCTCGTTCAGCTTCTTTGGTCATCATCATGTTCTCAAAGGGGCAAACACACCCGCCACTGGGCTCGGTATCGTTGTGCCACGCCCACACCGACATGGTGTTGAACGGCAGATACGTCTGCATGCCAGTCGTGTCTACGCCAAAGGCAAAGTTGCCGTTTCCGACCTGAAGAGGTGTCGTCTCATTGTTGATCAGTTTCGTCCGCACAATATTGTTATCGCTCACGATGCGATGCCTGTTTGTGTTAGAGCGGCCGGCCGTGGGCAGAGATGTTCCCGGGCTTGGACTTGCCTGTCGATCTGGCCGAGCGCCGCGATAGGCAGCATGAGCCAGAACGTACTCCTAAGTGTTACCATCTTTCGTCAACTTCGTCAAGTGTTGGACAGCTGGTCGCCTTGTCTGTCGTACCATTTGGGGGCGATATGAGCTCAGCTTTATTCAGTCAAGACGGCCAAGGCATCCCGGCCGGCCAAGGACACCCACAACCCCACGTCGTCCCCGGCTTGTTGTCCAAGGGGAATGTCCCGAAATCCGGGGGAGGGAAGCAAGGGTCTGACTCCGCAGAACCATAGCAACATGGCACATCATCATCCTTGCCACGTGCCCGCAGCGGCCCATGTCAGCGCGCCGAGATGGCCCGAACGCCGCCGCAACCACATCACGACCGCTGTCCATCTCGGAGGGGACCAGCGCGCCGGTAGCCACTGAGCTGTCTGCCCGCATCCAAATATCCGTCGGCAAAGAGTGACTGGCAGACGGCTGCATCAGCTTCAAGATGGAAGGATCAATAGCGCAGGAGAGGAGAGGGCTTCAACCAGCGGTTCTTCAGGGAGCGCTCTCGCGGCGCGGGGTTCCTGTGGTATGGCTGGTGCCGATCAGCTCCTCATGCAGGCCAGGAACCAGCACTGCGACGTTGCCGGATCCGAGCAAAGATGGCCAATTGGCGCCCCATTGGTGTATCTTCTTGGCTCCGTCGCGGGGAACTGTAGCGAGCCTCTTGTTGTCAGTCAAACGTCCTGCAGATACGACAAGTTGCTTCGAATGTAGCTCGGTTCAGGTTGAGCGCATGACGCACGATTTTCATGACGCCATGATGCTCTTTTGATTCGGTATTTTCGTGGTTTAACTAACCATCACCCACCCAGACAACAACGCCCGCTCCCCGACACTCCCATGACTTCATTCATTGGGTATTCGCCCAGAATCTACTCATCAATCATAAGGACACTCCTGAAGCGCACCTTGTTCTGCAGCATGTGGTCCGTCGCCTCCTGAGCCTGGGACATGGGGAACTTCTCAACCATGCACTTGACGTTGTGAGTGCTCGCAAATGCGATCGCCTCCTCCGAGTCGAGTGCATGTCCTGCAGGCCATCCCCACACGGACCTGCCACCAAGGATGAGGTCAATTGAGTTGATCTCGAGCCCACCCACGGGCGCCAGGATGCACAACTTGCCAGCGGGCTGCAGACCAGCTGTCAGCGGGGAAATCGCCTTTGGGTTAGGAGCCGTGGCCACAATGAGCGCGGCACCGCCGAGCTCCTGCAGCTTCTTGACGGGGTCGTCCTTGCTCGAGTCAATGTATTCGTGCGCGCCGAGCTTCCTAGCAAAGTCTTCCTTGGCCGAGCCCGAGCTCAGCACGGCGACCTTGTAACCCATCTTGACGGCGTACTGGACAGCCAGATGGCCCAGACCGCCAACGCCCTGGACGGCAACTAGGTTGCCCTGCTCAACCTGCATCTTGCGGATACTGTTGAAGACAGTGACGCCGGCGCACAGGAGGGGCGCAACCTCGGCTACGTCGAGCTCCTTAGGAATTCGAACAACAGCCTCGGAGCGCAGAAGCGCATACTCGGCATAGCCACCGTCTTGGGTCACGCCATTGATAGCTGCATGATCGCACATCTGGAACTGTCCACGTTGGCACTGTCGGCATGCCAGATCATGGCCTACCGTCTCGTCAGTGGTTAGGCGACTTGTGAGACAGCTCACGTAAACTTACCGCCATGCCAGGGGCCACCAACGCGCTCGCCACCAGAAAACCGAGTAACACCCTCACCGACAGCGACCACATCGCCAACGAGCTCGTGGCCGGGCACACGGGGGAACACATCGCCAAAGGCACCGGATGACATGCCCGTGTCCGAGTGACAAACGCCACAGGCGCGCACTCTGACGAGGACTTGATTAGGGCCAGGCTGCTTCAGTTCCAAGTCCTTGAGGACCATGGGACCACCCGCCTTCTCGACGACCCAGGCCTTGTATGTCTTGGGGAGGGACGACATGGTTGTGGAATGTGTGAATTGATTCGGTATCAAGCTGGTGCACAACAGAATACAAGAGACGAGAGAATTTCTTGGACGGGAAGATGTTGCTGGACACCAAAGAGTCCTACGTTTGCAAATCTGGATCTCATGGGTCTTATACCTGGCCCTCAAGCATTGACGCGAAAGCTTATCGTTCGGCAACCAGAGCTCTCCAATCGATGGTGACGTAAAGTCTGGCCGCACACCGACATCCCCACTACCCCCGCATGCGGATGTACCGGGTTGAGCAGCTTGCAGCCCATACGCTGAGTCACGGACAGCTGTGTGTTCGGCTGAGTCGTGTGCCCCTGGGTAGTAATCATTAGCTTTGCTGAAAGTCTGGAATTCCTTTAAATCCGACTCGCAAATCCGATCAGTCTGCGTGTCTGGCCGGATCGTTTGATTTGGATCCTCGGCGTGATTAGTAGTAAAGCCTAAAACCTGCGACGTCGATGACCAAGATCCATGCAGATTAATGCAAGCCGGCATAATTGAGCAACTGTCCCAGTCAGCGCATCCAGCACATGCTGTCCAGTGGTACGGTATAGGCAGAACGAGGGTCGAACGAGATACACGAGTCGCGTTGTGCCAACTTTTGAGACTTGGCCAAGGGGTATTGGATTCAACAACAGGGGTGGCTAAAGACGAAAGGCTAATCCCGCCGCGTGGTCCAGTACTTCATCTCAAGGTCTCGCCCCCAGCGCTGCCAGGGCAGCGCGAAGCTCCTTGACTGCCGTTGGGACATCTTCAAAGTTGAGAGCCGATATGGCAAAGCGCGCATGCTTGGTCGCACCCGGTACATCGTGTTCCACCGGCAGATTCTCAACTGGCAGAGGTGCCGGGGCGGAGACGGGAGCGCGATAGACAGGAGGTGGACCGACAGACCGTACTGACGGTGGCGGCTGGTACTGCACTGGGGCAGCAGGCGGGGGAGGCGAAGGCTGCGCCGGAGGAGGAGGCGCCTGGTACGGAGCTGTGGGAGGCGAAGGCGGCGATGGTTCGCGAGGCGGGCTCCGGGGCAGGTCGGGCGGAGGAGAGACAATGCGACTGAATCTGAAAGATGGCACATTGGACGACGGGTCAGGTCGTTGCGCCGGCGCTGACGGCACATCGGGAAGAGACGGGCCCTCATTTCCACTGGCCTCGCTCAGCACCGAAGCGGGACGTGCTTGCGTCGGCGGGAAGTAGCCACCAGGCGTCTGCACACCAGGACCGGCCGACGGCGGCAGCTCGACCTCGTTGGGCGACTTGGGAATGGGGACATTGGCGGCCGAAGGGGCAGCACTCTGCTGCTTGTAGAACTCGGCATCAGGGTCGTCCTCGACCGTGGCAGCTCTCGGCGCTGAAGCTGACGAGTCGTTGCCGGTCAAGAGTTGAACATCAGGATCGTTCGGGTCGAGGCTTGGAAGGGCGACCTCGGCCTCTGGCTGCTCAACTGCGGGGTTCGACTCGTTGGGATCGTTGCCCTCTCTGACGGCCTTGAGGATGCGCGCTGCGTTCCATCGTGCGAACTTTATCTTCTTCTGAGTCTCGGCATCGGGCTGTCCCCAGATGTTGAGGAGCTGGAAGAATGTCGCAGCAGCGTCAAACGTATCGGCAGTTTGACGAGTCACTTTATTGGCGTTCATGACGCGCTCGGCGCGACCAAAGGTTTGCTGCGCAAACTGCTCGACGACGGCCTGGCCGACGGCATCATCCATAATGGCCTCGTCGTCAGGTCGTTCCGTCTTGGTCTTCTCAAGCTGGTCCATGAGGTTCATGGTGTAGGCGAGGGAATCATCGTCGGTGTTGTGCAGCTGTTTCGCGAGAATCTGATTGACAACCCAGTACTCGCCTGAGAGGTTTCTGTCAGGTAACTGGTTGATAGAACACCAGCAAAGAGCTTAAGGAAACGTACACCAGTAGGTCACAGCTGGCTTGACGGAGCGAAGCTGGTTTGCGCGGTTGATGAACCTCGTGATGTCCGCCTGGCGCAAACTGGCGGGGATGGCTTCGGCCATTGTCGATCGCTACAGGAACAGAACACCTGTAAATGACAGATCGACGGGGGATCGGGTGGCGGACGGAGAGAGCTTCAGTTACGACGCAGGGAATAAGAGCTGGACGATGTTGGAGTTTTGGACATTGAGGTTGCGCGAGAGGATGCCGGCAGCCTAGTTCATCAAGGTACCACCTTCCCTCAGAATGGGGGAGACGCAGACAGCAGTGGCGACCAGGCGCTAGACCGCAGACGAGCAGGTTGCAGGCTGACGTCGCTAAGGTACAGCGCTGTTTGGCGGCCCAGCCCCGCAGACACAGAAACAGTGGGGCCAGCGGCGGGTGTGAGCTCGAAGCTGGTGTGGGGAATGCTACGGTGCACTGTAGGATGTGCCAATGGACAAAGGGCTATTCAGAGCCTGTCGTCCTTAAGGTAGGTAGGTACCTACGGGCCAGCAAAGCCTCCTGTGCTCCCCTGTAGCCTGTTCGCTCCCATCTTCCACGCTGGCCTTTTGCCAAAAATAAGAACAAGAACACAACACCACCACCACCTTGGGATACTGCCAGCTGTCTGATATATATGGTAGGCATCTCCTGGCAAACGACCACCTCCCATTGATTGCCTTCACCTCACTCTCCGCCCGGAATCAACCCCAGATTGTTCCAGTGCACCTCGTCCACTTACACGATGCATCATCCCACCCTCCTCGCTGCGGGCATTGCCGCCCTGGCTTCCATGCCTGGGACTATGGCAGGCATGTACCCCAAGAGCTCTGCTGTTCTTCAGGTGGATGGCAAGAGCTACGACCGCTTGATCGCGCAGTCGAACTACACTTCGGTATGAATTGGCCACATTTCTTTTGAGCGTTCTCTTCCTTTGTTGACATTGCCATGTTGTCCAGATTGTCGAGTTTTACGCTCCCTGGTGCGGCCATTGCAAGAACCTCCAGCCCGCCTACGAGAAGGCAGCCAAGAGCCTCGAAGGACTTGCCAAGGTCGCCGCCGTCGACTGTGACGATGATGCCAACAAGCCTCTCTGCGGTCAGTTTGGCATCCAGGGCTTCCCCACCCTCAAAATCATTCGCCCTGGCAAGAAGAGCGGCAAGCCCGCCGTCGAAGACTACAACGGACCCCGCACCGCCACCGGCATCGTCGACGCCCTTGTGGACAAGATCAACAACCATGTCAAGAAGGTGACCGACAAGGACCTCGATGCCTTTGTCGCCGATGGCACCGACAAGCCCAGGGCCATCCTCTTCACCGAGAAGGGCACAACGAGCCCGCTGCTCCGCAGCATCGCCATTGACTTTCTCGATGTCATCACGATTGCGCAGGCGAGGAACAACCAGAAGGCTGTTGTTGAAAAGTATGGAATCGAAAAGTTCCCCACACTGATCCTGCTGCCCGTCGGCGCCAGCGAGCCTATCGTCTACGATGGCGCCATGAAGAAGCCCGCCATCGTCGAGTTCCTCTCTCAGGCGGGCACCCCTAACCCCGACCCTCCCGTCAAGGCTGGCAAGAAGGCCAAGTCCACTCCTAAGGCCGAACCCAAGGCTAAGGCTGCCGAGGAGAAGCCTGCCCCTGAAGCTGCGGCCGAAGATGTTGTCGAGCAGCCTGTTGCCACCCCGGCAGCACCCGCTGCGGCGCCCATTCCCTCCGTCGACACGGCCGAGCTTCAGAAGGAGTGCCTGGCCCCCAAGTCTCACACGTGCATTCTGGCTCTCGTCCCGACCACCGCCAACGACAAGTCGGAGAAGGTTCTCGGCTCCCTCGCTGAGCTGGCTCACAAGTACACTCAGGGCGGCCGTCACCTGTTCCCCTTCTACGCTGTCTCCGGCGAGAACCCGAGCGCTGCCACTCTGACCAAGTCGCTGAGCCTCAAGACTGACGTTGAGCTTGTTGCTGTCAACGCCCGCCGGGGCTGGTGGAGGCACTACGAGGGCGAGGGCGATGCCACGAGCGTCGAGGCTTGGATTGATGCTATCCGCATGGGCGATGGCGCCAAGAACAAGCTTCCTGCCGAACTGATTGTTGCGCCCCAAGTCGTGAAGGAGGATGTGCCTCCAGCCAAGGAGGAAGCCGCCGAGGAAAGCTCATCCTTTGCCGGCACCGTGGCCGACGCCCCTGAGCCCGGCACCGAGACTCCTAGCGAGGAGGCGCCGACTGAGGCCCCCGTCGAGGCGGACGCCGCTGAGACGCCCGCTGACCACGATGAGCTCTAGTGGCCGCGTGCTGGAAGCGAGCCTGCACCAGCTGGTCCCCAATTTGAGCCAGCGCAAGTGATGACAATGAAAACAAAAACTCACGTTCAATGATCCTACATGTCCCATGCCTTTTAACCGGGGGTATCATACCATCGTGCCCATTCCATACACATCGTCTTGACCTGCTTCATTGTCCTTCGCCCTCTCCGCCCTCTCCGTTTCTCTCACGTCATTTCAACATCGACTTGGGCGCCCTTCTCCACCACACCCTCCTGTACCATCTTGGACCCCTTTTCCTTGACAACAGCATCCAGCTTCCCCCGAATCTGCTTGCACCCGTCCACGGCCACTGCCAGCAAGCCCTCCAGTCGGCTTGCCTGCACCCTGCTCTCACACACGAGCACCACAACCTTGTCGCTGTCGCCCAAGGTCGCCGCCGTCAAGAAGGGCAGCTCCTGCTCCTCCTGCGTGTTCAGGTCCAGCAGCGGGTCCGCCCCCTCGTCGGCTGCCGCGTACGTACTCGTCGAACCAGCCGTGCACGCGGCGATGTAGTCAGTCATGGGGATGCCCGCATCGACGAGCGCCAGCGTCGTCGCGTTGAGCAGCGCTGCGAGCAGCGAGCCATCCTGCGAGAGTACGTGCAGGGAGATGTAGATGGAGCTGTGCGGGAAGAGGTGCGTGTGCAGCGTCGACGCAAAGGCCTTGGAAACGGTGGCCTCGAGTTCGGAGATGCGCCTGCCATATGTCAGTCAGATGGCCCGCCCCCATTGCATTCTGCGACACGTCCCTTTTCGGACAGAATGCGCGAGGGAGTCATACTTGTCATTCCGGCCGTACTTCCTCCTGTCGACCGAGCTGAAGCCCGCGACGACAATGCTCACATTGACGGCGGCGTCCTTCGATTGCCCACCCGCGGGCCCGCGGCGCTGCGGCTCGGTCGGGCCCGTGACGACACACATGACCTTGGTGTGGCCGATTTCGAGGTAGCTCGAGCCGTCGGCGGCGTCCTGCGTGCGGATCTGGGCCTGCAGCCGTCGAAGCTCGTTCCACCGGCGGCCGTCGACCCGGAGGAGGGAGAGCCCGTACGTCGAGGTGTCGAGAGGCATTGTGGTGTCGTGTAGCGGTCCTGGGTTTATTGAGGATCGCAGGGGCCTTTTCGGACGCACCAATTGCAAGGCTGGGTGTTGATGGGAGGCTGGTAGGTCTTGTCGTCGAACGTCTGAAAGTCCTGGAGCACTGGGATGGGGGAATTTTTGTCTAAGCTTCGATACGCTGTACTTGCCATAGTGGGGTCCATCACACAGTGCAGAAAGCGTCTTGGGTTGCTTTCCTGTACTGTATACGCACTTGGATGAATCGATCAGACATCATAAAGACAATAACGACAACGCTGGGATAAGAAACGAGCACATTTGCTCATGATTCATGTAATTTTATTCGTGGTTCCTTCGCAGTGAACTTGTTGTGTGTTTCTGGCCGCTTTATCATCTCCATAGAGTCAGCATGCCGGCCTCGGAACAAGTCCTCTAGAGAGTATAGAATGAGAGACCCAAAAAGCGAGACGTCGTCTAAACGGGAGAAAAAAAACGCGGTGTAGCCCAATCCCAGCCCTGATCCCGATCCCAGTTACGCCGTAACCATAACGCCCTGTTGAATTCCAAATGAGACACTGGAAACTGACGGCACAGTCCAGATGGGTTTGCGGACTTCCTCCTTCTCCTCGGCGTCGGTCCATCCGCGCTCGGGACCCCACCGTAGACCGCGGTCATTGATGATGGCGACTTCCATGAGCCCCTTCATCATTTCTCCCGATTTCTTGACGCTCGACCAGCCGTCAAAGTCGACGTATTCCAGCGCCGGTAACTCGGCCAGTACCTCGCCGAGGAGCTTTTGGCAGAAGAGCTCGTAAAACCCCTCAGACCGTCGAAAGCCCGTGAAGACGCTGTCACTTGGGTCGCATTCGACAAAGACCGTCAGCCGCCGGACGTTGATACAGTCTTTGAGCCCCAGGGCCGGGTTCACAACCCAGCCACGGGGCGGGGCGTTCCATCCAGGACCGAGGCGCATCTCGAGAGAGGTGAGACATGCTCGCTTCGAGGGAGTGAGACGGGCCAGAAGCGGCTTCTTGGTCTTGAGGAAGCGGCCAGGAAACGTCGGGAAGAGGCGAAAGGTTCGGCTGCTGTAGTAGTAATGCGATGCTTCAGAGTAAATGGTGCGGCAAGTCTTGAACAAGGCCAGCTTCCTGTGAAGCCGCTTGTGGTTGTCGGGATCGAGGTCCATAACCTTGCCGGCATCCGCAAAGTGGTAGGCGTACACCTTGAGTCGCAGCTCGCCGGGCAGGGACATGAAGGGGAACGGGTCAGGGCGCTTTGCCTTTGACGAACCCAGAGACAAGCCGTCCAGGGTCAAGCTGTCGGCATCATTGGCCTGCTCGGCTTCCGAGGCGCGCCGTGTCTTCCGACCGGCGGGCATTGGTCGCGGCTGCAGAGCCGAGCCGAGGGCTCGAGAACCCTTTGTGCGGCGAACCATGATGGAAAATTTACCGAGTTACAAAAACTCGACACCGTATTCGTAGCAGAGTCACAAGCACCCGTCGAACGATGTCGAGGGGTCGGTTGACTCCAGTGGCGAAGAACGACAGAGACTTCGTCAGAAAGTGTCAAGGTGCTCCAAGTAGATGTTCGTTGTGTTCGGTTTCCAGGAGATACAGGATATCGTCCGTCTTAGGCGGTAGTAAGTCGTAGAAAGTCTCGAGGGACGTAGTAGTTCGCGGAGGGTGGTCCCATGGCGACACTGAAAGCGTTCAACAGACAGGGACCACCCTTCAGCATGAGGCAGCCGCAACAGCCATGTCGTTGTCAGGTGTATGTTTTTGGGGTAGAAGTTTGTGTCGATATTTCGAAGGTTCTGCCAGCAGAGCAAGTTGTCAATAGGTAGGTACAAGTGTCGAGGGTCGGTATCAGGCGTGGGATGGGATTTGGAAAGAATGCACTGCGCGGAGGCGACTCGGAGGCGATGGCTTCAAGAGTGGAGACGAAAGCGAGCGAACGAGCGAACGAGCGAAAAGTCCAACACGTGAGTTGGAGTTGAAGATTTGACTAAGCAGAACCATTCCAATGAAAGTGAGTGGGCTCTCCTTCGGAGGCGGAAGATGACCTCATTGCTGAGCTCGCCGTGATACCGTGCAGATCCCCTGATACGGAGCCAATTGCACTGTGCGTTGTCACGGCTCATCCTCGGAAAGCAGAGCTATGGGCGTGCTGCACTCAAAAATTTCCAGAAGCTTCATCATCGGCGCTGCATGTCCGCCCACCTTTCCCTCCCCACCCTACGATTTGTCGACGGTTGATGGCGCTTGTGGGCCATCCTTAACATCGAGTTTGCGGCATTGTACGACCAAGCATAGGCCAACAATCCCCTCATTCCCAGACCATCACACTTTCACACGCCGCCATGTTGTCAAGGGCGGCCCGAGTCGCGCGATTGCAAACCCCTTTGCTCCGCGCCATTGCGCAACCAGCCCCGAGGTCGCAACTAGCCGTCGCGCCATGGAGGAGGACATACGCCAAGGTCAACAAGCCTGAGTCCCCCGATGCCAAAAAGGCTACCGATTCATCCGAGCCCAACTACGATGGTGACGTTGCTGCGCGAGCGGCTAAGGAGGCAGCTGATGCCGAGAAGGCCAACACAGTCGGCGACAAGGCTGCTGCCGAGGAGGAGCTTTCTGAGGCGGAGAAGGCGAATTATCCCCTGCCTGACTTGACGCAGGGTATCCCATCCACACTCGCGTACGAGATGTCCGGCGCGACGACCAGCAAGTCTGCGCTGCAGGCCATTTCCGAAGACGAGGCCTTCTCGGGCGGCGGGAAGGGCAAGGGGGAGATGCCCGCATCAGCATACGTTTCGTCGTCAGAGAGGAAACGACAGCAACTCGCCAATCGCATGTTCATCGCCTTCCTCGCCGGCGCTGCGGGCAGTCTTGTCTACCTCGGCCGCAACTGGGACGACAAGATCGACGAGGAACGACACCCTGATGTGCCCAACGGCTGGGGGCTCGGCCTGTGGTGGAACCGAGCATCCACGCGCATGAGCGAGTTCACCAACTACTACCAAGAGCCCGCATTCGAAAAGCTTCTCCCCGACGTCGACCCCTCCTTTGAGCGCCCCTACACCCTCTGCATCAGTCTAGAGGACATGCTGGTGCACAGCGAATGGTCACGTGAACATGGCTGGCGGGTGGCCAAGAGGCCCGGCGTCGACTACTTCCTGCGCTACCTCAGCCAGTATTACGAGCTGGTTCTCTTCACGTCAGTGCCTTTCGCAATTGGCGAGCCCCTCGTTCGCAAGCTCGACCCCTTCCGCTTCATCATGTGGCCCCTGTACCGTGAGGCGACCAAGTACAACGACGGCGAGATCGTCAAGGTAGATTATTCCCCCAAAGAACCATAACAGCGTTTCTCTTGCTAATAAGAGGACAGGACCTGTCTTACCTGAACCGTGACTTGTCCAAGGTCATCATCATCGACTCCAAGGCTAGCCACGTCCGCAACCAACCCGAGAACGCCATTGTGCTCGACAAGTGGACCGGCGACTCCAAGGACAAGGATCTCGTCGGCCTCATTCCTTTCCTTGAGTATATCCACACCATGCAGTACGGTGACGTCCGCAAGGTCCTCAAGTCCTTTGATGGCAAGCACATCCCTACCGAGTTCGCCCGTCGTGAGGCCATCGCCCGCGCCGAATTCGAGAAGCAGCTGGCGGCTAAGGGCAAGAAGACCCCCTCCGGCATGGGCATGCTCGGCGGTATGCTCGGCCTCAAGCCTTCCAACATGGCTCTGATGCAGTCCCCTGACGGCGAGCTGAGCCCCGCCGAGGCTTTCGCGCAGGGCAAGATGCTTCAGGATATTGCGCGTGAGCGCGGCCAGCGCAACTACGAGTTGCTCGAGAAGGAGATTAGGGAAAACGGTGCCAAGTGGCTGAAGGAGGAGGCGGATATGCAGGAGAAGGCTCAGCAGGAGGCCCTTAACAGCATGATGGGCTCCTTCTCGGGCTGGTTCGTCCCCTCCAAGACGGAGGAGAAGCCTGCCGACGGAAAGACGGCATAAAAAGAGAAAAAGGCCGCCACTAGAGACTGGGGCGCACACGACGAGCCCGGGACGCTGTTTGTTCATGGTCCATGATGGTATACTGGCCGACAGCGGCACGCGCCGGGGCCCGACGGGACTCTCCTCTACTAATCTTGTGTACTCTACGCTACGGGGCAGGTGGGACGGCTGGGAGAGGTCGCATCTGCATATAGACTAACGGCGTGCCGACGAGCGCGCGTGTATGAATGTTGTATAGTAGGCTGTCAAGCCAATGTCATTCCATTGAATCATCTACAGTCGAGGTGACCGTGTGACCTCAGGATATGATAAGGCCACTCTCGCTCAGCCATGTACTCGTTCAGGTCACGCAAGCACGCTCGCTCATACTGCGGCCGCTCCTCCCCCAGGCGGCGACCTCCAAAGCCCTCTACACCACTCGCAGAAGAATTTTGTCGTGCACTGGTAATATCTACCACGTGTCAGTTCGCTCGTCCCGCGGGCCGCGTGAAAGGTGAATGGACGTACTCCCAGAAACCTTCGCTCGTACTCTTGTCGATCTTGCTGCATTGGCACTCTGCTTTTCTCTTCGCGCAGAGGACAGGGTCGGGAGGCGGGATATGCCTGCCGCTGACAGCTTCAAAGTCGGCCGTGGCAGCGTGGCGGCCAAGATCGAGGTCGTCTGTGGCTGGCGCCGCAAGCACGCTGGAGCCCAATGCAAAGAGAAGAAATGTTGCGGGACGCATTGTGACGATTGTAGTCTCGCTGAATGACGGTGCAGCTCAGGTCTGTTGACTACGGAAGATATGTTATGCGGATGCAATAAATAATGCCGGGCGAGCACTGTCTCTTATACACGACGCCGAGCCCTCCAAGCACCGCAGTCACGTCCGTGAATCAGCAAGGCCTCGCCGTTGCACGACCCCCGAGACTCTCGATGGGGCGCATGGCGAACCGCGTACCATCTGACGATTCGCCTTGCACACATGGCACAAGGCGAAGTTTCGACCCGGCCCGAGCCACTCCAGCCGGAGCCATCCCTTTCAAACCACAAGGGCTGGCTTCTTGTTGGTATCAGATTGTCGTGTGTTGGCACAGTAGTACACGGATCGCCGTCGCCAACGGCCATTGTCTTGACCGCAAATGTCTTGGGTACAACGCCTGAAAAGTGCTGAATCTTGACAAACAGGAGGGCTGCTCGTACACGACGGTCACACGTACGAAGATGGCGAAACCAAGAAGCCTGTTTATAGGGTGGCTCACGAGGAACGACGGAGAAGATCGCTCGGAATGAACTATCTCTGCTGGGCTGGGACCTATATCTGCTTCGACACTCTGAGTATTTCTCAAGGGGCATACAAACCCTCGATGCCATATTGTTGAGGTTTGTGGGTACGTGGGGAAGGATGGTTACGATGATCAAGCTACTTTACCCCTTCGAGGTGCCTGATTCATCGTCGATTTTCTTACATTTCCCATCTTCACAGCGATGAAGTGACGACCCATACGAAGAGCGTCATGGACATCATGACCATGCAGCACCTAGTATCACAAAGCTGCCCCGCAACGGTGCGACAAACAGAGGAGTCGCCTTTGCCGTCCGTCCCTCACCGCATCGAGCGTCTCAAGGTCAGGGTAGCTGTTGTGGCAAGTTGCCTCATCACTCTTCGCATCATGCCCCGGTGTCACAGATCACAGAGATGCACATGTCAACCTGCCAAACATGTACGAACGCAGTCGTCTGCGCCGTGCAACGCCGTCTCCAGGCCAAAAGACGCAGACGTGACGATGACAAGAACGGAGAACGGCAATGCCGACTAGGGACGAAGGGTCATGGGTGCGACCTTGCAGCCGTGTCCGGCGTTCGTCGGTCGCACGAGAGCCTCACCGCTTTGTTCTCTCGCTAGAAGTCATCCCGTCGGTGGGCGAGGTGAATAGCAAAGACGACGATTGCATCATATCTAGCAGATGAGAGCTTTCGGGATCATGTCCGAGACAGGAGAACAGAAAAAGGACAACGTCAAGTCTTGAAATAACGCCATGGTATTACACTGACACAAGCTGGTATCTGCTGCATCGCAAAGAGGCCCACTCTATGGCGCTTTCTTCGGCTTCTCCTCCTCTGGCGATCTCGGCGTCGCATTCTTCGGCACTTGCGCAGCATTGCCATTCGCGGCCTTGCCCTCCTTCGGCTGCTCTTTCGCCTTAGCCACAGGTACGGCGCTGCCGTTGTGCTCCGGCGTCTTGGCTGTGCCCTTCGCGGACCCCAACCCCGTGATCGACACGACGGCATAGGCCACGGCGACGACAGCCGTAATGAGATCGAGAATGTGCACAGCCCACCAGAGATGCTGGGTGCCCAGGGCGCACGTCGCGTACTCAAACTTCCAGCTCCACGTCGCCTCATCAAACCAGGCGCTGAGCAGGCCGGCGTTGCCGCCGAAATCGCCCATCATGCTGCGCACCGTAATCTCCCTGATGCCGGAGAGGCCGTCGGCGCCGACGGTGCCGTTGCCCTTGGCGTGCTCCCAGCGGCTGACGTCCCAGTAGCGGTTCCCCTCCTTGACCTGGCGGATGAAGTGGTACGTGTCGCAGCCCTCGTGGTCGTGGCCGTTGAGGATGACGCCCGGGCGGCCCTGGCCGTGGCCCGGGGCGTCGGGGTCGCCGCTCATGCCGTAGATGCCCTCGAGGAAGCCCTTGCTCGCGGCCGAGGACAGCTGGTTCTGCTCCTTGAGGCCGCCGTCGTGGTCGTGAAAGGTGAAGAGCGGCGCGTCGACGCAGACGCCCTCGGGCTTGTAGAGGGGCACGTGGGTCAGGACAATGGTGAAGTGGCCGCGGAACTCGACGGCGGACGAGGTGGCGATGACGTCGTTGATGAACTTGTACGTGTCGTCCTGCAGCTTGGCGTCGCGCGCCGGCGTGTCGAGGTTCATGTCGTTGAGCACGACGACGCGCAGCTCGGGCGGCAGGCGGTCGGAGGTCGGGTTCGTCGCCTCGTCGTAGAGAGTGCCGTTGGCGGTGGGGTCCTGGCGGCCCAGCTCGAAACGAAGCTCGTAGTTGGCCTTGCCAAAGGCCTTTTCGAAGCGGTGCAAGCGGTCTTCGTTGATGTCGCCGGCGTAGCCAATGTCGTGGTTGCCGACGACGTTGATGACGCGCCGCTGCCAGACGGCCTCCTCGCCCTCGTTGCCCATGATGGCCGACAGGTCGTAGTCCATGGCCGGATAGACGGCCGTCTCGTCGGGCACGCGCTCGGTGCCGCGGAAGACGCGGTTCCAGAACCGCCCTGCGCGTCGCTGAAACTCGTCATCCTTGACCCACTGGCTGCCCAGCAGGTCGCCGAGCACGGTCAGATGTGTGGGCTTGGTCCACCAGCGGACCGTTCTGTAGATGTGGGCGAGGTAAAAGTCGTTGCCGAAGAGGTCGATGTGCTTGCGCAGGGATTCTAGCTCGACGAAGACGTCTTCAAAGACAAAGTCGATCCAGTCGTGGAGGGCCTGGCGGATGCGCTCGCGCAGCGACGAATGCGCCGTCTTGTAGGTGACGTGGCGGTAGAGACTCTGAAGGTGCGGCACGCGAGGACCTTTCGAGTTGGGAATGGAGGAGTCGCCCTCGAGCTGGGGATCGCCGAGTGCGAGGAGTCGGAATGGTGCCGGTTGCGCATCGGTGCGGGATGGGATCGGAAGATCAGGGACATGTTGGTGTATTGTCTCGAGGAAAGCTGGCAGCCCGGCTGCCGACGCGGAAGGTGTCTCAAGGCCGCGGGTGGTGTTGGTGATCGCGGCGGTCAGGGGTAAAGGAAAGGCGCATCCCAGAAAGACAGGATACAGATAGAGGTAGAACGTGGAGACTATCGCCAGGGGGAGCAGCAGGCGAAGGCCATGACGGAGGAGGGCCACGAGGAACATGTGGTGAGCGGCGGTAGGAGCAACAGCAGCATCCACAAGTCGACAGCCGACACTGATGTATCGTGGCCGGGCGTCTCTTGACTGTTAGGGGCGGGGGGGTGAAGCAGAACCCGGAGAGGAAAACGTGGTCATCATGGTGTTTTGCCAAAATGAGAGAGACTTGTCCCTGGTCCAGGGGTAAAGAAAGCTCGGACCACCCATCGCATGTGCTGCGGCGGGGGCACCGTGCGAGGCTGAACCCCTAAACTGAAGTCGCGTCTCAGTGCGCGGAGTGCAACACGCCAACACCATCACCACCAGGGTTTCTATGTAGTGCCATCCACAGGCGACAGCAACAGCGCATGCCAAATCACCATGCATTGAAGCCGACATGACTGCATATACTGGCGGCTCTGGCCCAATGGTTGGGCCTATCACCGGTCGTATGAATCTACCCATCCGTGACACCTCACAACCATCATGATCAGGCCACCAATCATGCTGCCACGGCCTACAAGAACCCGCGAAAGAGGGCCGCCACTTGAGGTCCAAGGCGTTCTTGCCGTCTGCGGTGCGCCTGGCCCTTCGGCCCTTAGATTCCTTGATATACCGCCTGTTCTGTCTCCTCCAGCCTGGTTCCTGTTGTTTCTTCCAGCCATATTCTACCACTATTGGCGATTGCTCCTATCTTCGTTACAATACTATGAAAGGCCTAGGAGCGCAAGTGCACTGAGCTCAACGGAGATGAACTAACAACAATATCATTAGCACCAATGGTCCTCGACGCCATTGGGATCGGCCTCGGCGCCGCCACCTTTGCCGCCGACCTGACTCTCGCCATCGTCAAGCTCAAGCAGTTATGGGACGAAGTCAAGGACACCCCCGATGAAATCGCGAGTATTCTTGAAAACCTCCAAGTCATCGACTTGGTGCTCCAAGGCTTGGACGCCGAATTGCGCAGCGATGATATTCCCCCTGAGCTTCGGACTCGCATCATCGCTTCTCCTCTACGACTATCCCAATGCGCATACGCTTCCCTTCAGGATGTTATCAGATCATTGGATACGGAGCTGCAAAAATCAAATGGTTTCAAGAGGCGCTCGCCTCGATCAAAATTGTGCTCCAGAAGTCCACCTTCCAGCATCTTGAGAAGAAGCTCCAACGAGCCCTGCAGACGTTGGACTTGGCCATCCGGAATTTCGAACTGTAAGTCTTGACAGACACAATCTTTTTCCCAAGTCGCGCAGTCATCGTGTTGCTCATCTCCGACCGAAAATAGGAGCTTGATCATGAATACTGGACACATGGTAGCTCAGAGGCTGCCGCTGCCTCTGCCCGCTACAGCCTCTCCAGGTATCAGAGCCGCTACCAACTCGCCGGCAACGCTTGTCCAGACCACCAAAGGAACAGGCACTGATGATACCCATGAGAGATCAGCATCGCGCAGGAAAGCAAATGCTGGATTATCGATATCACTCGGAACAACAGTGTGGTTCGGCCGCTTCGAGTACACTCGAATATCTGATGGACAGTATCGACTTGTCATCCGCCCCCCAAGTTGGCTGATTGGTTCTATTTATGTGGCTATGCCTGAATTCAGTGTTCAGGGCTGGCAATCCAACTTCCGCACATACTGCCTGATACCCGACTGGTCTATTCTCGGTGACGAACTACGTGTGGCCTTGATCGCGGACGACTTCTCGGCCTTGAAACGTTCGCTTCACACTCACAAATTGTCTATATGGTCTCAAGACAAGATAGGCCTTTCACTGTTGGCGGTAAGTAGCCTGGAGCGAGAACGAGATTCTGAACTTCACTCTCCGATCCTTGTCCATCCCCGCCGCTAACCAGACATGACAAAAGCTCGCCACCATGTTCAATTCCCCCAGAATTTTACGAGAGCTGTTCGAACTTGGTTTAGAGTCAGGTTACGACACGGCCAGGCCTTTTGTGGAGCAGGTCTTGGATCTCGTGAATCCGGAAAGCGATTATTCCGTAATGGAAATGTCCCTTCAAATCACACAGTAAGCCACACATCCGGCCGAAAACACAGGTTTTCAGTGCTGCACCTTCTCACAATGTGATTCAAGGCTTTTCCTGCTGCTGCTTTCGGTCCAATCGTACTCCAAGAACAAAGTTGGAATCGACAATCATCAGCAACGATGTTTGGACACCATTCGTATATCGTCCGACTACATCTTAGTGAAAGATCTAGGATGTGAAATAGTTGATTTTCTTATTTTGACATTTCCCAACATAATTCCACCTGACCACATGAAACTTTTTTTGGACTATTTCTTCCCGGGGCTTTCACTTGCCAAACGACTTTTCTTATCTCGAGCAATGACCCTAATGCGGCGGGACCTGCATTCCACAATTGAAGAAGCAACTCGTTTTTTACCCGAAGCACGTCCGAATACCCATTTAGGATCACCAAGGGCCAGTCTAGACTTCACAGAGTTCAACGCCCGCGAGCGTCGTTTGGTCCTTCATCTAGCGGCCCGGAATCTCGGGCTGTCATGTTCTCGATACGTTCTCCAGTCGAATTCTGATTACTGGAGCCAAACAATTCGTAACTTACTTATGCGTCAGGACACCGAACTGTCGTCTCTCGAGCCATACGTATACAATCCATTCAGCGACCAGATATTAAGTGTACCACTAACCCCGCTTCTCACCTACCTATGTGCGGTACTAGAGGCGCACCAGTATGATGAGACGGAAGGCTGTATTGAGGAATCATTGTCTCAAGCGCTCTTATCGTGGCTTAGACTAGTCAAGTGCGCGGGTGTGAATCTGCACACGTATGGAAGCGATGAGAGAAGAAAGTGCAAGGAAACAGGTCCCGTAAGCTTTTTCTTGACTATGGTGGAGACATTTGCAAGGTGTCATCATATTCGACTCATCAACATCGACTACGGTGCCGAACCGGAGGACTGGAACCTGTGGTGGGCCATTGAATATGAAGAACTCGCCGGAATCTTCTGGAATATGGTAGAGAACCCACCACTCTGCTTGCCAGGCAGCTGGGTGGAAGAGGATGTTCTGTGGCATCAAGACTGGTGGATTGGCAGCGCAGGAGACTCTTTTATGTGGGCCGGGACATTCGTTGAGCCCCAGTAGATAAGATGTATTCGAACGTATCTACACACCTTCTCGCGAATCCGTGTCCTCTCCAGCCTGTAGCCACCCGACGCCTCTGGTCTTCGTCTCGTTGCGGAAGTTGACATCGCAGTGTTATAGTTGGTACATCATGTGCAAGGACGTGGCGTCTGATGTGCTCTTCGGGATTTGCTTACAGGCCGAAAGCTTTGATGCGCTGCGTCACGAACTTCCGGGCATGCGTCGCGAACTTAGAACCCACGGGCAAGTTCTTGGCGTACGAAACTTCATTCGTGATTCTTTTAAATGTGTTGGCCACGAGCCAATGTTCATGAATCTGACCCAAGCTCGTCTTCGTACTCGTCGTCCAAGGTAGGCACATCCACGAGGAATTGCGCATCATCAAGCTCCTCACCGTCGGCGAGGAATGCAAATGCTACAGGGATATTATCCTTCAAACCTTTGCTAACAGGCTTGTCATCGTCGTCAATCCGTAGTACCTTCCATCCTTGACCGAGGTCGTTGACATTGTTCGGTAGACCGTACACTATTCGGACGTCATCCGACGTTGGCACGGGGGTAACATCGGTCAATGTCGGCGAGATTTTGAGACCATCCGGGAAGCGCTCGCGCAACACCTCGAGCAGAGATTTGTTGATGGCGGAGAAGGACTGCAGGCTATCGACGAAGAGGAGGATTGTGTGTACGCCGTACTTGAAGCGGATAGAGTAGTCCGTAGCATCTACCTGCGACTGGGCAATTTCAGTATGGAGATCGAGTAGGTGATTGCGCTGGTTTCTTACCATTCTTGCGACCTTGACCAAGGGTCTCTCAGACTTGTCGAATGGGTTCAGATAACGGGCAGCTGCGGATGTGAAGGAAGGGAACGAAGGTGGGGAGTTGTTTGTTGGTGGGGCAGGTTCCCCAGATCACGACGCGAGAACGGACTGGTACTCCACACTTCCGGCAGTAAATGCGAAGTCAGGTGATCTCGCGTAAAGTGTTCCTGAGAGCTTTCAATCCTCAGGCTGTCGCTTCGTCCACCACTTGCCTGCGATGGCTGGAGTGTGATATCGAGTTGTCCCCCCCTTTTCATGTCAACACAGTCATGAGATTTTCCTCTACGAAAGGCTCGAGATAGCGCAAAACCGATCTTCGCGAAATCTTCCTCGCGACAGGCGCAAAGACAGCTAAATTGCCCCCCATCATGACCGTCCACGAACCGTCCATGGCGGAGGCGCTCAACCTTGCCCAGCCCGCCGCTGAGTCCCGATTGTCCATGCCGACACCGATTCGGATTCCCATCTCTGGCTTCGTCGGCTTCAGCATTGGCTCTACATTGGGTCTGATTCACGGCAGTCGCATCGCCCAGTTACAGTTTCGCGCCGAGCACGCCCATAAGATGCCAACCTCCACGACAGGATGGTACCTGTACCATAAGAGCAAAAACTATCACACCATGTTTGGCGGTATGCGCGAGGCCATTCGCATGGGTTCCCGTCTTGGATTCTGGACACTGCTGGCATTCGGTCTGGAGAGCACCGTGGACCGCTATCGTGGAAAGACGGACTTCCTGAGCACTGTGCTCTCTAGTGTGTCCGTAGCTGGGGCTTTCAGTCTGTGGAGTGAGTTGCTGTTCTAATACGCCAGTGTATCGCGACGAGATGCGAGAATCCTAACTAAAACCTTCGCAGACCGCTTCTCGCTACCTACGGCCGCTAGGACAGCCAAGTACGGCCTCCTTTTTGGCCTTGCCTACGGAGGTATGCAAGACGTCGTTGGCTTGGCCCGCGGCAGGCCTGTTAGTTACGTCGAGTTCTTCCGCCGAAAATTCCGGTCGGCCAGCAACTTGGAGGAACAATCCCGTGTGTAGGACGCCATAAAAGAGCCTAAACAATTAACTCCGCCATTGAGCATGGTCGAGTGGTGCAATGTCAGCCGTTATCAGATGCGTCAACCCCGCGCCGGTACTCGTCACACGACTTGCCGCTTTCGGATCTGGCGCCTAGCAGCCGGACCACGACATCAATGCATCGCCAGATGAGGTGTCTGGCCCTCGCATCATCGAAAATCGGATAGCCTTCCCGACCCATCCACGATGCTTTATCTACCATTGGGGCACTTTTCCGGTCGGGGACGCCCTCCGGTGCCGTCATGTCCGACACGTCTGACCTGACGGCTGAATCCCCGCCCACGTGACGGTTGATAAGGCGAACCTCCGCACCGGGGGATCGGACTCTCAAGGCCGCAACCAATGGGCGGTATCGACTACGCTTGATTGCCCATTTCGGATATTTGGAGACGGCCTGTTATCACAGTGTCGGATCAGTTCGCGATTGGGGGAGGGGGGGCGGAGTGCCGCACCCGCCCTGGCAAACCTGACGATAGCTCAGAGGAACGACGGACATAAAGGGCTGGCGCCCAACTTTGTCGCCTGCGGTCCTGGTTGCGCGCGGAGTGTTCAAGGAACGTTGTACATCTCATCATATCTGTAGACAGTTCATTCAGAGTTTGGTGGATGCATAGCCCACGCTCATCCACCAGCCCATCCATCCATCTCGTCGATCGCTCGTCGTTGTCTTGACCAACTTTATCACTCGGGCTCCCTCGTCATTGCTTCGCTACCATCACAGTAGCCGCCATGCTCCTCTCTTTTCGCCCAGCGAGGTTGTCCAGATCCAAGTGGACACGGCCAGGAACCAGCGGAAGTATATCTCACTATGCAGCGACGAGAAGAAGCCGTTTAGTCGATTCCCATCGTGATGCGTCTCTCATTCACACCTCATCGAAGAACTCGTACCACCCCAAAGTCCACCTCCACCCCGCCGCTCCTCCCGCCAACCCTGTCGCTGTCACCCCAGCGCCCGCTCACAAAGCCCCACTGTCTCTCCTCCCCCTTCACATGATCCTCCGCTCCCTGCTCACGACTACGATATCGTCCTCCCGCTGGCTGCTGCCGCCCTCGCTGGCCATCGCCTCGGCCCTCGCGCACGCGACGCACCCGCTGCTCAGCCCGGACCGCAACCCCCTGCTCCGCGTCCTGCTGAAGCACACGTTCTACGCCCAGTTTTGCGCGGGCGAGTCACCGGCCGAGGTACGCCGCACCGTATCTCGCCTCAAGGGGCTGGGGTTCTCCGGCGTCATCCTGGGCTACGCGCGCGAGGTCGTTATGACGGAGGCGCAGACAAGAGGCCTCAGCGGCGCCAGCGAGACGAGCAGTCGCAGTGACGAGGAGGAAGTGAGGCCTTGGCAGGAGGGGACGGAACAAACGGTGAGGCTCGCCGAGGCGGGCGACTTTGTGGCACTCAAGTAAGCTTTGTTCATCTGTCTACATCTGTCTACATATCCGCGCGAGCCCCGGAGCCCACGAGTCCACCATTCAGCAGCAGCAGCAGCAGCGGACTGACCGAGTCAGATTCACCGGTGCCGGCCAGCAAGCCCTCTACGCCCTCGCCGAGAGACTCCCACCCTCGGCGGCCTTAGCCTCGGCCATGGATAGCATCTGCGCCTGCGCCGCAGCTCGGGGTGTCCGTCTCCTCTTCGACGCCGAGCAGGCCGCCGTTCAGCAGGGCATCGACGACTGGACCTTGACGTACCAGCGCAAGTACAACACTGCGCCTGGGAGGGCTGTCATTTACGGCACGTACCAGGCGTACCTCAAGTCGACGCCAGCGACGCTAACGCGGCACCTGCTGACTGCACAAGAGCAAGGGTTCACATTGGGCGTGAAGCTCGTGCGCGGTGCGTATCTGGGTTCAGACCCGCGACACCTGATCAATGACACAAAGGACGAGACGGACACGGCCTATGATGACATGGCTGAGGGAATGCTACGGCAGCAGTGGGGAGGCCGTCTGAGAGGGGCCAACGGCCCATTTCCTCCAGCAAGTCTCGTCGTTGCGTCGCACAATGTTGATTCGGTGCGGCGGGCGCGAGCCTTGGTCGAAGCGGGCCAGGCGCGAATCGAGGTCGCATTTGGACAGCTGCAGGGTATGGCGGACGAAGTGAGCTGCGCGCTGGTGATGGCGGCGAATGGCCGCGTCTCAGCAGGCGAAAGCTCGGGGCCGAAGAAGGCTTTGGAGACTTATAAGTACTTGGTCTGGGGTTCTACTGGGGAGTGCATGAAATATCTCTTGAGGCGGGCCCACGAGAACCGAGACGCTGTGCAGAGGACGCGAACCGGACGGGACGCCATGTGGGCCGAGATCGCGAGGCGTGCGAGAAGTGCTGTGGGTCTGGAGACGTGACAGAAAACCGAGGATGCAGTTGAAGAAGAGGAAGCGTTGGCTTTGAGTTTGTTAGCAGTGATTCTTCAAGATCTTGATATACTGATGACGCACCATTCCAAGACGTGCGTCTGGATATCTCCCAGTCTTAATTCTTGCCCTGCTGCTTTCAAGGTTCGTCTTTCGCTTACACCCCGCGGAGGGCCATGGCTCCAAGCACCAGCTCATCCATCTGCAGCTTCCTCTCTTGCTCATCCTTAATGGCGTCAAGCCACGGGAGGCCATTGAGCTTGTAGTATTTCTTCACTTTTGTCCAATCTGTCGATACTGCAAGCTCATCGTCGGAGAATCCCGCAGGTGTACCGTGCACATTCTCAGCCAAGTGCTTCTCGATGTCATCGCGAGACACAGGCGTCGCGGCACTATCACTCGGATAGGTGATCTTAACGACGACAAGATCCTTGGTCGCAGGGCTGATTCCAAAGCGACGATAGGCATCTGCAATCTGTGCCAGGTCAGTCTGGGATAAATAAACCGGGGGGGTTTTGTGCTATGCGTGCGTACGTTATTCGAGGGACTCAGTGATGTGACAAGCTCGGAATGCACGTTCGGCGTCCTAAGGTTGTCGCTCAGCTTGACCGCCAGCGCCCTGAAGGCAGCGGCCAGAATCTGGTTGCGCGACGCGACGACGGACGCGTCGACGAACGCATATTCGAATGCGGCGTTGCGCGCCAGGAGTTGGGAGTGCAGGAAGCCCGCGTTCTGGACTCCACGAAAGAGGGCGACATGAACCTGGTGGTCCGAAGGGACGAGGTCGAGGGCGATTGTGTCGAGCATGGTGCTTTCTCCGATTGATTCGCCGAACAGGCTAATCAAGGTTCTTCAGGGTGTCCCCAAACTATCGAGGCACGAAACACCGGGCTGTTGTGGGAGTCGAGAAGCGCGGATCACCCTTGTGTGGTCAAGAGGCGTGGACAGAGATCAAGGAAAAGCTTCTGATGGAGGGGTAAATGCTATTAGGTACGCTAGAGGGGCAGGTGGGGGCTAGAATTGGGTTGCCCGGCTTGCCTGGTCTTGCTGGTGTATCAAAGCCGGTATCTCACTGGACATTCAGATGACTAAGGCAAGTCGACGCTGGCATGTCGCTTCCAGACACCCTGATGGCCCCAAATCTGCAACTCCACCCATATGAAGTTGTCTTATCGAGACCGACCATACCTGTACGAGCACCGTGTGCATTGCTGGGAGCAATGCAAGACGTGAAGCAGGGGTGTCCGCCCGTTTAGCCGCCTGTTCGACCTGCCCATCCTGGATGTTGGTCACCCATGGGTGCTGTGCTTGTTTTTGCCTGCCTTATTATGGTCGGCAGATATCTAGTTGCGGACCGATCTTGCTAGTACAGCTCGAGGCCTTGAGGTCCGTCAATGCCTGACCCAGGACGAAACTTTCTATACGTTAGAAAAGTCTAACGACGAAATTGAGGCATTTCCTCATCGTGCAATTGGAGCATATATATAGAATGTGTGTAATCTCTTGGATGGAAAACACGTCGTGGTCAGGACGAATGATGGGCATCTTAT